TGAGAATTATTAAGAATCAGCTTCGAAGCACCATAGTTGATGATGAGTTTCTTGCTGATTGCATGACCCTCCACATTGAAAGAGAGTTTGCTAATAGTATCACTAATGCATCAATAATTGAGGAATTTAAGACTTCTAAGTCTCGCAGGGTAAAATTTTAGATTTAATTAGTGATATTTTTTATTACATTTACTTGTGGTTTTTGTTTTTGTTGTTAAGCTTTTATTTATGTACAGATATATTTGAGGGTAAGGCTTATTACGTCCCCCCTGACTAGGTGTATCTTTTTTTATTATTAATAAAATTCACTCGTACCGTTGAGTTTAGTATGTAAGTTTCGCCCAATTGGCTTTCCAATCCTGGATCCACCACTATAAGGAATATTAAGTAAACCAAATCAGAAATTATTTGTACATATTTTCTATTTAACAAGAACTCAGGACTTTTTGCAACCATATGAATACTTATACATATGTAGAGAATTCATGTATAATTTTATAAGTTGTTCTATTAAGTTAGTTATCATGGTTGAAAATCTAAATGGTTAATCGAACAAGTATTAACCATTGGATTTTTATTCAAAATATTATAAATGTCTTATTAAAATACTCTAATTGGTAAATTGTATTCTCCTTCAAATCAATTAGTCACTCTCATCTCGAGATGTTCAACAAATTTTTTGTTTTTGGAATACAAACGATATTTTAATTACATGAAGGATGGGAGTTTCTCACACACACATACACTACCAATGTACCGTGAAGGTTCAAACTTAAGATCATTGATCTGCAAGTCAAGACCCTTTTCAATTGGGCTAAACCTCGTTGGCATGTGCTCAACATTCTTTATTCCTACTCTAATGTTATACCTCATTGCACATGGCTTCATCGTTCTAGTATGTAAATAAACTAAAAAAAAAAAACTTTTCATCTTGTGCTATCCTCTTTGGTGTGTGTTTATACAATTAATATAAATTACTAATTAAATGTGGTTTGATCATACTCCCCTTGAAATTTGTATAGTATAAGTATGTGTCTCTCCTGAAGGTTTAAGTTCAAGGATGCAGTGCTAAAAGCCTTGGCATATACCTTTTCTATTAAGAGATTCTTCCAATAATTTTATTTGAGGGACACTTTTTAGGGTTACTGCGAATTTTTTATTTTTTAACTATCCAAATCGTCTATTTTTCAAGTCTTTATTCATTGGTCATCCTTGCAAAAAATTAAATAAATTAAAAGCACTAAGATTACAACTATTAATTGAGTGGTCAAATGATTTCAAATTCAAGTGATTTTTTGCAGAAATGATCTTTGAATGAATATCCTAAACATAGACGGTTCAGATTTGAAGTACAATGTGGAGTGGGTCTACACGGGTGTCCCTCAAATTTGAGGATTCATCAACTAATGAAGCTTTATGTGTGTATATATAATTTTTTATTTTTTATTTTGCGAAAATTGAGAGAGAGAGAGAGAGAGAGAGAGAGAGAGAGAAACTTAATCCATGACTGGTACTCACAAGAAGGATGCATGGCAACTGATGATCCTTTTGCTTAATTACATTAAACAACTTCAGGAGTTGTCACTCTGAAGGCAGCAGTGCCTATAAAACGTAAGCTTGTATCTTCTAGATGGTAAGATAATATATGTTAATACGTTTCAACAATCTAAATCTTTATCATTGTCCACATATAATTAATCAATAATTAATTGCCTTCTGCATCATCTAAACATCATTGGGTGTCCGATGCATGCATGGATTATAAGATTCTTGAATGAGTCTGATATTGTGTCATTGCAGACGTACGTGATTCCCCCAATGAACAATAATCTAAATCCTCGCCTTCAAACTTCTAAAGTATGCCTTTGATAATGCAACATGCTGGCCCTCATTTAGAGAAATGAGCTTTGTCTTTTAGAATTGTCAAATGATTGCACAATACATTTCAGCTTTTATACTAGCTTAATTGTCTCAACTTAGCATAACTTACTCTTAACAATTTTTGTCTCCTCAACTAATTCTGTTGAGTTAGCTTTGCTGACATGGGATTGCCACATGTACATATATTGAACACAAAACATCGAGTGTGGGAATAAATGTTCTTAATCATTTCAGCTCCAAGTTCCTTACATTTTTTGATTTAGCTTGATTTAATCCTTTAATCCTTGTTGATTCCCAAGCGTAAGAATACCCATAAACAAAAAGGATCTATACCTTGTTAATTCCTACAAAATACCAAATTGATGATAGAAACTACAGGAAAATCTCCTTGATTTTGTTCAACATCCGAAGACTGTCTAGACCAAGCCATAAGATAACTTTTATACTTACGGAAGAGATAAATTCGAAATGTTTTCTGAAAATATAAAATAAATGGCAAAAAATACGAAATTGGCCAAATTGACTAAAAACTTATCAAACTGTTTATTCCCAGCCTTATTTGGCTAAAATCACTCGTACCACAGCATATCTGTGAGCTTTCTTCAGCATGCCAAGTTCTTCAAAACGATGTATTATGGGTGAAAAACATATATCTAGAGCTCTAAATATGCCACTCATGTATGTGAATTGTGTAAGATAAAAATGCCAACATGCTACGTGGTGTATCAGATTTAACAGAGTTATATTTCCGCATACAGATGTTAAGAACTAGATCACATTCCTCAACGCAAACATAACAAATCTTCCACTCTTTTCTTACAAACTCTATAATTCTCATGTCCTTAATTTAGACATATATCTAAATCCAATACAAAATGGGTAGTAGGTAATTTCCCAGTTAAGGCAAGATGTGATATGTTATTCTAATAAAATAAAATAAAAATAAAAAAAAGTCAGAGCAGTTCTCTCCTAACTGGGATCCCAGGATACTGCTAAAGATCGCCTCGCTGTCTTGTTGGGAGACGACGTCACAAATTGCGTATGCATGGCGGGAAGTATCGTTTTCAAGATTCGCACTTAGGCTCACCGCACCTGTAGCTTCTCGGGTTTCGGGTTCCCTTGGAATTTTCTGGCATTGCACTGTGGTCTATATTTCGGGCTCTTTGACATGCCATCGTAGTGGGATTTGGTAGTTGAATTATATGGGAAGTATTTGGGGTTTGTTGGCTTCTGATTGAGATTTTCGTACAGTTTTGGGAGGAAGGAAAGCAATCAATCAGTCAAACTCTTCATGTATTTTGGGAGCTAATGAGTTTTGAAACTAGTTTAACCTTTTCTATACCCCTTTTAGTTGGGTGGTTGAGGTTGGTATATATAGTTATGGAGTTGTTTGACAATTGACATTGAGGTATAGAAATGTTCATTTGGAATTTTTCTATAGTAGGATTTATACTTAAAGTGAACGGGATTGTAGCCGTTAGATTGATAAATTTATCATCCTCTACTATCGGTATAGATTATTCACAATATATTGAAATTTTTTTTTCTAATTATGTATAATGCATGTGTTCCCAGTCTGCCTATTAATTTGATCAACAATAACATGTTTTTTTAAGGGAAAAAAAACATAGCATGTCTTCAATCAATGTATTTTTTTCTAAAAACTTCTCGTGAGTGAGATTAAATTTGTTAATCTTCTTGATTGAGAGGAAATAACTTGTTCAAATGATATAAAGGTTTGTTTGTTTTCTCATTTTTTATTTTTCTTTATAATAAAATATTGATAATGCACTTGTCACGTCACTAATTTAACAAAAGTGATGCGACTTCAAAACCTTAATGTTGAAAAATTCAAACCTTATGGTCCATTCTTAACCTTTAGGATAAAATGAAATTGGCCCTATTTGAAAAAGGAGCGTTATGCATACCCTTGTGACAAACACACATGCATTTTGGTTTAAGAATGGCAATGACACTTTAGCAGAGGTATTTGTCTCCATCCGGCGAAAGGTCAATGTCCATGGCAGTATCCAAGATCCTTGATCAGTCTTGAATGACTTGCTTTATTTATGTTAAAACATGTTTGCTTTAGGCCCACCTGCAAATAATATAATTCATCCTTCAACCTTTTTTAAATACATGACTCTCTCAACAGTCTAGGATATATAACCTGAAACCCACACGAGAGCATATAGAACCTGAAAGTTTGGGCCTTTCTATTCAACCCAAAAACATAAAACAAAAGAACAAACTGGAAAGCAAAGTCCGGATTGATGCCCTCAAGTGGGGTTGATTTGGAATGACTAGGGCCTCATTTACTGTTTTTGATCATATCAGGGCCTCGTTCGATTGTATAGTCTAATCCTCCGTAACAAACGAGACCTTATAAAAGAGTAGGCAAGTTACATAATCACATATGTGAAAATATGATATGTAATCATAAACACTTTAAGTATATTGGACCCCTCCATCAGCAGCGATAACTTTTTAAATTCGACAAATGAGTAGAAAACATGCCACTTTAAATTGTTAAGAGTACAATTTTACCTACTTCCTCCGCCTACTCACCCTTGAATGTGCTTGCTGTTTCGGTAAACTGGGAGCACACCCCACCCCCCCAACAAACAACAAAAACCTCAGCAGCCCCTTGAAGATGCTCCTCATCAAATGTCGTTAAAAGATAAACAAACGACGTAACAAGTGAACAACCATACCTCCTTGCTTTGCTTTGCGATCAACCTATATCAGACCGCAAGACCCACTAGTAGTTCTATTTCATTCATCCAAATAAAAAAATAGAAATAGAAAAAGAAAAAGAAAAACAACTCTTTAAGACTGGAAGTCAAATACTGTGCATAATCTCTGCCTGCCTCCCAAGCATCATGAAGAGGAAGAGGCAGAGCATCCACGAGGCCACCTCTCACCTGCACAACCCAATAACCCAAACACAAATTTTCACAAATTCAATTTCACAACTCACCCTTTTCATCTTTCTCTCACTCTCACTCACACCCTTATCTCTCTCTTCTTCTTCTTCATCCTCACTACCCAAAAAGCCACCTCCTCTTCCCATTCTGCCCCTCCCCTCAGCTCCCCAGCTCCAATGGCAACTTGGGCACATGGCCATGTTTCTCCATTTTGGACCCAACACCTTCACAGACTCAGAATGGGGCACAGGCCACGTTGACCCTTCAGCCTTCAACCCCACCAAGCTCAATGCCACTCAGTGGGTCAAAGTGGCCAAAGACTCGGGCTTTTCCCGCGTAATTCTCACTGCAAAGCACCACGATGGGTTCTGCTTGTGGCCCACTGAGTACACCAACTACTCGGTGAGCTCCAGCCCCTGGAGGAATGGTGGTGGTGATGTTGTTGGTGAGCTTGCTATGGCTGCTAGGGACGCAGGTATTGGATTGGGGCTTTACCTTTCGCCGTGGGATCGGCATGAACCGTTCTATGGGAAGACTTTGGAGTACAACGAGTTCTACATGGGGCAAATGACAGAATTGCTGACAAGGTACATTTTTCTGTTGAATTTTGGATGTTTTAGTGTTTTTGTGAATTGGGTTTGTTTTATTTTATTGATGAGTTCTCTAAGTGGTTTTCTTTAAGCATGATCAATTTGCATTCTCTGCAATTTTGTTAATTTGGTTGAGTTTTTTTTATTATCAAGGAACGTTAGCTCTTTTCTTATTGTGTGGAACTGGAATTGTGTTTTGCATTTTTGGAATCGATGTTATGGATTTCAAAGTGTTCTGTGCAATTATGTAAATTAAATTCCCAGACCTCTGCTTGATGGTTTTGTTTTAGCATTTCATGTTCTGTACAATTCAGTCTTTTATGTGCTCTCTTGAATTGAGTTGATATGTATTTTGTCACAATATTTGTGATGTTTGTTTTAACGGATTATCAATGTTTATGTTTTAATTCATCTGTGTTGCTTCAAGTTGGCTGATTGGAGAATTTGTTTGAACTTTTGTTTCTTTGATTTTTGATGAATTTCTTGGACAGATGTTCAATGACTTGTGGTGGTTTTTTTTAATTATAAACAGGTATGGAGAGATGAAGGAGGTGTGGTTGGATGGTGCAAAGGGGAAGGGGGAGAAAGACATGGAATATTTTTTTGATTCTTGGTTTAGTCTCATTCATCAACTCCAGCCAGGGGCTGTCATTTTTTCCGATGCTGGTCCTGACACCAGGTGGGTTGGGGATGAAGCTGGCGTTGCCGGGTCTACTTGTTGGTCTCTTTTCAATCGGAGTGATGCAAAGATTGGCGACACTGATTACCAGTGAGTTCACTCTTCTAACTTCCATTAGCTTTTCTGTGTTTCTCTAGTAGTTGGAGATATATGTATGGAGATATATGTATGTATGTATACGTATGCGTGCATTCAGATACACAGACATCTATTTATCTGCACTGTTTCAATATGCTTAAAAGATCCTATTGAGAGAACCTGTGAGGCTGTAATCAGCACCTATCTTTTTATGCACCATCTTTTCTTCTCCAAGAGCTATGAGTTAATATGATGGGCATATCTAACAGATATTCAAGTGGAGGAGACCCATATGGTCATGATTGGGTACCAGCTGAGTGTGATGTCTCAATCAGGCCTGGTTGGTTTTGGCATTCGTCGGAACTTCCAAAATCTGCAAGGACTCTTCTTGACCTATACTACAAATCAGCTGGCAGAAATTGTCTCTTGTTACTCAATGTACCCCCAAACTCTTCAGGTCTCATATCAGCAGAAGATATCCAAGTGCTTCAAGAATTCAGTGAGCTCCGGAGGTCAATATTCTCACATAATCTGGCCATAAATGCCCTTATCAACGCAAGCTGTACGCGAGGAGGTAGTAGCCATTCTTGGTTCAACCCCTACAATGTCGTCAAAGAAGGTATTCAGTCCTATTGGGCCCCTGAGGTAAATCAGTCTAATTGGATTCTATACTTGAACCTTCAAGAAATAGTATCATTCAACATTCTGCAAGTTCAAGAGCCAATTCAAATGGGACAGCGGGTTTTTGAGTTCCATCTTGAGGTCCTGAATGAAGATGGGGAGTGGAATGAAGTAATTAATGGCACCACAATCGGATATCAAAGGCTTCTGCAATTTCCGACGGTAAAATCTCAGTACTTGAGGTTTGTTATCGACAAGGCCCGGGCAGACCCACTTATTTCCTACTTGGGTATATATATGGATGAATTTTCCATCTTGAGCAACTTATCTAATACAACCTCACAAGCAGGCATCAATGGCAGTCAAGTTCTTCATGGCCATATTGAATCCAATCATTCTCAAATTTCTGCCATATAGTGTTTGTATATTTCCATTGAATGTAAATGTACTACCATCTTCATTTTTTTCTCCTTTCTAATTGGCTTGTCTTAACCTTTTCTTTTTGTGCGTGTATATTGAATCCAACCATTCTCAAATTGCTGCCATATAGTGTTTTTTTGTATATTTCCATTGCGTGGAAATATTCTAGAGGCATTATTTTGATGACCATAAAATTAATTAAAGAATTACTTCTATTATGAATTCGTCACTTTGGTTTTTCAAACTTTAATCTACATCTCCTTTGAGATGTTTGCAAGGAAACCATCAAGATTATAGTGATCGCCTTATATATAAAACAAGATTTATACATCAAAGATTCTTTTCGGAGAATGGCATTCCAAAAAAAATGAAGGAAAGCCATTGTGTTTCTAACAAGCATTATGTCTTGATATCTTAATAACGAACATTAAAGCAAGAAACTAGAATAGTATTTGAAACCCAACAACGCAAGCAACATGACAGCACAAGATACATCAAATATAAACCTATAACCTAAGTAATTTTGATATCGTGCAGAAGTCTTGCAGCCATTGAGCCATATCTTCTAGCTTCCCAATCAGTAAGTTTACCACTCTGAGGTCTTGTCACTGGCTCACAATCTTCTTCAACCTCTTCATCAAGAGAACCGTTTTCACCTTTTTCCTTGCTGATTTCGACTTGATCATCTTTCTCACCGATCACCTTAACTGTGTTTTCTGCACTTGTCCCAACTTCATCAACTTTCTGATCAATCACCTTAGCCGCTTCTTCCTCTCCAGTCTCCACTTCATCGTCTTTCTCATCAATCACCTCAACTGCGTTGTCTGCATACCCCTCCAGAGGCTTTAATGTCATAATGTAAAGTTGAATATCTGGATGCTGGTAGGTACTGTCCATCTGCAGAGATAAGAAAAAAAAAAAAAGAAAATCCTTTGTATTTAAGAAAATTAAAACAAGGGTAAGAGTGAATATTCTCCGAAGCTCAAGGCAAAGTGTGGATTGCCAGAGGGAAGCATTAATCTTATACGTGTGTGCATTATGAATGACGCAAGACCCTGCAATAAGTTAGCCCCCAAGAACATCAACAATTCAATCCATGCAATCTACACGTCACAGGAACCAGGAATTTCACTTGCAAACCACATGGACAAGTATTTGGATTTGCATTACAAAAACTAAACTGTACCTTAGAAGTTGGAACAGTTTTCACATCGAAGTTTCTTTTCCACATTTGAAGCATTTGCTCATGGACACTTGTAGACCGAATCTCATACCCAATCTTCCCAATCGAAACGACCAGTGCATCAATAACAATTTTTAGGAAAAAATAATTAAAGCTAAAACCTAGGAAGTAGCATACCAAAATTGTAGTTTTAGGCCCTGATAATGCAAATATTGTCTGCAACAGTGGTTCCAAGAGATTTTCTTTATACACCTTAAAGCCAAGTAAGTTGAAAATTGAACAGTTATAACGACATAAAAAGACTAGGACATCAGGGTGAAATAAATTATAAACACAACGCAAGTAAGAAACCTTTAGAAATTTGATTGAAAGGAATCCTAAGTTTACATATTTGTTTATGCCATACGGCCCTTACCATAGTTGTAATCATTTGTCAATGTAGGTCAAGAAAACTGTAAAAACTAAAGTTTTCAATTTTCAGCTGAAACTCAGTGAACTTACAACATCAGTGCCAATAATGTAGTCAAATGGTGAACCAACAGCTCTTATGTGATCCTTATCTCCCCAGCTCAACTCCGCTGCCTCGATTGAACCAAACGAGTCTACAAAGAACATAACTTTCATGAGTTGTGAGCAAAAATCTAGAAATGGCAATTAAATTGACCAAACCAATAAAAAAAACCAGTTTTGTTTTGTAATTGAAATGTGTTCTTGTTGAGTTCAGTTTCTTAAACTCAAAGAACAGAAACAATTGTTGCAGTTGGCGGGTTTAAATACGGGCTACATGAACTGAGTAGCCATATATAAAATATGCAGTTGCAAGTGACAAGACATTATTGGTTATGCCATTGAGGATATGGGAACTAATACACGCACACGGTATTGAATATTGTTCAAAACATTCAATGAACAGAAACAATTGTTGCAGTTGGCGGGTTTAAATACGGGCTACACAAACCGAATGGCCATATATAAAATATACAGCTGCAAGTGACAAACATTATTGGTTCTGCCATTGAGGATATGGGAACTAATACATGCACATGGTATTGAATATTGTTCAAAACATTCAAACCAAACCAGACCAGAATTCATTTGTGTGATCCTTGAAGTATTCCGTTCAACATTTCTCATTAGCAATGGCAAAACCTCCACTTGATCTGTTGTAACCACATCGCAACCCAGTAATGCCATGCCTGAAAGAGCAAAATGAGATAAGACTAGGAGCAAAACACCTGAGAAAGCAAAGTAAACTTGAGCCATTTCAAGCAGGAAAAGAATAAAAAGCTGTATAGATTAACTTCAACATGAATTTAAGAGGAAAAAGAAAACTCACCAAACCCAGCTACTCCGCAACCTGCTCCAAGTTCAATGACACGTTTTCCTTTAAGTTTAGCTGGGGAGAACCTTCCCTTTCTGCAATTCTTTTCCTGGAAAAGCCAATAAAGCCAGATGTAGATTTATAAACAAAAAACTATGCCATGAAGTTAAAGTACATATTGACATACGATCAGCTCTGGAACCAAAACATAACCCATACTGAACTGAAAGGAAAGCCTAACTCCAGCTACAGCATGAAAATATATACCTAGAGCAGAAAAATTATTTTCTCAAGATTAACAAAATTTGCTGCAGGCTGAGTCACTGCCCTCGGTGGGAAAGGTTGCAGAGTTTGGGCTTTGCCTGCTCTTTAAAAGATAAGAACTTTCTGGCTCGGCAGAGGAAACCGCAGACAACATAAAGGAAGGGGTCCATATAGCTGCTGCACCCACCCCTTTCTTAGTAATTTTTTTTGGTCAGACCCCCTTCTTAGTAAATGAAGCAATAGGTTTGGCATCTAAGCCCCTTCCAATTCAAAAATGTAATATGTAATTGTAAGTCCCTTTTGCCCCGAATGAATGAATCGAATATCCTTTGTCATTCCTATGAACCAAATCAAGTTAAATGGCAACTGACCAATAATATATCTGTTGCAGTTCTTTTTTATCACTGCATCATTTCAGGTTTACAGAATTTTATTTAAAAATAATAGCAGATTGTTTAATACGAAGATCAATTTCTAAACATCCTTTTTTTTTTGGTTCCTTTGATGAACTTCAAAATCATCAATGCATTACATCTATTTTAAGGATGAATATAGCCTTGCTGTTCCTTCCATATCCAAATATTGCATTCAACTGGGCCCAAACTTTAACAAAGTTAAGCTCAACGATAAAAGGTCACTTACATGCATCATTTCGAAGTTTAGAGTTAGAAACATGTGGAAACTAAAATTATCGGAACTTTACAAGAGTTCCTAGGGGGGGCAGCAATCATTACCAGAAACTTCACAAACACCAGTGATGCATCCCAAACCGTAGTTCCTAAATGCTTTGAATTTGGATCCTATGGAAAAGATAAAGCCATTCCATGGTCAGGCAAGAAGTTATTAGGACATATATATGATCACAAAGCCATTATTAAAGTTGATAATGGGTAACTCATGCAACAGACATAGGATTGGTGAAAATAGTCATACAGAAAAAGTATAGAGCAAAAACAGTTCATATGCACAAAAGTATATTAGGCCCCTTCCTATTACCATACTCTAAATTGGTTAGCTCTCGTTGATTTCTAAGTATTAGGAGAATGTCTTCTTCAAAAAACACTAAACTTAATATTTTCTGATTCTGAAGATCTTTCTTAACACGATAATATTAATCCCAAAAACAAAAAGAGGAGAAAATAAAAAACCTGAGCGAACTGTAAGTCATGGCCCAAAACTTCTAAGTTCATGGTAAATGTAGTGGGGGAGTTTAACCTGCAACAGCAAATTTGAACAGTTTTATTTTAACATACATAATATTGGAAAAAGGAATAAGGAACTGATATAAGACTTCCCAAGTAATTCATTCTTCAAATTGCATAAGCATATCTTTTTTCTAATAATAAACCCTACATTTTCAAAATTCTATACAAAAATGTTACAAGTAAAAGAATCAGAAAGTAAAGATTGCCCATAATACCTGTCAGGCTCCATTTTGATTGCTATAATATTCCAAAAGAAATTGATGATCCACTGCTGAAAACCCAACTCAATAAGCCAACTGAAGTGCCACCTTACCAAAATATTTAAGAAAAACAAAAAAAAGTTCAGCTTCAACTGTAATTAAGTGAGCCCAAGCAGCAAGAAACTTTAGCTCAAATTAGAAACAAAAAGTTAATCACTTTTAGTCAGAATTAGGAAGTGTGGTATATTAATCAAAATGCATATACATAAGCAATAATTCATTAATGCCATACTTGAATATTCTATAAAATCTTTTTATTTTGCACCTCAAGAGTCACAAAGAGAAGATCAAACTCAAAGTCGAAGTGAAGAAAAAGAAAGATTGACGGAGAAGGTAGCTTACCTGAAACTGAAATGGGCGAGCTTTACCGTTTGCAGTGTGCACTGTTGTCTTCGAAACTCTGTAGAAAAGAAAGGCCGAAAGGAAATGCACCGAATTGATATTGCCAAGAAATGTTACGGAAGTGACGAGACGATTAGATTTATTAGAGAGGTGTACTGACTGGGCAAAAGGCCCAAGTGCGACAAATTTGGGGTGACATTTTTCAGGCCTATGATGGGCTTGGAGCGGTTTTTTGTTGTTTGTTTTTTTCCAAGCCATAATGAGGGGAATTGAATCTAAAATTTTGAGTGCAAATATAATTGCTTTTATACAAGAATAATGCTACTCTTACCACATTTATATATCACATTCTCATACCACCTTATGTGGCAGATGAGGTGGACAACACATCAATTAAAATTAATTTAAAGTTTTCTTATCTTTTATGATTTATTGACACTTTTTAATTGATGTGATTGCCCACTTCATTTGCCACATAAGATGGTATGAAAATGTGGGATATAAATATGGTAAGTGTAGCATTACTCTTTATACAATGGTACGGTATCCCTATATCAGATAGTGATACTTTCATTTAAAATCTGTCACTTGTTACTTTTTAAAGAAACGTACATTTTTTTTTATACAGCTGGACTTTCACATCCAATTTTAACCTTTACAATAAAATTAATAAAAGAAAAACCACAAAGAAGAAAATTGCACCGGACTCCCACCTGACTGAAATTACCAGTTCCCGTTCGCCGCCCCCTCTCTATGAGTTTCTAATCCTCCTTCCATCTCTCTCTACGGTACCAGCAACTACTTTATATTACATTTTTTGTTTATTTCCACATGTAAATTATGCCCATTTATTCATCTCCCTCAAAATAAAAAGAATAAAAAATCGAAAAAACTAGAATATTATACACCAACCACTGCACTCAGCTTTGCCCTGGCCATCGGCTATGCTCTCTCAGTTTCTCTCTCTCATTTAGAGCATCTCCAGCGCCCAACCCAGCCAGGGGGAAAGGCTGCCAGAGGGAGCCCGAGGAAGCTCCAGCACAGGGCCCGTAGCTCGGTTTCGTGGTGGGTCCCATGAGCCCGAGGAAGCCCAAGGGCAAGTCTTGCCCGGGCTGAAGCCCGAGTTTGGTGACGTCAGCGCTGGCGTCACCATCTGACAGCTCCAATGGGCATGTGCCACGTGGCGCGACGGGGACTCTCGGATGGATTTTTTCCAGAAATCCAACGGTCCTCGTTTTTTTGGCTAAAAAAATTGCAAAAACAATCGAAAAAATTCTGAAATTTTTTTAAAAAAATTCTGTATTTTTTCTCTATAAATACCTAACCATTTTATTTACTTTCCACACTAAAATCTTCATACAATTTCTTCTCCATTCCATATTTTTTACTCTTTACTCACATTATTCACTTTCCACACCAATTCTTCATACAAACTTTTCTCCTTCCAATTTTTTTGTTTATCTCCACTCACATTTTTCACTTCCACACCAATTCTCCATACAAACTCTTCTCCTTCCAATATTTTTTACTCTCTTTCTACTACTTTCCATTTGTATAAAAAAAACGAATGGCATCTTCTATTGAAGTCGGAGGCTCGTGGTCAACGAATGAAGATATTGCGTTGTGTCAATCTTGGGTGAACATTAGTCATGACCCTATCACGGGCAATGAGATGAAGTTTCATCACATGTGGAGCAAAATTCATGGAGAATTTTGTCAAAGATCGGGTTCTATTCGGACCGAAATGGCGTTGTCTAGTAGATGGAAACTTCTTAATAAAGAGTTAGGGAAATGGAGAAATGCCTTGACAAAAGCAAAGGCGAACATTCAAAGCGGTCAAAATTTGACCGATGAGGTAAAATATTTATAATTGCCATTTTAATCAATTCAATGTCACTTTTTTTTTATTGCATATTCTATTTGTTTTTCTTGCATAATTTTTTTTTCTTGGTGCACCTTTAATTGGTCTATATTTTCTTGCATAATCAATTTTATTTTTGCATTTCAAAATAGTTTATATTTTCTTGCATAATAATTTTTGTTTCTTGCACTTCCAATTATTTATTTTTAATAGATGGTACAAGCACAAATGTGGTTCGGTGCCATGGGGCAAGGCAAAAAAAGTTTCGTGCATTTCCAATGTTGGGAAATTGTGAAGGATTGTTCGAGATTCAAAATTATTCCCACCGGTCCGCCGGTTGTGATGAATGAGACGCCACTCCACGATTCAACATCAACCGATTCTCCATTGGACTCCCCAATGGAAACGGAGTCACCATTTGTGCCACGTCCGCCAAGACCTATTGGGAGAAAGGCGGCAAAGGCCAAGAGAGGGGGCACTTCGACCAATGATTGTGTACAATTATTGGAGCAAATAGCTAAGAGCACCTCACTAAGAATCGAGAGAGACTTGAAAAGAGATGAAATGGACATGGCACGAGAGGAAGCATTTGTTCTGCAACAACAAATGGCACAAGAAAAAGACATAGAGGATAGAGAGATGAAAATCATGGCCATGGATACGAGCCATATGTCTCCCGAAACAAAGGCCTATTGGAAGCTACGACGAAGAGATGTGATGAGAAAAAACTTTTCCATGACGACGGACCTAGCAATACGGATTGGTTAAATGATGAAAACCATTAGGTTGTATTGAAACACCTTTGCCATATGTTGTATTGTTGTATTATCCTTTAATTTGTTGTATTGTTTCCTTTTTATTCAATAAAAAAAGCATTAAATAAAATGACTATTTATTAAAAACATTTGAGCATCAAAACAAATATTAATTAAAAAAAACCTTCATTGATTGCAAACAACACACAAAACAAACCATACATAAAAGCATAATAATAAAAAGCATAATTCCAAAAAAAACCACACACAAAATAAAGCATAATTAAAAACAAAGCATAATTCCAAACAAAACCACACACAAAATAAAGCATAATTAAAAACAAAGCATAATTCCAAACAAAGCACTAATCTTGACTTCATCCATTGTGATTGCCTTTCATCTCCCACAAGTGCTCGATCAAGTCACGTTGATGTATCTCGTGAACATATGAAGATTGCATTTCTTGATACCGATCAATCATGGGGTTGTTGAATTGACCATCCCGAAGTATGGGTTCGGGCTCCAGTGGTAGTCCATTTGGTCCAATCGGCCTTTCATATATTCTTGTCAACGATGTGTTCATTGGATCGGGTTCAAACACCTCTTGAGCATCATAGTCATACTCATCCTCCACAATCATGTTGTGAAGGATGATGCAAGTCATCATAATACTCCGCAGCACCTCCTCATCTAGCATCCGAGCAGCACCTCTAATAATTGCCCAACGAGCTTGCAAGATACCGAAACACCTCTCCACGTCTTTCCTGTAACCTTCTTGAAAGGAAGCAAAGTTTCTTTCCTTCTCGGATTGGGGATTCGGAATTGTTTTCACGAAAGTCGTCCACCTAGGATAAATTCCGTCGGCAAGGTAGTACGCACCAGAGTAAACGGTATTGTTGATTTGGTACGTGACCTGGGGGGGAATGACCTCGCAATACCTCATCGAACACTGGGGATTGACCAAGGACATTGAGGTCATTCTGAGAACCGGCAACCCCGAAGAAGGCATGCCAAACCCAACAATCGAATGAAGCTACGGCCTCCAAAATTATACTTTTTTGGCCCTTTCGATTCCCGTACTCCCCTTGCCAAGCAGTAGGACAGTTCTTCCACTGCCAGTGCATACAATCGATGCTTCCAATCATTCCTGGGAAACCTCGAGCCTCGCCTTTTTGTAGAAGCCGTTGCAGGTCTCTTGGCGTGGGTTTGCGAAGGTACTCCCTCGTGTACAAATTTTCCACTGCATCACAGAATCTCACCAAGCACTCTAGGACAGTAGATTTTCCCATCCTTGCAATCTCATCCACCTGCTCTGCAGATGCCCCATAAGCAAGCATCCGCAAAGCAGCTGTAAGTTTTTGCTCCGGGATAAGACCTAAAGCTCCAACAGCATCATGCTTTTGAATGAAGTATGTGTCGTAATTACAAATATCATGCATGATTTTTTTGGAACAAATGTGGTTGCATTCTATATCTTTCTCGAAACTTAGAAGCAGGATATAACGGATTTGGGATAAAATAATCCTCCATGAGATTCTTACCCCGAGACTCCCTACGTCTGTCCACATTCGGGGCACGACGACGACGGTGTTGCCTTGATTGATCCATCATACACACCGCTGCTGCAAGCAGTTGTTCCTCTTCTTCATCGGCTTCCCGATCTTCTTGAGCACGTCTACGCCTTGTTTCTTCCCTTTGTTTCTGTTGCCTCTCCACCACCCTCAACAAGTTTGACATTGAGAGTAGAATGTGTTTTCTACAATCTGAGAAATGAAGGAATAGATAAGAGATGGTGTGAGAGGTATGAATATCAGGTGTAGTTTATAGACGAATTTAGAAGATAGAGATGACACGTGGCACAATTTGAGAGGATGAAAATCTTATCTAAAATCTGAGATTATAATTTTTTTAAAATATCTGAAAATGTTATCTGACATTTGACACGTGGCACAATTGTAGAGGGTGAAAATCTAATCTGAAATCTGAGATTATAATTTTTTTAAAATATCTGAAAATGTTATCTGACATTTGACACGTGGCACAATTGTAGAGGGTGAAAATCTTATCTAAAATATGAGATTATAATTTTTTTTAAATATCTGAAAATGTTATCTGACATTTGACACGTGGCACAATTTTAGAAGGAATTTTCTTGGAATAATTTTTATTAAAATCTGAGATACCGAAAATTAACTACGAAACTTTAAATGCCGTTTTGGAAGGCCAAACGACCTCAAAATGCCAAAATCCATCATACATCACAGCAAAGCTGTGAGTTTGACTCGTGGCATCGTTCCCTTTCCGAAATGGTATTTTGCGTCCTAATCAGAGCTCGGATGACAAATCTGCAAATTCCCGCTACGTCCTTTTTCTAGCTCAACCGCGATAAAATCTGCCATTTGTTCTACATCAGACGTGGCACAATTTTAGAGGGTGAAAATCTTATCCGAAAATTTAATTACAAAAGATTATCAAAATTAATGGTTTAAACTATAAAAAAATAGGAAATAAAGTACAATGAATAGTAATTGTCTTAGACTTGCCCTAGACTTTGCCCTTGTGGGTGGAACCACAAATGCAAAGGCTGACACTATTCACGTGAATAGTGGCAGCCCTTGCCTTAGACTTAGCCTTTGTGGGTGGAGATGCTCTTAGAAGAATGAGATCTGCATATTCCAATTGATCCCACGTCAGCTTTTGGGCAAGTCATATTCAATTGAATGAGATCTGCATATTCAATTAAAAAGTCTAAAGTTTTCTCATATGTTATCGAGAGAGGACAAAGAGATGTAGGGAAGAAGAGAGAGAGAGTGAAAGAGCAGTGCAGCAGTGGAGGGAGATAGTTTGGGCAACTCGTTCTCTTTTCTCTCTTTTTTTTCTTTTTTTTTCCATTTTAAAGATTTTATTTGAAAGGGTAAAAATATAATTTCATATCCAGCTGTAATTAATTTTAACTTAAAAAAATAAAATAGACAAGTGGCATATTTGAATGGGAGTATCACCATTCTATAATTTCTCTAGTTGCAGAGCCAGAAAATTTTCAAATAGGAAGCACCTTGTATATTGCAATATGTTTTTCATTAGGGTAACAATCAATTAATTTTTTACTTGATACAAAATCCCTAATTTTAATTTATATACTCCATTATTTCACATGTTACATTAACTATCTACTCATCATCGATAATAGCATAAAATCTAATGCAATGTGCTTTATTAAAGATCCACATTCAAATGGTAATTTGTCACTACAAAAGCTAGAGTCAAAGTATGACAATGAGAGATGTGAAAGGGATAGTAATGATAGTGAGAAAGGAAAAGAAGAAAAATATAAAGAAAGGAAGGGCCACCTTAAAATTTGATTAAAAACAATGATTGTATTAGTAAGACCATTTGCTGGGAAAAAAAATATTTAGTAAGACCATTGCCTAAAAAAAACATTTGAGAGGGGGCACATGTCCATCATGTGCTCCATTCACCATTGCTCTTAACTACTTCAGTTTCAAATCCTTTATTTTCTTAGGTAAAAGGGTTGTGATTTTTCCATTAAAGATTGGTTTTTTTTTTCTTTTAAAAATAGTCCTAAATATATGATAGATTTGATAATGCACAATTGTTTGGCGCTTGAAATTTTTTCCTGTGTGCTTGATTTTTTTTATTTAGTTTATTCTGCGTGTAACTTTATACTTAACAATGGTCATTTTTTTGGGAATAATGGTTGTAATTTTTTTGTAAGATTAAAGAAAAATAATTCTGCTAAAAAGAAAGTTAAATGAATTTTTTATGGAAAACAAATACTGAAAAAAGCTTATATTGACTCATTGAAAAGGGTATAAATTTTGCTGAGTTTTCCAAAAATTCGTTGCCGTGACAGAGGGAGTCATGGAAGCCGATAAGCCAACAGCGATGCTGTGCACATTGCTGGCAATAGACCACACCGACTTCTCTTACAGAGTGTGCTCCGTCTGCGAGAGGACTCTCCCTGACAATCCAACTTCTCTTTGCAAATTCTGCAGCGTCAATGCCTTCAACCCCCGTTTTCCTCGCTCAAAACGCCTCTTCCGCCTTCTTGTAACTTCTCTTTCTTCTTCTTCTTCTTCAATCTTTCTCATTTCCCTTTACCCTATTTTTGAAAAGCTGTTTGCTTTACAAAAAAAAGTTGCTTGCTTTACCAAAAAAAGTTGCTTGCTTTCCAATTGGGTTTTTCAAGACTTCCCTTTTGAGGTACTTTTTAGTAATTCTTTTTGGTTGGTTTTTTGGATTTTTTTGCAGATGTCAATAGCCTCAGATACAAAGGTGTTTACTGTGATATGCTTTGATAGGGCTGCCAAGGTTCTGTTTGGTTGTTCTGCTGATGAGTTTTTTGACTTTGCCAAGTTTCACCCGTTTGCTGGTAAACCTCCAACCCAATTGCATTAAAAATGTGATTTTTGTTTGTGTTACTGTAACTACCCAATCTTAATGTTCTCATTTCTGACTTATTTTCTGGTGCTTTCCTGATGAATGCAATATGTGATGCCTTGTTTTGGGGTGTTTTATGCAGCTGTTAATGTGAGTAGAATTCTGGAGGGAGAGATGTTTAAAATGACACTATCCAAACCAAAGAATGGGAATGCACAACATCTGCGAGCGGTTCAAGTTATTCCATTGAGGTCTGGTTTTCAGCCAGCAATTGTGACGTTGAGGGAATTGTATGGAGTAAGAAGCTCTTGACTACTGTTGTTTTCATCTACTGCATACTATGGACTTGCAAATGCTATTGATCTGCTTTTTTTAATTTCTTCACTATTGAATTGCACTGGTTTCTCAAAGCACTTGGCTTTTTTAACACTTCAAGTATACTGCGCGTTAATGCCCACATTTCCGTGATGGTATTTTGGTTGCCTGCATTTATACTAGGAAAATTTAAGCCCTTGGTAACAGTTTAGCTGTTTTTGTCTAAAATGACGCTGAAACTCATGGCCTTTTTCATACTTCTTCAAAGAATCATCCATCCAATTGTGCTGTATATGGTTGCCAATTTTTAAAAGAATATGCAAGTTTTTAAATACCAAATCAGTGGAACTTACGAAAGACAAGAAATGCCATTGAAAAATGTGAAATTGTATAGCGAGCCATTTTGGCAGAAACCTGGATTCTAGATTAGTAACTTTTAGGTCTGTCAAAGCAAGCTTGGTAACTACCGTTATGGACAAGCAGATCGTAATTATTCCTGCTGAACAGACACCACTTTGAAAACCACATGTTGGCAGGCTAGGATCCGAGGCTATCATTTGGGAGCAATTCTTTCGACTGGCTCAGCTACGACCAGTTTTCCTTGCATCCAACTTGTCAGCATCTGTAATGCGGCTTCTGGTTGATCCATTGGAACCATGTGACCGGCATTATGGACCTGTTTTTGGTTACATGCAATCAAATTTGCCGAAGTTACAATGTGTAATCACAGAGAGAGAGAGAGAGAGAGAGAGAGAGAGAGAGAGAGAGAGAGAGAGACCTTGAGGAAAGTTAGAGGTCCATGGCTTTTAGCAGTCCTGCTTCTGTAGCACCAACCTTGAATGGAACAGTTGATGATTCTCCGAATGCTTTCTGACCAGACCATTCCATGGCATGAACCCACTTTGAATTTCCTGCAAAATAAATAGGCATAATAATATAAGAGTTCCAAAAGTACTTTATCCTCTCTAATACATGAAACATGAGCTTTTTTGCTAGAACAAAGAGGCTCACCAAGCCAATTGCAGATGAGATCATACTCCCCAGCATACAAAAGCACCTTAATTCCATCTTCAAGAAGGGCAGGAATACCCACTTCCAGATTTCTCATCCAGTCCATAAGCATAGCGTCGTATACTGTAGAGCTGCATGAAACAAAGTCTATGTCTCCAACTCCTAGGGCATCCCTAACCTGTTTCTTCTTCAAGAATGTCTCCATGTTTGAGAAGTCATAGCACATGTCCCCTTCACATTGCTTTCTAATATCATAGTACTGCATATACCAAAATAAAGTAAACTCTCAGCATACTTGAATTTGTATGTGGGTTTGTTTAGAACTTATTTCTCTGACGATGATAAAAAGATTTTTGCGCTTGCTTACGTTTGTACCACCAATTATATTAATGATATTTTCGAATATGCTATTGCAAACTTCATATGAAGATGCACAAGCTTCTCCACCCTCAGAGCCTGACAGTTTCAGATATCAGAAAAGTCATGAGTTAGATAATGTTGTAAGACAACCATCAAATCTCGTATGAGATTGTAACTAACAGGTATGTGAAGAACAAAGGAAATGAAGAGGAAATACCGCAAGTCTTAATTGCCTGTTCACAGTCTGGAATCGTCTTAGAAATCCTATCGTAGTCAGCTTTTTTAATCAACCCCGTCTGCAGTGCAAAATCAGGGTACGCCTTGTACTGAATTTCAGGATTGGTTAGTCCATTACCTATGGCGAATCCCTGTTCAACGATAGCAGATGCAACTATTGGATCAGTATGATCATGATGAAGCAACCAAATGCAGTCAATCCAGTGTAAGTATTAAGATACCTTGAAGTTTATGTACATTCCTTCCTTTGCTTTGTTTCCTTTGTGAATCCGAGAACCAAATGCAGGAATGTAGTGCCCAGCATATGATTCTCCAGTAATGTAAAAGTCATTTTTAGCAAATTGAGGATGCTGAGCAAAAAATGCCTGTGATCAGGAAGAGAAACTTTAAGGATAGTTGTCCATGTGTGTGTGAGGGGTTATAATTTATTGAAAGCAAGTCTCGATATAACATAAAGGAATTGCTAGGACCTGCAGAAAGTCGTACAAGTCATTGCTGATGCCTTCTTCGTCGTGGCGGATGTCACCCTCGTCTGAAGTATAGCTGAAACCGGTTCCAATGGGTTGATCCACGAAAAGAAGGTTGGATGCCTGCCAAACAAAACAAACAAAACCTTGGTCACAATCCAAAGGGAAACTTTAATGTGGACTCAGTAAAGAATTGCAAAATAAGAAAATACCTTGTCCCAGCCGTAGTCATTCCAGGCAAGAGACAAGTTGTTTGCAATTTGAAAAGGACCATTTTCATAAAACACAGCTATTTCGCTGCTACACCCTGGCCCTCCAGTCAACCACATCACAACAGGGTTATTCTTGTTAGTCCTGGATTCAAAGAACAAGTAGAACATCCTGCGAAAACAAAATAGATTGAAATCAAAATCAGCGCAAGAATTTTCTAGAAAATAGATTAAAATAAGCCACATCATCTTTCTATTGATCATGTGAGGACAAGTTCAGACAAAGATACAAGCAAAAGATGTGGACAAGAGGCATGTAACCATCATCCCTGTTCAGAGTGTCGTTTTGTGTCTGTATTCAATGTAACAATGCAACTAAATTCCAGATGCTTATGTTAGCATTTGGTTTTTGGTTTTTGTTTTGTTTGTTTTTTTTTCACAGGTTTATATATGATATTGAAACTTGAAAGTTAAAACAGAGGAACACATGTTCATTGAAAAATTGAAGATGCAAAGATTGATAGTTGTCTGCAATTTTGTCTTAATGTGATGAAGAATCAAAATTTGGAAATGGTATGAGGGTTTTGTACTACATGACATACACTAGTACAAAACTTTTCACTTTCCCAAATCAAAATTTGAAGCCATTGAAGCACTACTCAGATTCCAAAGGCAATTGAACATCAACCCTTTACCCTTACCTTGCAGCTTTAGAATTGGGAAGGCGATAGTAGCCGGCATGGTGGCCAAGCTCTTGAACAGAAGGTCCGGAAGCAGCACCAAGAAAAGGCATTTTAAACTGCTTTTCAACCAGCATAGGACCAGCAAAAGCCTCATCCAATGAAGTCTTGTGGGGGACAGTGTTGATCTCATCAATGGGGAACAAGTTAAGGTCTCTTATGAATTTTTCGGCTTGTAGTTTCGGGGTTGAAGATAATTGAAGGGGGCCATTGTTGGGAAATGCTGCAGAGAAAAATGGCAGGAGGAGGAGGGAAAGAAGAGAAAGGGAAATGTGAGAAAAAGTAGATGCCATTGTTGTTTTGTTGTTTTTGTGTGTGGAAAAAACAGTGGTGGGTTTGGAGGGAATATATAGTGTTCCAATGTGAACAAACTAGTCTTGGCTAATAAGGCTAAAAGAATTGGAGTATGAAATGTCTAACCGCATGAGGTGAGAGAGAGATTGAAGTAACGGTCGTTGTTTTTGTTATTTTTCAAATTACTTTTCTTTTCATTTTTATTTTTGCGGCAAACTTTCCTTTCTTTTTTTCTTTTTTTTTCTTCCTCGAATTCCTCTTTTTTTTAAAATCCATATTTTCTCCTAACACAATCTTAGCCATTTAATTTCATTCAGAGAGAATCCAGCAGTTTTTGTCATATATATTCCAGGATTTATTTTTATTTTATTTTACAATAATATGAAGAATAAAACCATATAGATAAAGTAACAGAGGGTTAATTTTTCCAATAATCCAAAATTGCCCTCGTTTAAGAAAAACAAAATGTCGAGACACAACAAACATTTCTCTATAGATAAAGATAAGATAAATAAAAATTAATTAAAAAGAAAAACCTATTAAATCAAAAGACCCTTAAAGTGAAAATAATTAAAAAATAAAAAAGAAATAAAAATTATACAAAAATCTCTATAGAAGAAGATAGGCCCTCGAAGAGGCTAGTTTTGCTTAAAAGGAAAGAAATTCTAATCCTCTCATTAGTAAAAAAGAAAAAGAAAAGTAATGCTCTCAATTAAAACAAAGAACAACATTATAATCATGGTTTGGACCCTTTTTAAAAAATCCCTTTTATTATGATTTAAATGTGATTTGGAAAAAGAGTAATGTTAGGGAAACCACAATTATTTATTAGAGAGATACGTAAATGTGGTCTCCCTAACATTTTCCTTTGAAAAATATTCACCCCGTCTCTCCTTACATAGGATTTTAATAGACGAGATTTGAGCAATCTTCAACACCCCACCCTAAAGAAATAAAAAACAGGGATATGAGGGGAAAAAAAGTTATGAAATAATGTTCTTTGGATAATTAAAATACATTATACGCGGTTTATTTAATTTTTCAAATAATTATTTATTTTGGGCTACATAATCTTTGCGATTTACCAAATAGCTTTTGAGTACGGATTATAAAAAGGAAAATTTATTAGCTTTTTTTTTCCTTTTTTTTTTTTTTTTTTTTTTTTTTTTTTTTTTTTTTTTTTTGAATAAAGCAAAAGCATGGAAAATTGTTGCGTGTAAGGCATCATTGCCTTCTGATAAAGCACACACACAAATCTTGTGATAAAAAATGAAGATAAGGAAATTCTCTCAGAGCCCAAAATAGAAGGAGAAAGTTTTAAGACAACATTTTTTTTCCTAATCCTTGGTTTGCTTCTTATCTCCTAGCTATCTCCTACCTTAAAGCAAGGGGAATATAAAATAATGGAGATCAGAATCAGATCACCCACCAACCAAAATTTAAACAAGAATTTTATTATAGGTTTGAGTTGGTACAAAAGGCAATGACTTTGTTTTGATGCATGATTGCCTAACATGATGCTTTGATTATGAAGGTTCATTTCCAGCTATGTCAGTAAAAAGTCAAACGTCCGTGAAGAAGATGTAGGTTTTCATTTTTGTTTTACTTGGTTTGATTGAACCGGATGCTTCTTGTAGAGCAGACTTTTTGAGAAGAAGCAGTTAAGAACCCCACAACTTTAAATTTTTTTTAGTACAAGCGATATTCTAAATTACAAGGCTGAGGTTTCTCATACACAACCAAGATGTTGTTGGGGTTCGAGCCTGAGACTTCTGGTCGGCAAGTCAATTCCCTTTTCCACTAGTCTAGTCTAGACATCGTTGGCCCACAACTTTTAAGCAGTTTTAATCTATTTATCAAACACTTTTCCGACCAAAATTTGTAACTTAATCGCTTTTAAGACCATCTGCCGCAAGCCTAAACTGGCTATAAAGCAGTCTCAGAAAAGAGAGAATGTGACTATGAGAAGGTTAAATCTGATGCACGCCATACCTGTATGACTTTGGAATTACAGGGGCATCTATCTCTTAAAACAATTGCATACCAGAGAGATCATGCCACTATGCATGAGTGATACAACAGAAAAGCAAACGCAAGATATCGTGATACTAATTTTATGGCAGTTTCATGAAATGAGTTGTTTCACTTTTATGCCGTTGGATGAGTTGAATTTTTGAGACTCTGTAGCAGGTAGATTAAATCAGACTCATCCATCCGAAATTAGTGGTGGTAATGCTCACCACCATTTAAGGGTGGTGAGCAAAAATATTCTGGATATAATATGGAGCAAATGCCAGCTACAAGACCATAAATGCAACACGGATCTCCATACAGGACTTATAAGTTTGAGATTTACACACCAACATATATTGGCACTTGAATATTGCACAACAACAGCTTACTTGTAAACTCTTTAAGAAGCTGCTTTTAAATAATATACAGAAGATAACACATCTCTGGTGTTCTCTGTCAGCGGTAAATGTGGGCCTCACTGCTGCAATCTCAATCCAGTCAGATGCTACATCCAAGTCGCACACGTTCACCACCTCATGCTATAATGCCGGGGAAGACAAAGGAGAGAGGCTGAAAGGCTTAAACTCATCTTATGACCTAACTTTTGCAAGTCGGGCCCTTATTTCTTCCAACTCTTCCTCATCATCAGCACCCTCAGCTATTGCTTCTTCCTGCAGAAGTAAACTAATGTATCAATTCTCATGCTTCTTTGAAAGGCAGAAAATTATCGCTGAAATGGGACTTTATTACATGACCATGTCACACATACCTCCTGTGCAGCTTGTGCAGTAGCAGGTTGCTTCAACCTCTCCTTCCTGACTGCTTCCGGAAGCTCTGCAGCAGTCTCACCAGCTATAGAAGTCAAAACCTTATCAACCTCTTCTTCTATCTCGTCTTCTATATCCTCCGAGTCTAGTGCTGTGTCAAGACTATCATTCACCATCTCTTCAATTACCCCTGCCTACAAATCACGAATATAACCATTGTTTATTCACCAGAGGACCTGATTAAGTTTGATAAGATCTAAATGAAAAGCTAGTTAAAGCAACAAACATAAGTGAAAATAACATCTGATTATTCTGGGAGGAAACATCTATTTACAGATGGCAAACTAATAGATTAAAAAGGCCATAATGTAGGATAAATAATTCCCTGTTTTCCAAAAATACTTCATCTGAAAGAAAAAAGGGAAGAGGAAGAATTTTGGGTAAATAATGACTCTTCCAATGCAATTTTTATCTACACATTGGCAAAGATAATTATTGCTGCAAAAATCATAATCCATGAATATGATATCTCAGAAACGACGGAAATGAAAGACGAGACGTTTAGCTTCTTTGTAAGTGAAAGAGTGATGACAAGAGTACCTTGGTCATCTCCTTGCTAAATTCTTGCATTGTCACAGCCACTTCTGGAGCCTTCATAAGGTTATTGACAAGCTTCATAACCTCAGAACTCTTGGATAAATGCCCCACGGTACGGGCAATAGCTGGAAAAATCAAACATGAGCATGAAAGATATTAAACCAACACACGATACTGATGTTAAACAAACCAAAGTTCCCACATCAAACTTAGTTTTTCCTTGCCACCCACTCAACCTAAACCTTATTTTTAACTTACCAATTTGTCCAAATCAACATCCTAGAAGATATAAGTTCTCTATCTTATTGGACTATAAAGAATGGGCAGCCATAACAAGAAAAGAAGAATCATAATAACATAACCCAACAAACAAAGTTCTCCCTTGCCATTCCCTGAATCTAAACCTTATTCTTAACTAACTATTTACACGAACTCCAACATCCTATTAGAACATATGAAATTTTCTATTTGTTGCACTATAAAAAACTGGGCAGTTGTTCTAAGTTAACTTCCCATTGTGTTGCAATGTGGCTAATCTAAGAATCATCTTCTAAAAGGAGGCCTATGTTGTCATTCAACCTAATAGAAAGTTTCCTTCATCATCAATGTTACTGTAAATTTACAAGTAACAGCCTACAAAAATTTCTCATTTTAAGACAGACAATGACATTAGTCTTTAACAAAACAAATAGCTACTTAAGTTAAAATTTTAAAATTAGATTCTAGACTCGAAATATACAAGAACTATTCTACTTAAATGCATAAACAAGCAATAACAGGAATCTGAGACAAACGTCAATTAGTTAATGAGAGCTTCCACTGGTGATGGAATACAGTCAAAGTGAGCCACAAGCTTAGGTATTAGAAACATCATACCAACACTCTCCCCAAGGTGCATCGATATCGAATTCAGTTGTGCCTTATTTTCATGAAGACGGTTCACAGTCCTTCTAGATCTCACAATTTCTTTAGCAAGTGACTGAAATAATTAACACAAAAGAGAAATTGAATATAAACAAGGGAAGAAGCACGACTGCAGCAAATAAGACAACAGTCAGAAATTAATAGATATACTAATCAGAATTATGTTCTGTCAAACATGTAGATTATGATACAAAACAGAACCAAATGGAAGTGATCAAAATCACACAGGTGGCCCCTCAGTTTCCTATAAAATCTCAGTTTCCAAACCACATCGTTTATTGATGACACATTTCCTGATTAAAGTTCCTTCTAGGTAGAAAAGGTATCAAACCTTCGTAACTTTAAAAAAAAAGGCTAATAATAATTCACGTAAATGCTGGGTTAGTTTCTTTCTCCTGGAAAAAAAAAACAGCAATATCATGATGAGTGAACATTTTAATATTCTATTTCATTTCTGTTCAATATAACCACAACATGTATTTGTTGCAATCAATAGAATTTGGTATGAAGCAAGTGAAAGCTTATAAACAACAAAGTCACTGAAACCAATAGAGCTAAAAAAATTGCATAAATTGGGAAAACTGGAAGTAGAAACTTTGGCTCAGAATCAAATTTTAATTGAACAAAAAGAGTACCTTTGCAGAACCCATGTCGTTTCTCTTGGCAGCATCTTTAATTGCTTTTTGCACACTCTTCTCTTCCCTTTGTATATCTGAAGCAAACTCATTACAGAAAACCCAAAATTAAACAAACCCACCAATCCAATTGCATGATCCATGAATCTAAACCATCACAAAAATTACTCCAGAATGCAAATTTTCAAACAAAAATGAAAATTATGACGAAAATTTGAGTTGGGTAACTTAAATAAGAGGAAGAGGATTATAAAGAAAATATTACCTCGAATTTGGCGTTCGATGTTGCGGCACTCTTGGCGAAGTTTACGCTGCCAATCTCTCAATTGCTGCTGTGGATTTGGCTTTGGCTTTATCATATTCATCATCTTCTCCATCTTTTTATTTTATTTTAGTTTTATTTTTAATTTTTGAAAAGTTGGGGTCTTTGATGAGGAACCAAATCTTCGTTGCTTGCCTGCGCTTTTTTACCAGGGAGGACGATGACAAATTTAAAATTATTCCAAAAAACAAAAAAGAAAGAAAAGAAAATTTGGTTTGGGTTTAGCTTCCAAGCCCAATTTGCAGAAAATAATTAAAAATATTTACGGCCCAAAAGGGAAGTTCCGAAAACCCAAAGAAAGAATCAAGTTTTATACTCAATGTTTTGTTTGTAATTAAAGGGTTATTTATTCAAATGATCCTTAAACTTATACCCGAGTTGCATTTTGATCCCTCAACCTATTTGTGAGCAATTATTTTGTCTTACTCGACTAAATTATACTTCTCCTTAGTTAGTTAATGTGTTTGGCAGGCTTCACTGGATTGGACTGGACTGGACTGAACTGGCTTAAATAGCATTTGAAAATCATGTTTGGTAAGATAAATGACTAACTTAAATGAGACTGTTGTCCAACGGTAAACAAAACCCCTCGTTCGCTCCTCTAATTTAGCGAGGTTAAAAAGTGTTTCGCAATATAGTGCCCTCGCTAGAATGAACACGCGAGTCCGAACTAAACCCGTTTCTTCTTCTTCTTAACCTGGAATTGGATTTTCTTGATTTGTGTTTTCAGTCAACCATATTCACTGAAGTCAGATCTTTGGCTCGAATCAAAACCCCCTACCACAATCAACTTGTCAGTCCACCACCATGAGTTTACCTAATTTCTGCAACTAAACAAACTCAAATCCTGTCTGGACAAGATCGAAGAGGACGTGTGTGGAAAACGCATTTGCTGAAGCCTTTGCCTAAGGCTTTCTCAATTGAATAAAAAGGAGTCAAAGGGGGAGAAGAAGAATTGGGGAAAAAGGGGATGTGGAGGTGGGTTCCGATGGGAATGAGAGAGAGAGAATCAGGGAGGTTTATGATTAAAGAAAAAAACTAGAGAGAAAAAAGGGATGTGGAAGTGAGTTGCGATGGGGGAGAGAGAGAATGAGGGAGTCTGTTGAATAAAGATAACAAATAGAGAGAAAAAAAAGATGAAAAGAATGGGGAGGTTGGGTTGCGATGGGGGAGAGAGAGAGAGAGAGAGAGAGAGAGAGAGGAGGTTTCTTGTTAAAGAAAAAAAAAGATAAAAAGAATGGGGAGATGGGTTTCTGATTAAAGAAAAAGAAATAGAGAGAAAAAAAAAGATAAAAAGAATGAGGAGGTTGGGTTGGGTCTGAATCTGATGATTTTTTTTTGTTTAACATAATTTTAGCCTTTAAAAATATCAGAATTTTAGTTGTTTTTTTATATATATTATTGTTTTAAATCTAATTATTACAATAATTATTTTTTAGTCCGACACTGCACAAAACATAGGTCTTCACTATTTTTACAGTCCAGCTTCTTAGTCTGATATAACACCAAACGTGGGTCAGTACTTAATCCAGCTTAGGTCAATCCAAGCTAATCCAAAATAGTCACAGGATTTAGTCTAGTTTATGATAGTTCGCCGTACCAAATGACCATATGAGATAAGTAAGACAAATAAAAACAAGCTGGGGTTAGGTTGACCAACTATCTCTTAGTTCGGTGATACTTCTCTTCCCAAAATTCAAAAAGGCCTTGATTTCAAATCTCCTTCTATATTGATAAAAAGAATTGAGTTGGTGGCAAAATTAATAACTTGATAATGGAGAGTAAAGGAGGAGCAGTGATCTTATCCTCTCCCATATATTTCTTTGGGGCTAAAAGAGAGTGCGGCTAGAATTGTTTTCAGTTGTAACTCGACGATGTTGATATACTTTTATTTTTTTGGCCAAAGTTAGGAAGGAAGATGGTGAATTTCTCACACACACACACTACAAAGGTACCATGAGGTTCGAACCTAAAACTTTTATTATTTCATTCTATCCCTTCGTATAACCACACATTTGTTATGGAGGATTAGATTGGACTAGCTACTATGAAGTCAATGACCCCTAGTCGAGTCTAATACTCTATGGGCTCATTTGTTACACGGGACTGTCTTACCTCGGCTTGGCTTAGTCTAAGTTGGATAACACTTATCCTGCGTTTGGTGTATGCTTGGACTAGGACTATATTTTTTTCTTTAAAAATAAAAAATAAAAAAATAAATATGTATATATACATTTTATAATATATATAATATATATGTATATTATAATAATATTATATATTATAAATAATATAAACATATATATATATATATGTGTGTGTGTGTGTGTGTATATATATAGGTGTATATATGTATATTATAATATGGGTATAATACATATACATATATTTATATATATGTATGTATATTATAATATATACATGTATATGTGTATATACATATATATATATGTACATTATAGTATATGTGTATGCAATAATAATAATAATAATAATATTAGTAATATATGTTATTAGTATTACAATATAATATATGAATCTTATACATTGGTGAACATATGACTAGTTAATTTTTGATATAAAAAACAGAACATATGACTAGTTAATCCTCCCTTTCTACATGGACTTAGTAGTCCGCTCAAAAGGAGGCGTTTTTGGTGGGCTCGGTATTAGCAATCTCATCTAAGACTAGAATTAAATGAAACAAATATGGTACTAAATTTAGTCCAAGCTTGTGTACCAAACAACCCCTAAAACAAATGTGAGCAACCATGTGTCTCTCGCAGTCTCGCTCCTTTCTTTCATCCCCTACGAATTTCCGTTTTTGAGCACGAGTATCACTCAAGCTACACAGCTGTGCAACTCAAGCCTGCTGCTGTCAACCTTAATTGGTTTGTATTTCTATATTTTCAAAAGTGTGTAAGACGATTGAAGAAAAAAAAAAAAAACGCAACAAAAAAAAAAAAAAAAAAAAAAAAAAAAAAAAAAAAAACAACATCCCTCCACCCCCCACCAAGCATAAAACTTCCATGCAATCTACGGATACAAAAATCTCTTACAAAGTTAAAGGCCATTACTGGTTAAGATAGGAAGAACAAAATTAACAGCCTAATGAATATCATTCTGCAAGTGTATTTGTTTGTATCACTCTACAGGTGGAAAGCTTCCTGTCTTTCGAATATGGTGAAGGGTCTTTCTTAGACCATGTTTGAGCACTGCCTTTTTACCTAAGCTGAACCCTTCTCCACAATCTGACGATTTCTCAATTCGGTATTGTAAATATTCACCAAGCTTCTTCTCAAAGTCAGACCCAGAATTCATCTCAACGTCCAGCCACATATGGGCTAACACTTGGCTGAAACCCTTTTTAACCTGTGGGCTCATATTTCGAATTTTATAACATTTAACCTTTAGCCATGCTTGCATTAAATTGGAAGCCATAGTTGACCCTGTCACCAGCCTAGGAAGATCACTCAGTATCCCCATTGCTGTTACTTGAGGGAAAGGCCCCGACGTCCATATAATAAAGCCATCGGTAGTCTCAGCTGCTAGCAATTGGTCACTCACGCGACCCTTCTTTTCCACAATGGCCTTCCTGGCTTTTAAGAGTTCTCCTTTATCGATCAAGTATATTCGAATATTTTTCTCTTGAATTTTCAAATCAAACATTTCTTGTACTTTAAGGAAAAGGGCTTCACATTCGTCAGCTTCTGTAATAGCTGAATCCCGGCAGTCCAGACATAGTGACCGGCCATCATTAAGTAAATGATATCTGGTGTCCCCTCCTGGCTGTAATCTTCCACAGCTACAACATCTAGGAGTTCCATCGCCCTGATGAGAGGGACAAGATTGTTGTCGCCAGAAATGATTTACGCTAGACTCAATACGACCATCTGAATTTGGTGGGATTAAATTTTCACAAACAACACATTGTGAATGACGACGCTTCATGTAGCAGGACGGGTGGTAAGGATGATTCTCATGCTTCTTAAATTTCGAATCAGTAATTGGAAGATCACAAGCATGACAGCAAAAACAAAGTGGATGCCACTGAAGAGCACCCTTCCAATTTTTATATTCCCCATCAATATTCCGTTTGCAGCCAACACACACCTTGAATTGAGGAGGAGAATCCATGTCCACACCACCTTCTTCAACAGCCTTGGGAACTTTTCCAAGTTGTTTATTGTGGCTCTTCGACTGAACTTTAGCGGGTCCATCATCTTTTTGTTGAGACTCATCATTATGCAGTTCCAAGTTAAGATCTCCTTCAGGCTCGTCTCTTCTGTGGGGATGAAAATCTTCAGGCATGTCTTGTAATCCCAAGAGCTCATATCGTTCCTCTATATGATGTTCGATCAACAGATGTTCCTTTCTGGTTGTGATAATGATTCTGCTCCCCAAGCCAAACCAGTCTTTGTTTCCGGCCAATACTTTCAGTTGGTTTAACTGATTCGCATCATCAATAACGAGAAGCACTTTTTTATTACATAAACAATACTTGGTCATAGTGGCTCCGCTATGAACATCCCAAACTTCATTCACTTTTTGCCTCAAGATTGGGGAAAGAAGCTGTTTTTGTAAATGAACAATCCCGTGGGTTGCACAAACCTCTCTGACATTAGCAAGAAAGTAGCTAACATCAAAGTGATGGAAAATTCTCTCATAAACAAGTCTAGCAATAGTTGTCTTGCCTGTGCCACCAGCCCCCCATATCCCTATGAAGCGAACATCTTTTGCCTCACGATCTAATAGCAATTCTATTTTCTTCAGTCTAAAATCAATTCCTACTAACTTTGTTGTGGAACCTAGCAATGTGACTATTGTAGGATACACTTTGTGACACACTTCTTCAACAATTTCTTTGATAAGCTCTGCCTCATATCTACAGGCCAAGGAAAAGAAAAATAAATAACCCTCCGGTGATATTATATATGAAGAGTAAATTAAATAATAATACTTGTTCATTTGTACATGCATACCTATCTTTCGAAATCCAGCCAGAGATATTACCAACTTTTGTAAGAGCAGCTCTCCAGCGTTGTACCTTTGCTTTGTCTTGTTTAAAGTTCTTTTTGTGCTTGTTGAAGGCTTCTGCAAACGTTCCCATTTGTTTTCGGACATCAGAAGGATCTACGTCATAAAAAATTGGTAGAATTTTGTCTACGTCTTTGCACTCAACAATCTTTGAAACCTCATCTAAGCACCAGGTGGAAGAAGCATAGTTTTGTGAGAGGATAATGATGGCAAACCTTGATTCTTCGATTGCTCTCAGTAGATTTGGAGAAATAGTTGTACCTCTTTCAAGTTCATTGTTGTCCCTAAAAGTTGTAATTGACCGCCACCACAATCTGTCATATAGATGATCCGTAAAACCCTTGCGAGTGTCTATGCCCCTAAAGCTCAAGAACACGTGGTATTTCCATGGAGAAGCTGAAGGAGCAGACGTGGATTCTCTTCGGCTGCTGAAAGCCATTCGACAGTGGTTCCAGGTAATCTGCTAGAAACACAAAGGATACATTAACTTTGGTACAAAATATTACAAAGTTGACTAAAATGAAACTTGAAATCATACCAGAGAGGGATTGTTTCAAAAGGAACGGAAATCAGAGAGAGAGAGAGAGAGAGTACGCCCCATTGTGAAAGGTGAAACAGTCGATGAACATAGAGTAATTATGAGAGGGCAGGCCTAGGGGTGTGTTGGTGAAACCAAAGAAGAGACATATAGGAAGTGATAGATGTTTGACTTTCGTGAGGGAGTGGAACATAGTATGTACTTTGTCTATCCACTCAGTTTTTATTTATATAAAAAAAGTACTATGACAACGTTAGGCATTTTAATATATTCTATGACAACATAGTATTTATTTGTCTATCTGATGTAGAACAGATGGCTCATGCGATAGAAGAGGAGTTGGAGAGCGTCGCGTGTGCAAAGTCAAGACTGGCAAGTTACAAGTTTGGGCCCCAACCTCCAATTTTGTGCCCATGAGCATGACCCACCGTTTCGAAGGGAACGGCGCCACGAATAAAACTCATTGCTTTGCTATGAGGTATGGGCTCTTTCGGGTGTTCGAGATCATTTAGCAGCTGAAATGGGCCATTTAATACTTTGCAAGTTATTAGAAACTTTTGTTAATTTCCCTTTTTAATTCCCTATTGTTTCCTAAGGTTTCTATAGGAGTATTTAAATCAATTTTAGCTTGTGGTAAAGGCATTATGTTATCATTATGGAGTTAATAAGATTTAGGTATTCTCATCTCCAGTGGATTCCAAGTTTTCTTAGATAATCGTTTAATTGCCTCATTATTTTGTCACATTGTGTCACTATTCTTGCAATTTTTCTTGCTTAATATGTATTTGTCTATCTTTTTGTTGCAATTGTGAACTTGTGTTGGTGAATTTTTTATTTAATTTTATTTAATTTTATTACACTACAAGAAAACTAAGTATTTACAGCGCGCCATATACAACGTGCATATGTTGCACTATGTTTTAGTGCACACTATGTTTTTCTGTTAGTACTGGCATGCTAGATACGAGCGCCATAAACTCTAATACCCATTTTTGGTTATATATGATTCTCTATTGGTTATAAGTTTGAGAAGATGTTCGTACTTTTTTCAATTTAAATTTAGTCAATATATGTTTTTTCAGTTATGCAAAGATTCTTCAAAAGAAAATCAAAGCTTGAATTAGTAGATGAATGATTGTTTTGCTGCATTTATTGAGAAATAGTATAGATGACAAAGCTATTATGCAAAGATTTCAAAATATGAAAACTCATCGAGAACAATTATGACTGTAATGAATAGACAATATGATTTTTTATATGTATGTGATATATATGATGCTGTGAGTTTGAATTTTTTATTGTTTATACCTTGTGAGAAAGAGGCCCCACACATGAAATCTTAGCTCCGACAATAGTTAGAGCCTAGCTTTGCTTAGATTTTTTTTATTTTTTTTATTTTTTTTCATAATGCTGTTGCCATAAGTACTTTTCTAGGTGAGATTACTGATAGAGATGAGCTAAAAATCCCCTACCAAAATTGATATCTGCATTGGATGCGAAAGGAATCATTCCATATTCTTTTATATGTTATGAACTTGATATAAAATATGTTTCTGTTAATGATGAGTTAAACGCAAGATCATTTTCTTTTGGTGGTTCTGAATTACAGAAGACAAAGCAAAGGCTTTAATTAATTAAGGTCCTGGAATATTCAGCAAGGCCAAACAACTAGTGTAATCCATAAGGCAAAAAGGGCACCGATCCCTATACATATATATAATTGTAGAACGTATTATATGTATGTATAATCTTAAATTTTGTTTTTATCAGTTTATAACCAGAAGTTACAACACAAAACGGGCATATACCTGTGTGTTGGTGAAACCAAAGAAGAGACGTCGAGATGTTGTTTGACTTTCTATATGGCATTTTAATAAAATCGAAGAGGAGTTTTTCTTCTATTTTCTATGGTTCTATGGCCAAACGATCGATATAGCACCCAATTTTGCAAAATTAAAAATTAAAAAAAATGGCAAAACTTAATGTGATGCTGTGAGTAAACTTCCAAATTTTACATAATTTGAACAAACTTAATGTGATTCTCTGCCAACATTTTTTATTTATTCAGGGAAGAGTATAATCTAATTATTTATTGAGTGTTGAGATTATGCTAGATATTAATATTGCACCGGAGTTAAAGAATCCCCTACAAAAATTGATCTCTGCATTGGATGTGAAAGAAATGTCACCCCATGTATGTTTCTTTAATGAAAGGAAGATGAGAGCGTGTGTTTCTTGTTTGCACTGGCAGTCTCTCTCTCATCTCAGAGTCTCGCTCTCCTTTCTTCATATCTGTTTACCCCAAAAAGGATCCGCCGGCCATTCGCGTGGGGTTTAGCCGTGGAGTTTGCTTGTTGCGAAGATTGTGGAGGCGCTGGAAAATGCACACCGATATTGACTTTAATCAATCGATTGTGGATTGGGCGGGAAACTGACCCAATATAAGGTTCTTTTCTATGCCTCAATTAAGAGGACTTCAATATTCATTTAGTGCGAAAATGGTAACTGACAGAAGCTGAAATTGAACAGTGATAGAAATGACAGAAGTTTATCGGAATATTTCTCTATTCAGACAACTTGAAAGAAAAAGGAAGTACATAAACAACATAGTCCAAAGATTTCTCTATTCAGACTTGGCACATAAAATTAAAATGGAGATTGAAGATTTCTCTTTGAATCTTGTACAAGAAAAAATCATACCAAGAGTTGGCAGAGCAAAATAAAGAAAATTTCTTAGGAGTTGTCAACTGGGAAATTCAGAGATTGAAAAAGGAAGGCTGTTTCAAGCTTTTGAGCTGGGTTTATAGACGTTGAGTCTTGTTTTTTGTTGGTTGAGTTGTCTGTGTCTTTGTTGATGATTTCTCCTTCAATTTATAGAAAATGATGAGGTCGGTTGAGTGGACCAACAGCCAATTTGAAGTACCCACTTGCCATTGGTTTTGTTGAGTGGGTTGTTGAAAATATAAGTAAACTCAAAAAAATTGCTAAGAGGCTTTGATGTGATTTGACAAAAGTTGTCACTATTAGACTTAAAGAAATCCAAAGTATTAGTCCACTTGCTATTGATTGGGGAGTGACAGCCAAAAGTAGTTGACTAAAAGACAAAAAGAAATGGAGAGATAATGACCACCATATCTACTTCTTTTTTTATATTTATTCTTTAAGTCCACTTGCATATTATTTTATTTTTCTTTCAACATTAGTGTAGAATTTTAACGTGTATGTTGAGCTTTGGCTTTGTTTTAATATTCTTCATCACAAAGAATATTAAATTGTTTCCATCAACCACATCTTCATTTTATTATTCTTTGAATCAACTCACTTGTGATGAAGTCCCTCCATTGATAAAGTGAAACTTGATTTGCAGCCCCTGAGTTTCTCCTCCGAACATGCCTTGATGCATAATAAACTGGGAATGCTATATTCATCCAATTGCTGCAAATTTTGGATATGTTGTTCTCCACATAAGTAGGAACAACATTCATGAAGAACTTAATTCCATTTGAGCAATGGAAATCTGATTTAGCATGGTTGCAACTGACTGGTCGTCACAGACTGCTGTCACGAACAGAAATCATGCTTAATGCCCTGAAGATTCAATACTTGTTAAAATGACGCCAAATACGGATATGTCGTAGTAGACATCCAAATGAACAACTTTCATGAAGAACGAGTGTTCATTTGAGAACTGGAAGCCGGTCCGAATTGGGCCATAATTAGGCCCGAATTGCCACTGTTATCAGCTTTTGCTGTTGCTGGTATGCTTCTGATGTTTGATATCGCAAGGATTCCACATTTATCCAAATGATCCCAAATTTGAATATGTTGCAGTAGACATTCTAATGAAAAACTTTCATGAAGAAAGAAAATTCATTAGAGATTGGAATTAGGCCCGAATTGCTGCTATAAGCTTTTTACTGACGCTGTGCATCCGGTATTTTCAGCTCTTAGGATTACACATTTGTCCAAATGATCTCAAATTTGGATATGTTGCAGCAGACATAGAGATGAACAACTTTCATGAAGAACGAAACTTGATTTGAGCAATGGAAGTTGAATTTTGGGCTCACTCTCCATCTGACTGCAGCAATGCATGTCTAGCCATATTTTGGCCATTTGATGTTCATGGAACATTATCTTCCATTTTAGGCAAAAATACGATTTTTGATACAAACAATATCATGCCCTGCAAATTTGAGTTTTTAAGCACGAGATCACTCAAGCTACATAGCTCTGCCGTTTCACTCAAGCCGCTTCTGTCAACCTCGGTTTGTACTATATTTTTCAAAAGTGTGTAAGATGATTTAAGTAATAAAAACAAAAAAACACAAACACAAATTCGACCTCAGAGAATTATACTTCCACGCCATCTACAGAATCAAACAAAAATCTCTTAATAAGTAAGGCCATGGCCATTACTAGTTAAGATCATTCAGCAAGTGGATTTATCTAGTAAGTACTTGTTTGTATCAGTCTACAGGTGGAAAGCTTCCTGTCGTTCGAATATGGTCAAGGGTCTGTCTTAGACCATGCCTGAGCACTGCTTTTCTACATAAGCTGAACCCTTTCATATAATTTAGATTCTGAATTACGTCCTCATAGAACACCGGTTCCTCAATTTGGTGTCGAAAAAATTCACCAAGCTTCTTCTCAATGTCAAACCCAGAGTTCATCTCAAACTCCAGCCACATATGGGCTAACACTTGGCTCATAGCCTTTCTAACCAGTGAGCTCATATGTACTGTTCCAAAAAAGTTGAGCTGTAGCCATGCGTCCATTGTACTGCAAGCCATAATCGACCCTGCCAATAGCCTAGGAAGACCAGTTAGTATCAGAATTGATGTTACTTCATGGAAAGGATTCAACTTCCATTTTTTTTTCTTCCATACGATACAGCCCTGGGTAGCCCCACCTGCTAGGAATTGACGAGTCACGCGTCCATTCTTTTCTCCCTTATTCATGGCTTTGAAGAGTTCTTCTTTGTCCACCAAGTATATTCGAATATTTTTCTTTGGAATTTTCAAATAAAAAATATCTTGTACTTGAAGGAAAAGGGCTTCGCAGTCATTAGCTTCTTTAATGGCCGAATCACGGCACTCCAGACATAGTGACCGGCCATCATTAAGAAAATAATATCTGGTGTTCCTTGGCTGTAATCTTTCACAGCTGCAACATTTAGGGGTTCCGTCCTCCTCATGAGAAGGACAGGATCTTTGTGGCCAGAAATGATGTACCAGAAACTTATTATTAAAACCACCATCTGAATTTGATCGGATTACTTTTTCACAAACAACACATAGTGAATGACGAAGCTTCATGTAGCAGGAAATGTGTGAAGCATGATTCTCAAGCTTCGTAAATTTCATAAGTGGATGATTTTCATTCCCGTCATAGGGATGAAAATCTTCATTGTCTTGTAATCCCAAGAGCTGATGTCGTTCCTCTATGTTGTGTTCGATCAACAGAGGTTCCTTTCTGGTTGTAATAATGATTCTGCTCCCCAAACCAAACCAGTCTTTCTTCCCAGCCAATATTTGCAGCTGGTTTAATTGATCCACATCATCAATAACCAGAAGCACTTTACCCCCATATCCCTATAAAGCGAACATCTTTTGCCTCACGATCTAATTGCAATTCTATTTTCTTCACTCTAAAATCAATTCCCACCAACTTTGTTATGGAACCTGGCAATGTGAATATTGTAGGATAAACTTTATTACACGCTTCTTCAACAATTTCTTTGATAAGGTCGCTCTCATCTCTACAACCAAGAAAAAACCATCTGGTTAGATTACATATGTTTATAACATATCTGACCAAGCAACTAGAAGCAAATCTATGCAAGGCAAAGAGTCCCACGTTGAAATATTACAAGATGTGTAGACTCCCCCTCATTTATAAAAGGAGACCACTCTCCACTTAGGAAAGGATCCTTGGGCTAGGCTTGATTTTTAGTCATGACCTTCTCCTTTTTTACTTTTATATTTGGGTCCAACCCCATGTACAAATGTAAATACACAATATTATAATAATGAGAATATACTTCTCCGTGGACGTAGCTCATTCATTAAGAGTGAATCACGTATCTTTTGTCTTTTGTATGTTTATCGCTTGCTCAAATCCTCACACACTTGGTGAAGGTCCTCACCTTCACCCATCATCCATCATACCTCATCATTAAGTTGGGCTCAAAAGTGTCGAACCATTTTTGAGCTTCAACAACATATATGAAGCATAATTTGGAACAAAATAAAAATAAAAATACCTGTGCATTTGTGCATGCATACCTATCTTTTGAAGTCCACCCAGCGATATTACCAACTTTTGTAAGAGCATCTCTCCACCGTTGAACCTTTTCTTTTTCTTTTTTAAATTTCATTTTATGCTTGTTGAAGGCTTCCGCAAAAGTTCCCATTTGCTTTCGAACATCAGAGGGATCTACATCATAAAAAACTGGTAGAATGGTGTCGATTTTCATGCACTCAACAATCTTTGAAACCTCATCTAAGCACCAGGTGGAAGAAGCATAGTTTGGTGAGAGGATAACGATCGCAAACCATGATTCTTCGACTGCTCTCAGTAGAGTTGGTGAAATAGTTGTACCTCTTTCAAGTTCATTGTCGTCCCTAAAAGTTGTAATTGAGCGAAACCACAACCTGTCATATAGATGAGCGGTAAAACCCCTGCGAGTGTCTACGCCCCTAAAACTCAAGAACACTTGATATTTGCATTGAGAAGCTGAAGGAGCAGAAGTGGAGGCTCTTTGGCTGCTGAAAGCCATTTGGCAGTGGTTGCAAGTAAATCTGCTAGAAACACAAAAGATACAAGAACTTTTGGTAGAATATTAGAGAGAAAAAAAAACAAAAAATTGCATACTATTTCAGATGCTGAAATAACCTGTAAGATTGCTATACAAATCTGTCAATTAATACAAGCAAGATCGTAAATGGCACAAAAATGAAACTGGAACAAGGAATGGAAATCGCAGAGAGAGAGAGAGAGAGAGAGAGAGAGAGAGAGAGAAGGTACATCACGTGTGTGAAAGGTGAAACAATCGAAGAACATAGAGAAAAATTATGAGAGGGCGGCAGGGTTGTGTCGGTGAAACCAAAGAAGAGACATAGGAAGAGATGTTGTTTTGACTTTCATGAGGGAGTGGAAAATGTGTCCACCCTTTCTATCTGCTCTTTGAGATTTCAGCTCTCAAGTTTTTCCTTTCTTTCCCCGTCATTGGTTAAGGAGTGGAAAAGGCTGTAGATTCTTTTCCATTTTTTGTGTATGATTTCCAGTCTCTCCGTGTGGAGGCTGAATTCCTAATTCCATATGGATTGAAACACCCTATCCTAATGCAAATCAAGATTGCTTAATTGTTTCTTAATGGGCAGGAAACTTAAGTAAATGCATGTAAGTGGAGGTCCCTTTTCTAGCAGTCAATTACCTACTCATTCAGAAATCTCACCCCATTAGAGAAAGAGCTTAAGGACTGCACAGTGAAGAAGATTTCTATCTTACCTACTGAAATCATGTCTGACTAAGGTGTATTATTGAATAAAGACCTGAAATAACTTACATTCCTCCTTCCAACAAATTACTATTTGACACATATGCAAAAATAATTAATCACTAAAACCAAAATAAAATAAAAATTGATATCTGCATTGGATGTGAAAGGAATGTCATCATTCCATTTTTTTTTCTTTTTAAATCACAGAAGACAGAACAAAAGGCTTTATTTAATTAAGGTCCTGGAATATTCGACAAGGCCAAACAAGAGTAATCCATAAGGCAAAAACTGCACCGATCCCTATACATAATTCAAGCATATATAGTTGTAGAAAGTAAAGTATTATACGTACGTATAATCTGAAATTTTGTTTTTATCAGTTTGTATAGTACATCATCAGTCTATGCAATTCTGATTCTGCTGCAGAACTAAAACCAGAAGTTACCACACAAAACGGGCATACAACTAAAACTACAACATGATAATCCTCTTTCTGATAACAAAACGGGCATAACAACATACCTAGTAACCCATGATCATCCTCTTTCTTCACACATACAAATTCAACTAGTCCTAGTATCTGACAGTCTAAGAATTAAGTTCACAAGTACCATGATCATTTCAATGTTGTTAGAGGTCCAGATTTTCAATCCTTCTCAACTGATTAAAAAAAATGAATTAGCGGCAAATATAAATTACTCGATTTTAACACGACACACATATATCTAAATGTTGCAACATGTGAGACTCATTGCAAAAATTAGGCACAGATTTTTATATTCAGTAACATATTATCAATAGAGGTCCCCTTTAAAAAAGACACTGATATATAATAGTCCATAATACTACAATAGGTACTGTTTTCAATTCCTAAAGAAGGAAAAATAGATTGATAGCACTCAGTGTCTTTTAAGCCTTTTTAAAAATAGTATCGGGGCATTTTTTTACAATCTTTGTTGACTTCATATTGTTTTCTTGCTTAAACCGTTTCACGTTTCTTCTACCATAGTTGGTGAACTATATATTTTGGCCCGTACAATACAACATGACACATGTCACATGTTGTGTGCCCACATGTCGATTTTGTATGTATCTTGTTCATACGAACCTGGCTTACTTTACAATTTTTGAGTGAAATTTTCGCATTGATTATTTATTTATTTATAAGGATTTTTAGTTGCCTTATAAATAAATAACTAAGGAGGACTAAATGTATTGATGTGCTTACAGTTCACATAGTGCACATAGTATATTGGTGTTTCATGTGAATAAAAGCTTCATGTATGTAATTTTGGAAACCATGTTTGATTGTTTAAGCATGTGTATTTTTCTTGCCATGCGTTTCAAATTGGGAGCAAATATATGTATGTTAGAAATACATGTTAGTTGTAAGGTGCTTGTAGCTCAAGTGGTTAAGAGCAGTCACCTATGTACCTAAGGTCCTGTATGTGTTTGAAGCCTCTAATATTGCCTGTATACAAAAATAAAATATAAAATAAAAGAAATATATGTTAGTTCAAACCTTGGAAATGGGCGTCTCATCAATAACATGCATTTCAAGACACAAACAACTTTAGTTCTGCACAAATGTTGATTGACATGAATAGGATTTGTTAACTTAATGAATATCAATCCACTAGTGGAAGGCTTCCTGTCATCGCAATATGGTCAAGTGTCTGTCTTAGACCATGCTTGAGTACTGCTTTTCTACCCAAGCTGAACCCTTCCCCACTATCTGACTCAATTCGGCGTTGATAAAAGTTACCAAGCTTCTTCTCAAAGTCTGACCCAGAATTCATCACAAATTCCAGCCACATATGGGCCAACACTTGGCTCATATCAATTTTAACCTGTGGGCTCATATTTCGAATTCGATAACATTTAACCTCTAGCCATGCTCCCATCATAGTCCGAACCATAGTGAGCCCTGTTCTCAGCCTAGGAAGACCACTCAGTATCTTAATTGCTGTTACTTCAGGGGGCTTCCCGCTCAATAAAATATGTTCACTCACTTTTAAGAAATCTGTTTTCTCGACGAAGTGTATTAGAAATTTTTTCTCTTGAAATTTCAAATCAAACACTTTTTGTATTTCAAGGAAAAGGGCTTCGCATTGGTCAGCTTCCGTAATGGCCGTGTCCCGGCATTCCAGACATTGATGCCGACCATCATTAAGTAAATGATATATGGTGTTCCTAGGCTTTATTCTTGCACAGCCACAACACCTAGGAGTTCCGTCGTCCTCATGTTTGGGACAGGATCTTTGTAGCGAGATAGGATGTAGGCTATACACCACAGTACCATCTGAATTTAATGGGATTAAATTTTCACAAACACCACATCGTAAATCCCGCTCCCTGTGGCAGAGTCTGTGGTAAGGATGATTCTCATGCATCAAAAATTCAGTAATTGGAAGATTGCAAGCATGACAGCGAAAACAATGTGGATGCCACTGATGAGTACCCTTCCCATTTCTATAATATTTCCTATCCTTAATATTCTGCTTGCACCCAACACAGACCTTGACTTTAGGAGGAGAATCCATGTTCACACCGTCTTCAACAGCATTGGGAACTTTGCCAACTTGTTCATCGTTCTTCGACTGAACTTTGGTGGGTTCATCATATTTTCGTTGAGACTCATCTTTTCGATCTTCAATTGAATTAGGCAGCTTCTTAGGCAGTTGCAAGTTAAGATCTCCTTCAGGCTCATCTCTTCTGTCGGGATGAAAATCTTCACTGTCTTGTAATTCCAAGAGCTCATATCTTACCTCTATGTGATGTTCGATCAACAGATGTTCCTTTCTGGTTGTAATAATGATTCTGCTCCCCAAACCAAACCAGTCTTTGTTTCCAGCCAATACTTCCAGTTGGTTTAACTGATCCGCATCATCAATAACGAGAAGCACTTTTTTATTAGATAAACAGTACTTGGTCATAGTGGCTCCGCTATGAACATCCCAAACTTCATTAACTCTTTCCTTCAAGATTGGGGAAAGAAGTCGTTTTTGTAAATGAATAAGACCATGTGTAGCATAAACTTCTCTGACATTAGGAAGAAAGTAGCTAACATCGAAGTGATGGAAAATTCTATCATAAACATGACTTGCGATAGTCGTCTTACCTGTGCCACCATCCCCCCATATCCCTATAAAGCGAACATCTTTTGCCTCACGATCTAATAGCAATTCTATTTTCTTCACTCTAAAATCAATGTGAACCAACTTTGTTGTGGAACCTGTCAATGTGAATATTGTAGGATGCACTTTGTTACACACTTCTTCCACAATTTCATTGATAAGTTCGCTCTCATCTCTACAACCAAGAAAAAACCATCTGGTGAGATTACATATATGAAGCATAATTTGAAAAACTAATACCTGTGCATTTGTTCATGCTTACCTATCTTTTGAAATCCAGCCAGAGATATTACTAACTTTTGTAAGAGCAGCTCTCCAGCGTTGTACCTTTGCTTTGTCTTTTTTAAAGTTCTTTTTGTGCTTGTTGAAGGCTTCCGCAAAAGCTCCCATTTGTTTTCGGACATCAGTAGGATCTACATCATAAAAAATTGGTAGAATGGTGTCCACGTCCTTGCACTCAACAATCTTTGAAACCTCATCTAGGCACCAGGATGAAGAAGCATAGTTTGGTGAGAGGATAACGATCGCAATCCGTGATTCTTTGATTGCTCTCAGTAGATTTGGTGAAATATCTGTACCTCTTGCAAGTTCATTGTCGTCCCTGAAAGTTGTAATTGAGCGAAAGCACAATCTGTGACATAGATGAGCCGTAAAACGCCTGCGAGTGTCTATGCCCCTAAAACTCAAGAACACATGGTATTTCCATGGAGAAGCTGAAGGAGCAGAAGTAGAGGCTCTTTGGCTACTAATAGCCATTCGGCAGTGGTTCCAAGTAATCTGCCAGAAACACAAAAGATACGAACTTCTGGTAGAATATTAGAGAGAAAAAGAACATATAAAACTGCATACTATTTCATATGCTGAAATAACCTGTAAGATTGCTATACAAATCTGTCAATTAATACAAGCAAGATCGTAAATGGCACGAAAGTGAAACTGGAACAAGGAATTTGGAAATCGCAGAGAGAGTCGAAGAACATAGAGAAAAATTATGAGAGGGCGGCAGGGGTGTGTTGGTGGAACCAAAGAAGAGACATAGGAAGAGATGTTGTTTGACTTTCGTGAGGGAGTGGAAAATGGGTCCACCCTTTCTCTCCGCTCTTTGAGATTTCAGCTCTCAAGCTTTTCCTTTCATACCCCGTCATTGGTTAAGGAATTTTATTTATTTATCTATTTTCTAAATCACAGAAGACAGAACAAAAGGCTTTATTTAAGTAAGGTCCTGGAATATTCAACAAGGCCAAACAACTAGGATCATCCTCTTTCTGATAACAAAACGGGCATAACAACATACCTAGTAACCCATATGATCATCCTCTTTCTTCACACATACAAATTCAACTAGTCTTAGTATCTAACAGTCTAAGAATTAAGTTCACGAGTACCATGATCATCTCAATGTTGTTAGAGGTCCAGATTTTCAATCCTTCTCAATTGATTAAAAAAAAATGAATTAGTGACAAATATAAATAACTTGATTTTGACACGACAAATATATATATCTAAATGTTGCGACACATGTGGGATTCATTGCAAAAATTAGGCACAGATTTTTGCCGAGCATCATTAAGTATATCATATTCATATATGCTGTTCCTTGGCTGTAATCTTCCACAGGTACAACACTTAGGAGTTCCGTCGTGTTTATGAGAGGGACATGATTTTTGTAGCCAGAAAGGATGTAGCCTAGAATCAACAAGACCAGCTGAATGAAATTGGATTAAATTTTCACAAACACCACATCGTGAATGGCGCTCTGTGTTAAGAACTGGGTGTTTGTTTAGTAAACACAAGCAAAATTTGGAGAATGTTCTCTTATTGAATTAAACAACTTGACTGGCTATATATAGCCTTACAAAATAACAGAGAAAGAGATAATTTGTGGCCCACGTTATACATGTTATGCGAAAACACTCCAAGATCTTGTCGTTGATGGATTATGTGACGGCACACACGCAAACCCCTTGAGATAAAACACACACACCGAAGAGAGAAAGAAAACACACTCAAGAACACAAAGATTTATAGAGGTTCGGACTCGTGCCTACGTCTTCTTGGTGATCCACCTGAGAAATTCACTAGTATGTATGAACAACCTTGGTTACAATCAAGAACCCCCTTAGCTCTCACAAGAACCCTAGCTCTCTTTTCTCTCACCCTTCCTCTGTCAAATAATATGGGTAGAATCTTTTCAGGTTATATTTCATTCTTCCAAAGGAGGTATTTATAATACAAGGTTACAAACCCTAGTAGAGTTATACTAGGAAACAAGATAAAATCCTAATTACATAATATCTGTACAAAAGGAAATAAATAGAATTCTAATAGATTAGGAAGTAAATCTCCTAATTAAACTAGGATCTCGCTAACACTCCCCTTCAAGTTGGAGTAAAGACGACACGTACTAGTAGAAACAGCTTTCATAAGAACATCAGCTAACTGATACTTAGAACTTATGAACATGAAGGAAACAATATTTGCATCCAACTTCTCTTTAATGAAATTTCAATCAACCTCCACATGCTTTGTACAATCATGTTGCATAGGGTTATGAGCAATCGCAGTTGTAGCCTTACTGTCACAATATAAATCCATGGGTTTCTGTGGCCCAAAACCACTTTGAGCCATCCCACAATACTCGACCTCGGCACTAGATCGAGACACCACCTTTTGTTTCTTACTTTTCCAAGTAACAAGATTACCACCAACAAACATGAAATATCCAGACGTAGAACGCTTATAAGTGACTGAACCAGCTCAATCAGCATCCGTATACCCTTCCATAATTGTATAACCATACTTGGAAAATATTAACCCCTTGCTAGGAGTTACTTTTAGATATCTTAAAATACGCATCACAGCTCCCATATGATCTTCATTAGGAGAATGCATAAACTGACTCCCTATACTCATGCATATGCAATGTCAGGAAGTGTATGAGCTAAATAAATCAATTTTCCCACAAGCTGTTGATAACGCTTTTTATCAGTAAGGATTTGATTAGGATATAACCCCAACTTATGATTTTGTTCACTAGGAGTATCAATTAGTTTACAATCCAACATTCCAGTTTTTGCAATTAAATCCATAACACAATTCCTTTGGAACAGAAAGATACCATGCTTAGAACTGGCAACTTCAATCCCAAGAAAGTATTTCAAGTCACCTAATGATTTCATCTCAAACTCGAAAGCCAAATACTTATGAAGATTTTTCATTTCTGCCTGATCATCTCTAGTCACAATTATATCATTAACATAAATAATTAAAGTTGTCAATTTACCTTTATGACGCTTTAGAAACAAAGTTTGATCCGAGTTACTCTGTACATACCCAAACTTCTTCATAGATGCAGCAAACCTCCCAAACCATGCTATTGGAGACTGCTTTAATCCATACAAGGATTTCTGTAGTTTACACACCACATCCTCCTTGGAGGTCACATGGATACCAGAAGGATCCATGTATATTTCTTCCTTGAGGTCACCATGTAAGAATGACATTAAACTGCAATCAAGACCAGTCATAATTGGCAGCCAAGGACAAGCATACATGCATAGTATTGAGCCTTGCTACTGGAGCAAAGGTCTCCATGTAATCCATTCCATATGTCTGTGTATAGCCCTTCGCTACCAATCTCACCTTGTAACGGTCAATGAAACCGTCAGCCTTATACTTCAAAGTAAACACCTATCTGCATCCAACAACTTTCTTTCCTTTCAGTAAAGGAACTAACTCCCAAGTGGCATTCTTGTTCAAGGTTTCCATCTCAACATTCATTGCATCCACCCATTTTGGATAAGATAAAACATCCTGCAACTTAGTTGGCACACATACACTAAATAATTGACACAAATATGATGCATTTGACTTAAATAAACAATGAGTTGACACATAATGGCTAATGGGATATTTGGACTTGGCATGTATATCAAGATAATATTGTACTTTAGGCTTCCCACGAGTAGTTTGTGGGGGCAATTGATAAGTAGACACATCACCATAAATTACCTTACTATTGTCATGAGTTGATTGGGACAACGGCAGGGCAGAGGGGGGTCTTGCATCAAACTCATCTACACAAGAATCATTGTCGCGTTCTTCAGAAGTAGTGCAACTGGTCGATTTGAAGCTGTGCTTATCATCTTCAGTTCCAGACCCAAGTGACCGGTTGCGACCATCTTAGTGATCGATCGTTTTGAAGCATTGCATATTGTTGAGGCCCAAAAAATCCACAACTTGGCCCAATATATTCCCGACCCAATGCGATACCTTATCGAGAAGAAACCTGATTTGGGCATGTGAAAGTTTGTCATATGCACTTGTACACATGCCATGCCATGCTTCAAGCTTAAGTGGGCCCAAGCCACGCAAGATGCCCGGGGCTTGCTTGAGTGTTTTGTGGTATGGATGGTAATAAGTTGACATGAGGCCCATTGATGGGCCGAGAAATGGAAGTCCCGGAGTTCCTTAGGAGCCTCGGAACTCAAGCCTATTCTTAGGCCCAAACATGTGGGTGAGCACAAAAGAGAAAGTAGCCTATTACTTCAACCAAAATAGCCCAACAATTGATGAAGTTAGCCCATTTACTTGATAAACCAACTTATTGTCCTAGAAGGTCCAAGCAACCCAAGAAAATATCTGCAAATCTCTAGCACCTAGTTGAAAGCAAAAGCCACGATGAAAGCCAAAATATCCATGTCAGTGAGCTGCTGGGAGGCTCCAGCACATGGGAAGGAACAAGTTTCAAGCAAAAACTTCCAAAAAACCAAGGGATACTTGAGCAAAACACCCTTCAAACCAGTGTACATTCTCATTTCTTTCCCCCATCAAATCTAGCTATAGAATAGGGGAGAAAATAAGGAAGAAAGATGGCTAAAAATAGAACTTCTCCACTTAGGCAGCTGGAGGAAAGGGCATTGAGCACCTAAAAATCCCTAATTTTGTGCAAACGGGCAGAGAGATTTCACAAAAATAGGATTATTGAAAGGATGAGGGAAGAAAGAAAGGGAAAGACTTGGCCAAATTGGATAAAAACCATTAGGGTTTCTTTGAAAATGATAGCTTCTAGCGCCTATAAAAAGAGGCATTTCCTACCCATCATCACAACACACATATAGAGAGCAAGCTTTATCTCTCATATCTGAAACCTCTGCAATTTCGAGCCCCATCCTTTCATCTGTTCCCATTTTTCCTTTTGGTAAACTTTTCCAAAGCTTGGCAGAGTTTTCGTCGAGCTGCCAGAAACTACCTAGCACCCCACTACTTCATCATTAGCTAAAACAACCACATCCAGATAGCAAGCTTCCTCTCTCACCTGCAAAACCCAACAAATTCGTGCTCTATTCATCCTTTTCCCCCCCAAGAACACATAGCTTTCTCTTCAGTGCTAAACTCATGTCCATTTTGCTTCCATGCCACAAGCCTCTCATGCCAAGCTAAGAATCTACTTGTAAGCAGCCATTGTTTTTGTTGGTAAAGGTGACCAGGGTGTTTCCTAAGGCTTCACTATCCTTTCAAAACATTCTTGGGGCCTGATCTTTGAACTTAGACACATGGGGTAATTTCATCCATTTTGCTCTTTACGGTAGCCCAGCCCATTTGTGCCTGCCGAAAGAAAAAAGCCCCTACACATATCGTCTTCAGTTCCAGACCTAGACGACCGGTCGCTATCAAATGGGCGACCGGTCGTTTTCTCCCCATGAGCAATATCTCACATACATCATTAAGTCCAAGATCTTCCACTCCATGACTCTCTAATCACTCCCCATTTCCCCTTAAATTGGAGAGGAGGGAAAAACATAATACGACACGTCTTCATAGAAGATTACCTCCAAAGTAACATGCACCTTCTGCATATAAGGATGATATCATTTATAACCATTCTAAGTAGTGGAATGGCCAATGAAGACACAACGTAGAGCACATGAATCAAGTGTAATTCATTGATGGGAGTAGACATGAACATAGGCAACACACCCAATACCTTGAGGGCAACTTAGAGACAGTAACTGGAGTATGATCACACAACACATCAAGAGAAGTCTTGAAATCAAGAGCCCAACTACGAGTATGGTTAATCAAATAGGCTGTGACCAAAATAGCATGACCCCAAATGTGATGGGGAACATACATACCTAACATAAAGGAGCGGGCAACTTTAAGTAAACTGACGATTCTTGCATTTAGACACACCATTCTACTGAGGAGTGAATGGAGTAGTAGTTTGGTGAATAATACCTTGATCACGGAAGAAACAAGTCAAGGTATTATTCACATATTCACCTTCATTTATCAGTCTGAAACAAATTGACTCGAACATGAAACTGAGTAGACAGCATGGCACAAAATGCAGGAAGAATAAAAGCAATATCATGTTTATTCTTCATCAAATACACCCATGGTAAGCGAGTGCAGTCATCAATAAACATAACAAACCAACATAAACCATTAGAAGTCATATGAGCAAGACCCCATACATCCGAATATACTAACTCAAAAAGCAATGTAGCTTTATTATTACTTAAGGGAAAACCAGTACGGTAGCTCTTGGCCATTACATAAGTCTCACATTTGAAGCAAGACTTATCACACGAACTAAATAACAAAGGAAACAAATGCTTAAGATAACCAAACAACGGATGTCCTACGCGATGATGCCACATCCACAGTTGTTTTTTGTCTTTGACATTGCCACTCTGAACTTTATAAGCAACACAATTACGAACTGTTGCAGCTGGTAACGTTAAGTAATACAACCCCCTTATCTGTTTACTATGCCTAATCGTCTCGTGAGTCCTGAGATCTTGAAAAGAGCAATAGGTAGAATAGAAAGTAGCAAATGCGTTAAGTGTATCAAGTAAACAACAAAAAGATAACAAGTAACAATGAATATTTGGAACCAAGAGTGCATGGGACAAGGGTAAGGAAAAGGTAAGATGAATGATACCTTCACCGATAACGGGGGAAGGTAAACTATTAGCACTAGTGATATAGGGATCACAAGAGTTACGAGACAACTCATTAAACAGATTAATATCACAAGGTCAATTATCTAAGTATTAGAACTCATACCTGGCTTGGTATCAGAAGCACACAAATTTGTAAGCAACCTTGGGTCATAGTGCAATCAACCTTAGGGCCATACATGCGAGCTTTGTAGTCAACAAACCAATCAGGATAACCATGCTCCTTCAAACACTTCTAGGAGTAATGATCACCATTGGGCCTTCAAGAGAACTAGGAGTATATCCAGAAGGAAGAGAACCATAGGAAGTTGAGGACTTTTGAGACGACGAGTGACCAGTCGCATCTTGACTAGTGACTGATCGATTATGGGAAGGGTCCACTTTTAGGGTCATCGCACCTTTTCCGAGCATAGTAGACTGACGAGTGTCTCCCTCCATGACCATGACATAGGCTTCTAAAGGAGGTGAGACAAGACTAAGAGCAAAGATTCGATTATGAACACCATCATACTGCAGATCAAGTCCTCCAAGAAATCATAAACTCGATCAGCTTCAATTTCTTTCTGACGATAAGCCACATGAGCAGAACAACCAAAGTCATTCAGACGTAGACAATCAATCTCATGCCAGATAGCATGGAGTTTTACATACAACACTTTCACATATTCACCATTTTGACATGTAAGTATGGACTGCTGTTAGAGTTGAAACAACCGAGAACTATTCTGAGTCATAGTATAGGTCTTTTGAGCAGCCTTCCATATATCAAAAGCAATAGCACCATGTTTAAACAAGGCATGAACTGGTTTAGTCATAGAATTGAGAGGCCATGACCGCACCAAGCAATTATCTTCTTCCCATTCAGCATAGGCATTTGAGTCTGGGGACGGAGCAGTCTTCTTCCCATTGATCCAATTTGTCAAAGCCATCCAATTTGTCAGAAGTTATAGGAGCAGAGTAATCACGTAAAGAACTATCTTCCTTCGCTTCAAAAGCACTAGAACACACCACAACCTTGGAATCATCACCCATGATAGAAGCGAGAACACAACACGAAGCAAATAGAGCACACAACACCACAAACACACAAATCCAATAACACACACGGCACAGGCACATGCAGAAGATAACCTTAAAAAACAAATTATGGCACATAGTAGAATACGAGTGGGAACAACACACAGGTCACCAGAAATTCGGCTCTGACGCCAAGTCAAATAATACGGGTAGGGATGTCAATTTTCCCCGCGAGTAAGGGTCTTTGCGGCAATTCAACCCTGATGGGTCGAGTATGAAGGATAAAAAATGGATACGGAGAATTTTTTGGGTATGGTGTTCGAGGAGGGGCGGGGATGGTATTTTAATCCCCGACCCGAACCCTCTCCATTTAGAGAATATATATATATATATATATATATGATATTAAAGTGATTGTGCCCACTAAATCTTAAGCCACACTACTTCTATATTTAGTTAAGTTCTAGTCAATATGTAAACATTCTTATATTGTCTTATACGCATATAATATATATATATATATATTCATTATCTTGCCCTAATTCTATTTTTTTTAATTTCAACAAATAGTTTTATATTGGTTTTTCTTCGGTAATGGGGCGAGTTGAGGAACCCATTCCCCAACGAAGGTGGGGATGGGGAATCCCGATATGAATATTGTGGGTATGAAGGCGGGGATGGGGGAAAAAAGTTTAACGGGGATGGGGATGGAAATGACATACCCACCCCCGATTCTACCCATTGCCATCCCTATATACGGGTAGAATATTTTTAAGTTATATTTCATTCTCCGAAATGAGGTATTTATAATACAAGGTTACAAACCTTAGTAGGGTTATATTAGGAATTCCTAATTACATAATATATGTACAAAAGGAAATAAATAGAACCCTAATAGACTGGGAACTAAATCTCCTAATTAAACTAGGATCTCGCTAACATACTCAAACCCTTGATGCCCTTGAAAACACCTTAGAATTTACCCTTGAATTCTCTGGTGTCCCTCTCTTGAAAATTATCTCTTGAATTTTCCTCTCTCATCGTTTTAACCTAGCTCTAAAAGTCCTATTTATAATGCGTAGGACTTTTGCTACAAGTTAACTAGGAGTATGAAACTAAAACTTTATTAAAATAGGTTAGAAAACCCCAAAATAATAAGAAAAACCAAGTCAAACACGCCAAGCATCTGTGCCGGATTCGCAATGTCCGTTCGAGCTCCTGCACTTGGGCTCGAGCGTCTGGGATGGGCGAAAAATCGTCTCTATTTTAGATGCTGAAATAACCTGTAAGATTTCTATACAAATCTTTCAATTAATACAAGCAAGATCGTAAATGGCACAGAAATTAAATAGGAACAAGGAATGGAAATTGCAGAGAGAGATGAGGTACGTCACGTGTGCGAAAGGTGAAACAATCGAAGAAACATAGAGAAAAATTATGAGAGGGGCGGCCAGGCGTGTGTTGGTGAAACCAACGAAGAGACATAGGAAGAGATGTTGTTTGACTTTCGTGAGGGAGTGGAAAATGTGTCCACCCTTTCTATCTGCTCTTTGAGATTTCAATTCTCAAGTTTTTCCTTTTTCCTTTTTATTTTTTATATCACTATCTTTGGTTGAGTTTTTGTTTTTACTGAATGGCTGTAGATTTTTTTCCATTTTTTTGTCTATGATTTCCAGTCTCTCCTGTTTGGAGGCTGTTAGACAGGCATTTTAGTAAGGACATGTTGCTTCTCTCATTCCTAAACCCTAAACATTCCTCACTCCAACAAATTATTGTTCAACACACACTAGTATAAAAAAAAACCTTGCCCGACGAAAAACTATTCGTTGCTCAATTTTACTTTGAGTGATGAAACTAAAAAATTTGTCGCTCAAAGTCTTGCGCGACAAAAAAAATTCATCGTGCAAAGTCACTTTGCGCGATAAACTTTTGCGCAACGACAATACTTCGTCGCTCAAAATCTTGCGCGACCCAAACTTTGCGCGACGAAAAACAATTCGTCGCACAAAGTGACTTTGCGCGACGAACTTTTGCGCAACAACAATACATTGTTGCTCAAAGTGACTTTGCGCGACGAAACAATAAGGATGCCTTTGAGCAAAGTCACTTCATTGCACAAAGTCTTTAGCGACGAAGTGTGTTTCGTCGCGCAAAGTCTTTACAAAAATTAAAATATATATTTTTTTAAATCTTTGCATGACGTAATCCAAACATTTCTTCCCCTAAACCAATTTATTTTTGTTTTTTATTTTGTATGCATAACACTTAAGAAATTAAATGGTATATATATTTATTAAGTAGCTTTAAATTTATTATTTTAGTTCGAATCGGATTTTTATTAGAAAAATATATTATTGTAGTTTAGATTGGGTTTTTGTTAGAAAATATATATTTTAAATTGATGATCAAATTAGTTCATTGTATTCATATAGGGTCAAGGAGTGTAGTTGTAAAAAATCATCAAAATTGGAGTTAAAATAACTGTTAAATCGTGATTTTTCATTTAGAACCGTCAAAAGTTTTGTCCTATTACTTGATCTCTGAATGTTTACCTATTCCGATTTTTGGCGTATATGATCTCAAAGTATAAACAAACAAGTTTGACGGTTGGATCGTTGAAACTAGTTTCGTAGAATGCGTATTCCATCAAAACAATATATTCACAAACAATTAAGAGTTTATTTATACTTTCGTTAAATATAACATAAGATTTTGTGGTATCCACTAGTGTAAATATTTTAAATTGAAGATCAAAATCAGTCGTTATATTCATATAGGGTCAAGGAGTGTAGCTGTAAAAAAATTATCAAAATCAGAGTTAAAGTAACCGTTAAATCGTGATTTTTCATTTATAACCGTCAAAAAGTTTTGTCCCGTTACTTGATCTCCGAATGTTTATTTTTTTTTCAATTTTTGGCGTATATGATCTCGAATTATAAACAAACAAGTTTGATAGTTGGATCGTTGAATGGTGTGTGTGTGTATATATATATATTTATTTATTAAGTAGCTTTAAATTTTTTTATTTTGTACGTATAACACTTAAGAAATTGAATAGTATACATATTTATTAAGTAGCTTTAACCTTAATTACATTTTAAATCGTAAAATAAAATATTTTTTATTTTTTATTATTCATAACAATTATTTTTATAAATATTGCGCTACGAACCAATTTTTCGTCTCTCAAAAGTTTGCGCGACAATAGTTCATTGCGCAAAACTCTAAAAATTTGGGCGGGTACCAAAAATGGGACGTGGGATTTTTTTTAAGACTTTACGAGACCAATACTTTTCGTTGCGCAAAACTTTGCGCGACCAATATTCAAATATTTTTCATCGCGCAAAACTTTAAAAATTTGGGCGGGCACCAAAAATGGGATGCGGGAAATTTTTTTTAGACTTTGCGCAACCAATTTTTTTCGTCACGCAAAACTTTGCACGACCAAGATTCGAATATTTTTCGTTGCACAAAACTTTAAAAATTTGGGCGGGTACCAAAAACGGGACGCAATAATTTTTTTTTCAAAAATTTTTTTTAGACTTTGAGCGACCAATATTTTTCGTCACGCAAAACTTTGCGTGACCAATAATCCAATATTTTTCGTCGCACAAAACTTTGCGCGACCAATATATATTTTTCGTCGCGCAAAGTGATACAGTTTTTAAAACCAAAATAACTCCACCATTTTCTCAATGTCTTTCTCTACTCTTACCTCTCCTCACTCTTTCCCTCTCCCCAAATCCCACCCTTTCTCTCACACTCACTCCTCTCACTTAATCTCTCATCTCTCTCTTCACTATCTCTCACTATCTTCTCTAATTCTCTCACACTCACTTCTCCCTCTCATTCTCACTCACTTCTCAATCTTGCCAAAAGGTATATTCTCTCCAAATGTTAAATTTTTTTTCATTAATATGTGTTTTTGGAGTTAGTTTTGAGTTTGAGTGGGGTTTGGGGTTGAGTATAGGGTGAGGATTGGAGTTTGGGTTGGATTTGTGGTATAACAATTTTAGGGGAGATTATGCCAATTTTTTTATTTTTTTTTGTTATTTGACCATATTTGATTTTTTGTAGGGAATCGTTGAGACTTTGACGGCTAAAGTTGAGGATTAGGACGCTATCGAAACATATCCTCCGCCACTACCACCATAATAGGCTTGTATTAGGATTTTATTATTGTACTTTATTAATTTATGTGTACATTTTGAATATTATATATTTATTTATTTATTTATTGGATAATTTGATCCCTATTTTTCATATGTAATTTTATTTTGAATATGTCAATTTAAATTAAAGTAATTAAAAAAAATCACACAATTAAATTAAATTTAAAAAGTCAAGATTCGAAAAAATTAATATAATTAAATTAATATTAAAGAAATAATAAAACAAAAAGTAAAAAACCTTGCGCGACAAAATATTTCGTCGAGCAAACTATTAAATTAGTTTATTTTAATTATAAAATATTTCGTAGCGCAAATATTTGCGTGACGTTATTATTCGTCGCACAAAACTTTAAAAATTTGGGCGAGTACTAAAAATGGGACGCGGGATTTTAAAAAAATAAAAATAAAAATTTTAGCCCTTGCGCGACCAATATTTTTTCATTGCGCAACCAATATGTTTTCGTCGCGCAAAACTTTGCGCGACCAATATTGCTTCGTCACGCAAAACTTTGCGCAACCAACATTTTTCATCGCTCAAGGTAGATTTGTGCGACGTTAGGGCGTCACGCAAACCCTTTCTTCACGAGTTTTGTGCAACAGATCATGCGCGACAAAATTTTCGTCACGCAAGTTTTGCTTGACGAAATTGTACTTTGCGCAACAAACTTATTTCGTCGCGTAAAGTGTTTTTTGTAGTAGTGACATATGCAAAATTAATTCATCAATAATAATGGCACCCACGAGAACATAGAGGCGCAATATGTTGTTTTGGGGGGGTCAAAGAATGTGGGGTTTTAGGAGAATTGAGGGTTGTGCTTGGGGGGGAAAGCAACTTTGGAGATGAAGTGGATGTAGATCAAACAAGGCACAATATTGTCCATTGGCACCGCATTTGCAGCCAACGCTGTCTTCCAACAAGAATGTCCTGATTTCTACTTCTGAGTCACCAAAAGTGAGCACATGACAGATTCGAAACAAAGTTTGGAGAATAGGGTTTTGGGGGTTAAGCCCAGAAATCAGATTTTGTTAGAACCCTAATCCCCAAAGTTGACCCCAATTTGGAACGGAGGAGACTCAACGTGGCTGTTTCTCTTAGAATGGAACGACTTGACGAAATTGCCTCCACGTGAGGGGCACGTGTTTAAAAATTAACGGAGGTGAGAGAGATTTAACAGAAATTGTAATTTGTCCTTGAATAGCTTAAATTGAAAACCACATGAACAAAATTGATCAAATTGAACAACATAGACAAAAATGGTAGAAGTGGCGAATTATGGGAACCAAAAAATGACTTTCAAAAACAAACAAAAAAAGGCAAAAAAGATACTGGACTAATCGGTGGACAAACTATAGGACTCAGCCACGGAATTTTTTATTTTTATTTTCTGTAAGATTGAGAGAACTAGGTCATTAAGGTTTGACTCTAAAGGTTGTAGTGACCACTTCAATGTTTAGTGTATGGTTCATCAATTTTCTGTGAGCAATTTATATTTTATCACCACAAAGTCTGCCTTCCCAGAACACGATAAGGACACCACTTTTTTGGCTCAACACAACAGGACGCCAATTCGTGATGCTGTTTTGCGGATCAACACCATTAGGATGTAAATTGTTGAAGCAAGATTTCTTTTAAGAAGAAGTACCTCCACAGGTTCCTGATTGAAGTCCACACGCTTTCTTGGTCGAAAGAGAACTCCGGATTACATTCCAGAGGTCGAACGATGGAAAGGGGGTGAGTACCTGCAAAAGTCATTCCGACGCTCAAGTCAATGTTTGTGCAGCGTACTCTTAGTGTTCAATTGAATTTCTCGTACCTTTGCTGGAGGTCTAGCTGGGTTTTTATAGCGCTTCGAGGTCTTGGGTTTAGCCCCACTTCACTAGCTTTGCGCATCCCGTCCTCCATTTCATGGTAATGGGATCATATGAGCGATTTGTGTCTCCCTTATTCTGCACTCCTCTAGTGGGAGGGAAGTTCGATCATCCCACGTCTTTTAGTTGTGGCGTATGGGTTAGGCCATGACCTTCCCCCCTCCCCCACCCCCCCCCCCCCCCCCCCCCCCCCCCTTTTTTCCTCTCTACACTCTCTCGCGGGTGGAGAGGGAAAAATGATATAAGTGGTACTTCGGAGCGTGATTTCCTCGGATTGGGCGCATGCCGCCGTGATGGGCTCATGGCTAAGCCCAAAATAAACCATACATTTTCTTTATTGGGCTTGCTGGTCAAACCCAAAAATGTGATTCTATTGGCCTATCACCAACTCATGCATGTTGCTTCCACACCTTGCATGTGAAATATCCAAATATGAATTTTCATGCACGTTGCTAACTTTCCAAGTTTCAACTATGGACTGTTATCCCCATGTGGAGTATCCAAATGCGGACAGCCAATCCCATGCGCAAGTGGACTCTTTTCTTTATTTTGGATTTCTGCACATTTGCCGCATTTTCCTCTTTGCTAACCGACCCCAGTTGGGGTGCGCTTGGCTTTGAGCTTTTGCCGATCCGGTGGGCCCCATGATCCTTGCTTTCCCTTTGCTGGCCGATCCCAGCCCCAGTTGGGGTGCGCTTGGTTTTGAGCTTTTGGTAATCCAATGGACCCCATGCTCCTTGCTTTATCTTTCCTAGCTGATCCCAACCCCAGTTGGGGTGAGCTTGGTTTTGAGCTTTTGCCAATCTGGTGGGTCCCATACCTCTTGGTTTCTCTCTCCTAGCGGATCCTATCCTTAGGTGCGCTTGGTTTTGAACTTTTGCCGATCTGGTGGGTCCCATAGCTTTTGGTTTCTCTCTCCTGGCCGATCCCATCCCCACTTGGTTTTGAGCTTTTGCCAAGCCGATGGGTCTTATTGCTCTTGGCTTCTTTCTCCTGGCTGATCTCATCCCCACTTGGTTTTGAGCTTTTGCCAATCCGGTGGGTCCCATACCTCTTGGTTTCTCTCTGTTGGCCGATCTCATCCACACTTGGTTTTGAGCTTTTGCCGATCTGGTGGGTCCCATACCTCTTAGCTGTCCTTCCAAACCCGTGTGCCTTCAATTTCTCAATCGATCCGAGTTGTTCACGAACTCTTTTTTCTTTTTTTTTTTTTTTTTTTTTTTTTTTTTTTTACTGACCTTTTCTCACACGCCACGCCAGTTTCTCCTTTTCGTTTTCACCGACTCCCAAGCGGTCCACGATCTAGTCTTTGCTTTAGGGGGTGAACAAGCCTAACTCCGTAAGTGTACTTACTACCTTGCACCACTTATTTCTTACATCTGTTGCTCTTATTTGCCTTTTGATGAAGCGCATGCAGCTTTCTGTCAGGGAAGCGCACGCGTTGGACAGAAATAATTTCGATTGGTCATGTCAGACTAGGCTTCGTTGCCAGAGCCCAAGGCGAATATCCAAGCCGGCCACATCGAACCTTATCTTTGCTTTTGAAAAACTTATTCCCATGACTTCTGTGAATTATTTTCCCAATCTTCACCCCCTGCTATAAAAGGTCGGTCGATAAAGATACACTCACTCGTAAAACCATTTATACTTTGCTTTTGTTCTTCACATATAAGCTCTAGGCGTAAGGGAGAGGAAAGTGTTCTGTGCGTTTGAGAATTCCGCCGAAGGGTTCTTGTTCTTGCCACCACCTAGTAAGTACTATTTTCATCTTCGCTATTTTCATGTCGAGCCACGAGATTTGGGATGATCGAACTTCCCTCCCACTAGAGGAGTGCGGAACAAGGGAGACACAAATCGCTCGTCTGATCCCATTACCACGAAGCGGAGGACAAGATGATCAAAGCTAGGGAAGTGGGGCTAAACCCAAGACCTCTGAGCGCTATAAAAACCCAGTGAGACCTCCAGTAAAGGTACGAGAAATTCAATTGAACACTAAGAGTACGCTGCACAAACACTGACTTGAGCGTCGGAGTGACTTTTGCAGGTACTCACCCCCTTTCCATCGTTCGACCTCGGGAACGTAATCCGGAGTTCTCTTTCGACCAAGGAAGAGTGCGGACTTCAATCAAAAACCTGTGAAGGTATTTCTTCTTGAAAGAAATCCTGCTCCAACATAAATTAAAAATAAAAGTACTTCCTGAAGCAACGTCAAATCTAATGCCTTTCTTCCACTTGTTCTTCTTTCTTTTTCTCTTCAAGCGCGCGTCTCCCTTCTTCCCCCAAATTCTTCTCGTATCTTCAGTCCAAAATTTCCCTCTTTCTCATTCATTCATTTTTTTTTTTTTTTTTTTTTTTTTTTAATAGTGGATATTTTTATATATTTTTTTTGGGTTCGCTTAATTTGAGTTTGATTATTGAGGATTCATGATGATGCAAAATCAAAATAACTTATTACAATAATAGGTACGTGTGGGAATAACCCAGGTGTCTATGGTTGTTCTATATTGTCAGTCCATACTTGCGGGATTGAACATTAGGGATTGTCAAGAACTGTTAAACATATGGGAAGAGAAGAAACTTTTTGATTGGGAAATACATAGCTTGATGAATATGAAAAGAAGAGCTTCAGAGTTAAGTTGGCGTTTGTTCAATTAAGGAATTTTTTTTTTCTTTTTTAATTCTTACAAAATTGAGTTTTTATTTTTGGTTGATGTGTCAACTTTAAATCCGTTAGATTAAATTTAAATGAGGTGGTGTGTGAATGAGAAAAGTCAAGTAAATCCTAACAGAGAAAATCGAAGTAAAGGATCTAGATCCCTAATTTAGAAGTACAGGAAGGACTAAAATGTATTGATGTGCTTACAATTCACATAGTGCACATAGTATATTGGTGTTTCATGTGAATAAAAGCTTCGGGTATTTAATTTTGGAAACCTTAAGCATGTGTTGTTTTTTTTTTGGTGCCATGCGTTTCAAATTAGGAGCAAATATATGTATGTTAGAAACATATATTAGTTGCAAAGTGCTTATAGCTCAAGTGATTAAAAGCAATTACCTATACACCTAAGGTCCTGCCTGTGTTCGAATCCCGTGCCATTAATATCGCTTGTACTAATATATGTGTGTGTAAGTTCAAACCTTGGAAATGGGGGTCTCATCAATAACATGCGTTTCAAGATACAAACAACTTTAGTTCTGCATAAATGTTGATTGACATTAGTAGGGCTTTTGTTAACTTAACCTCATGGCCATCAATTCAGATAGAAAAACAAAAACAATTAACAGCCTAATTAATATCAATCCACAAGTGGATTATCTGGGAAGTACTTGTTCGTATCACTATACAAGTGGAAAGCTTCCTGTCATCGCAATATGGTCAAGGGTCTGTCTTAGACCATGCTTGAGTACTGCTTTTCTACCTAAGCTGAACCCTTCTCCACTAGCTGACTCAATTCGGCGTTGATAAAAGTTACCAAGCTTCTTCTCAAAGTCTGACACAGAATTCATCACAAATTCCAGCCACATATGGCCCAACACGTGGCTCATATCAGTTTTAACCTGTGGGCTCATATTTCGAATTCGATAACATTTAACCTTTAGCCATGCTTGCATCATAGTCTGAGCCATAAGGAACCCTGTCGTCAGCCTAGGAAGACCACTCAGTATCTTAATTGCTGTTACTTCAGGGCGCTTCAAGCCGAATAAAATAGATCTCTTGATGTTGGTAGTAAATCTAGCTATTACCAACTGTTTACTCACTTCTAAGAATTCTGTTTTCTCGACGAAGTGTATTAGAAATTTTTTCTCTTGAAATTTCAAATCAAACACTTTTTGTATTTCAAGGAAAAGGGCTTCGCATTGGTCAGCTTCCGTAATGGCCGTGTCCCGGCATTCCAGACATTGATGCCGACCATCATTAAGTAAATGATATATGGTGTTCCTAGGCTTTATTCTTGCACAGCCACAACACCTAGGAGTTCCGTCGTCCTCATGTTTGGGACAGGATCTTTGTAGCGAGATAGGATGTAGGCTATACACCACAGTACCATCTGAATTTAATGGGATTAAATTTTCACAAACACCACATCGTAAATGCCTCTCCCTGTGGCAGAGTCTGTGGTAAGGATGATTCTCATGCATAAAAAATTCAGTAATTGGAAGATTGCAAGCATGACAGCGAAAACAATGTGGATGCCACTGATGAGTACCCTTCCCATTTCTATAATATTTCCTATCCTTAATATTCTGCTTGCAGCCAACACACACCTTGAAATTAGGAGGAGAATCCATGTTCAAACCTTCTTCAACAGCATTGGGAACTTTGCCAACTTGTTCATCGTTCTTCGACTGAACTTTAGTGGGTTCATCATCTTTTCGATGTTCGATTGAATTAGGCAGCTTCTTAGGCAGTTGCAAGTTAAGATCTCCTTCAGGCTCATCCCTTCTGGGGGGATGAAAATCTTCACTGTCTTGTAATCCCAAGAGCTGATATCGTTCCTCTACGTGATGTTCAATCAAGAGACATTCCTTTCTGGTTGTAATAATGATTCTGCTCCCCAAACCAAACCAGTCTTTCTTTCCGGCCAATACTTCCAGTTGGTTTAACTGATCCGCATCATCAATAACGAGAAGCACTTTTTTATTACACAAACAGTACTTGGTCATGTCGGATCCACTATGAACATTCCAAACATCATTCACTTTTTGCTTCAAGATTGGGGAAAGAAGTTGTTTTTGTAAATGAACAAGCCCATGTGTTGCACAAACCTCTCTCACACTAGCAAGAAAGCAGCTAACATCAAAGTGATGGGAAATTCTGTCATAAACAAGTCTTGCGGTAGTTGTCTTACCTGTGCCACCATCCCCCCATATCCCTATAAAGCGAACATCTTTTGCCTCACGATCTAATAGCAATTCTATTTTCTTCAGTCTAAAATCAATTCCCACCAACTTTGTTGAGGAACCTGGCAATGTGAATATTGTAGGATGCACTCTGCTACACACTTCTTCCACAATTTCATTGATAAGTTCGCTCTCATCTCTACAACCAAGAAAAAACCATCTGGTGAGATTACATATATGAAGCATAATTTGAAAGAACTAATACCTGTGCATTTGTTCATGCTTACCTGTCTTTAGAAATCCAGCCAGAGATATTACTAACTTTTGTAAGAGCAGCTCTCCAGCGTTGTAGCTTTGCTTTGTCTTTTTTAAAGTTCTTTTTGTGTTTGTTGAAGGCTTCCGCAAAAGTTCCCATTTGTTTTCGGACATCAGTAGGATCTACATCATAAAAAATTGGTAGAATGGTGTCCACGTCCTTGCACTCAACAATCTTTGAAACCTCATCTAGGCACCAGGATGAAGAAGCATAGTTTGGTGAGAGGATAACGATCGCAATCCGCGATTCTTCAATTGCTCTCAGTAGATTTGGTGAAATAGTTGTACCTCTTACAAGTTCATTGTCGTCCCTGAAAGTTGTAATTGAGCGAAACCACAATCTGTGATATAGATGAGCCGCAAAACGTCTGCGAGTGTCTATGCCCCTAAAACTCAAGAACACATGGTATTTCCATGGAGAAGCTGAAGGAGCAGAAGTGGAGGCTCTTTGGCTGCTGAAAGCCATTCGGCAGTGGGTGCAAGTAATCTGCTAGAAACACAAAAGATACAAGAACTTTTGGTAGAATATTAGAGAGAAAAAGTGCATACTATTTCATATACTGAAATAACCTGTAAGATTGCTATACAAATCTGTCAATTAATACAAGCAAGATCGTAGATGGCACGAAAGTGAAACTGGAACAAGGAATATGGAAATCGCACAGAGAGAGAGACAATCGAAGAAGAACATAGAGAAAAATTATGAGAGGGCGGCAGGGGTGTGTTGATGAAACCGAAGAACAGACACAGGAAGAGATGTTGTTTGACTTTGGTGAGGGAGTGGAAAATGTGTCCACCCTTGACCCTTCCTCTCCGCTCTTTGAGATTTCAGCTCACTAAGTGTTTCCTCTCTTTCCCCGTCATTGGTTAAGGAGTTTTTGTTTTTACTGAAAGGCTGTAGATTCTTTCGTATGATTTCCGGTCTCTCCGTGTGGAGGCTGGCATTTTAGTAAGGACATGCTGCTTGCCTCATTCTTTAAGGGCATTCCTCTTTTCAATAAATTACTATTCGACACATATACAAAAATAATTAATCAATAATATCAAAAATAAAATAAAAATTGATATCTGCATTGGATGTGAATCACAAAACAAAAGGCTTTATTTAATTAAGGTCCTCCAATATTCGACAAGGCCAAACAACTAGAGTAATCCATAAGGCAAAAAGGGCACCGATCCCCATAGATATATATAATTCAAGCATGAATAATCTGAAATTTTGTTTTTATCAGTTTGTATAGCACATCATCGGTCTGTGCAATCTGCTACAAATCTAAAACCAGAAGTTACAACACAAAACGGGCATACAACTAAAAATACAACATGATCGTCCTCTTTCTGATAATAAAACGGGCGTAACAACATACCTAGTAACCCATGATCATCCTCTTTCTTCACACACACAAATTCGACGAGTCTTATAGTATCTAACAGTCTGAGAATTAAGTTGACAAGTACCATGATCATCTCAATGTTGTTAGAGGTCCAGATTTTCAATCCTTCTCAACTGGTTAAAAAAAATGAATTAGTGGCAAATATAAATAACTCGATTTTAACACGACAAACATATATCTAAATGTCGCGACATTTGGGACCTATTGCAAAAAGTAGGCACATATTTTTATATTCAGTAATATATTATCAATAGAGGATCCCAAAGGCATGCCTTTGCGATCATCGAAGCAAGGCGGCAAGGAATCGCCTAAGGTGGTCAGCTATTTGGCAAGTTGCACGTGTAGCGCGGGTAGGCGTGAGGAGGCGTTGCAAGCAATGGCCAGGAGGAGCGAGGCAGCGCTGTGCAATCTGGAAATTGGCTACGCGAGGAAGACGACTTTGCGAGGTAGAAGACTTCACGTGTTTATTTTTTTAGGGTTATTGAATTGAAACGACGTTGTTTCAATTTTAGTGTTTTAAAAACTTTAAATGAAACGATGTCGTTTCACTTTGAGTGTTTTGAAAAAAATTAAACGCAAGTTTCTCTTTTTTTGTTCTTACCTTTATTCTAATAAAATTAAGGTAAGAATATATTAATATATTTCTTGTCTTGTTCTAACTCCAGGCAGCTGTAGCCTTTATTCTACTTACCCTTTTTTTTTTCTAAATTAATATATTAACACAACCCTAATTTCTACCTTATCAGATAATCTCCATCAATTTCAAGAATTCTCTTCATCTTTTGTTGTATTGTATTATTTATAAATTTTTCTTATTAAAATAAATTAATGTTCAAAAGGCTTACGTCTTACTGCTTTAAGGCTTACGTCTCACTGCTTTAAGGCTTACGCCTTGCATAGAGCAACTAAAACGCCTTGCCTTTCAAAACATTGGTCCCTAATACAACAATAGGCACTATTTTCAATCCCTAAAGAAGGCAAAAGAAACTGATAGCACTCAATGCCTTTGATCCTTTTTCTAGTAGTATTGGGGCATTATTTTACAATCTTTGTTGACTTCATATTGTTTTCTTGCTTAAACCGATTCACGTTCGTTCTACTGTAGTTGGTGAACTATATCTTTTGGCCCATACAATACAACATGACACATGTTGGGTGCTCACATTTCGATTTTGTATGTATCTTATTCATACGAACCAGGCTTGCATTACAGTTTTTGGGTGAAATTTTCGCATTGATTATTTATTTATTTATAAGGCTTTTTAGTTGCCATAGTCCTTGAACTTAGACCTAATTTAAATTTTGGTCGTTCAATTTGTAAAATGATTTATGTATTAACAATCTAGGCTCGGCTTGTTTTGAGTTGGTCTGGTTTGTTCTTACTTCATCTTTTCTTTGGTAGACATGTATTAGAAATAGCAACATGACAAGCATTAATCAACATTATTACCCTATATTTGAATATTACAGGAGTAGATATGCATTAGAAATAGAATGTCATAGGAAACTAGCAGTGTTATTACCTTAGACTGGAACATTACAAGAGTAGACATGCATTAGAAATAGGATGTCATAGGAAACTAGCAGTGTTATTATCCTAGACTGGAACATTACATGGGTAGACATGCATTAGAAATAGGATATCATAGGAAACTAGTAGTATTATTACCCTGGATTGGAACATTACAGGGGTAGACACGCATTAGAAATAGGATGTCATAGGAAACTAAACTAGCAGTGTTATTACGCTAGACTAGAACATTACAGCCATTAATCAACATGACAGTAAACTAGCAGTGTTATTACCCTAAACTAGAACATTACAGGGGTAGACATGCATTAGAAATAGGATGTCATAGAAAACTAGCAATGTTATTACCCTAAACTGGAACATTACAAGGATAGATATGCATTAGAAATAGAATGTCATAGGAAACTAGTAGTGTTATTACCCTAGATTAGAATATTACAGGGTTAGACATGCATTAGAAATAAGATGTCATAGGAAACTAAACCAACAGTGTTATTACCCTAAACTAGAACATTACAGTCATTAATCAACATGACAGTAAACTAGCAGTGTTTTTACCCTAGACTAGAACATTACAGGGGTAGACATGCTTTAGAAATAGGATGTCTTAGGAAACTAGCAGTGTTATTACCCTAGGCTGAAACATTATAGGGGTAGATATGCATTAGCAATAGGATGTCATAGGAAACTAGTAGTGTTATTACCCTAGACTAGAACATTACAGGGTAGACATGCATTAGAAATAGGATGTCATAGGATACTAGCACCCTAGACTGGAACATTACAGCCATTAATCAACATGATAGTAAAGGTGTGGAACATTACAGTCATTAATCAACATGACGTGTTAATTTTTTTTTTTTTTTTTTTTTTTTTTTTTTTTTTTTTTTTTTGTGTTGAATGGTTTTTTAAAATTTAAAAAAAAAAAAAATGGCTTGGGCTTGTTTTTGGGTGCTTTTTAAGTTTTTTGTGTTGAGCTTCTTTTTAAGTTGATAAATGGCAGTCACGTAATTTATAGGAACTTCAACACCAATTTCTTATGTAGTAAATGAGTTTTTGGTGTGTTTCTAAAGTGTATCCCATGTAGGTTTTTTTATTTATAATTTCAGCCCCTACTTTGGGTATATTAGTGAAGCTCCCTATTTTTTAATCATGAATCTATGCTGGACAACACTAGGGCTGGGCATTTGGACCCGAAACTCGGCCAAACCGCCCAAACCAAACCGATGGGTTGGGTTGGTTTGTTTTTTTTCAATTTTTTTTTTTGTCATCGGTTTGAACCCAAACCAAACAGAAGTATATGATTTGGTGTACAGTTTGTAATATTCAAAACCAAGGTTTAATCAAACCAAACCGAAGATATTAAAAAATATTATATATAATATTATTATAAGAAATATATGTATATATAGATATATAATACATAGTTTCAATCTTTTCTTTTTCTTCTCTCTCAATCTCTCCGTTTGTCTTGTCTTTATCAGTCTCTCTCTCTCTATTTTTTTTTCTTCTCATTCTTCTTATATTTGTCTTCACTCCCTCTCCCCGTCTCCCTCTTCTTCTTCTTCTTCTTCTTCTCTCTCTTTTCTTTTTCTCCTCTTCTTCTTCTTCTTCTTCTTCTTCTCCATCTCTCCCTCTTTTTTTTCTTCTTCTCCTCTCCATTGCTTTTATTTCTTCTCTCTCTCTCTCTCTCTCTCTCTCTCTCTCTAAGAGGCAAAAAACCGAAACCGAACCAAACCAAACCATCAAGTCCGGTTAACCGAAGTGGTCGGTTTTCATCAATTATGGTTTGGTTTTGGTTTTCAAAATAGCCAAACCGAAGTTTACGGTTCGATGTCGGGTTGAGCCCAAAACCGAACCAACCCAAACCGAGCCCAGCCCTAGACAACACTACGTCTGTCAACCTTTGGTTTGTATTTCTATATTTTTCAAAATTGTAAGATGATTTAAGTTATTTTTTTTATATATAATAAAAAAATTAATTAAAAAGAAACTCGGTCCTCAAAGACAATGAGCATTATATTACTTCCACACACAATCTACAGATGAAGATGAACATGGAGAAGGTACGTCGCAGTGTGAGAAGTGAAACGATCGAAGAAGAACATAGAGAAATTTATGAGAGGGCGGCAGGGGTGTGTTGGTGAAACCAAAGAAGAGACATAGGAAGAGATGTTGTTTGACTTTCATGAGGGGGTGAGTGGAAACTGCGTCTCCCTCTTGAGTACTCATGAGCTCTCACCATTGTTTTTCCTTTCTTTTTTGTCTTTGGTTGAGGTGTTCTGTTTTTGACAAATGGTTTTAATAAAAATAATAAGAGAATACACAATGAAAAGAAAACAAAATTGATTTGGCTCAGCCACTGATATTTTGTTTTGTTTTTACGCTAAGGCTTTAATTTTTTTTTCCATGTTTTGGGATGATTTCCAGTCACTCCGTGTTAGAACGGCATTTTAATAAGATTGAAGAGTAGTAAGACTTTTTCTTCTATTTTTCTATGGTTCTATGGCTAAACGATATAGCAATTAGTTTGGAAAAAACATGGAAAAAAACTTATGGTGATGTTATTATGAGTACCTTTTCAAGGTGAGGAGAGCTTCCAAATTTTTTATAATTTGAACAATGATTTTGTCTTTTGTAATATGAATTATCTGGTCTGCCCTATATTAAGTTTCTCTTCTCATATTAACAATAATTAATATTTTATGGCTCATCGATTAGTCAAATTTGCTTTCTTTTGGATGTATTTATGTTTTCTGTATTCTATTGATGAATAAAGTCTTTGATCTTTAGTCTTTGGTTACTTTTTCGGGTCATTATAACTTATATGTACGTTCTTGATATTATGAATGAACATTTTCTTCTGAAAAAAAAAATTTATTTGGCCTTTAATTTAAATATAAACAAAAAGAATATGGCATACAAGCTTGAAATTTGTATTATGAACGACTTGAGGATGCCCATTGTCATTGTGAACTAAAACCCTGGCTCTGCCTCTGGAAAAAAAAACAAAAAACACTTCAACCAAAGACGAGACGCAGTTTCCATTCACTCCCTCGCGAAAGACAAACAACATAACAAAAACATATTTGTTTTAACAAAGTAGTTGACGGGGGCATGTGACCCCCTTGGCACTATGTGGTTTGGTTTTTTTGTTTAGTTTTCGTTAGCAACAGAGGAGCCTATAGAACATGAGAGCAACACTGGATTAAAAAAACTGGAAAAAAACCGTTGACTAAAAAGTCAACAAACCAACACTCAGATTGGACCGGTTCGAACCAACACCCAGATCAATTAAAACTAAAGTATAAGCTCTTAAGCAAAAGTGAAACTAGTTTTCTTGGAAGAAAAGAAAAGTAAAGTTAATAGTTCAAGCTGTGCACAATAAAAATGTAGGTTCCCAAGGTGGCTGGAAGAAAGTGAAATTAAGATCGTTGTTGGTGAGTTCAGTAGATGATAAACAGACGTCTAAAAAACCATTTTAATTTTAACATATATAGCACACCATCAGTTTCTGCATTTCTGATTGCGCTTTAAAACTAAAGCCAAAGGTTACGGGAGTAACACAAAACGAGCATACGACTAAAAACAAAATGAGCACAAAATCATCCCTTTAATTACAGTCTAATTAAGCACTATGTTCACCAGTTTCGTGATTATCTTCAGTGTTTCTTCGATTCCGAATTAGGATCGAACCCGCCACACAGAAGATGAAGAGGAAGGGCCAAAAGCACACTTTGATAGGATTGTCAACATGCCTACTGAGGTAAGCATACTGAACTATGGAGAAAGCCAATTGAAAGAAGGCACCAAGTAGTCCAAAGACATCAGAGAAAGTACCGAAAAGCCTGTTACGAGGAGGTGGATGATGAAACAAGGGCGGCATTCCCCTCCTCCTCGCCAATCGGACCCTTGCCTCTCTGCCCCTGAGAGAGAGCTCTGCGAGGCAAGTGAGCAGAGCTAGAATAGCCAACACCATAGCAACAAGTGCAAAGTGAGGCTTGCTTGGGGAGGTGATCTGTTCAAAAACAGCTGATATAATCTCCAGGCAGAAACTAGCCAGTAAAATCATCCACTGTGCTGAAACAGAAATATTTGCTACGTTTTCCCTAATTTGCCTTGGATGGTGAATCTCAATCTGATTGTTGCCCTCATGATCTAAATACTCAGGCAACTTACGCAAACGCAGAGATTTATAGTCATTTAGTGCAAGTTTAAAGAAAGAAACGTGAGATGCTCGGAATTCGAGGGAATGAGGAGTAAAAAGTCGTCGTGAGGGATTATGTAGTTTCCAGAGCAAACAAATCGAAAGAGATGAATACTGTTAACGATACTGTTAGGGAAACGAATAATACCATCATCTCTATCGAAAGTGGGTGTGTTGGGGAGAAGAGACCTCGCTACAAAACTATCCAAATTCATCGACTTCTTCCTCCCCTTGTTTCGCCGTATTAACTTAGAAGAGTCCTTCTTTGGATCCGAAAACTTGTAGAAAGGACCAGGCGCCTTCACCATGGCCATCTCCGTCTTAGACCATCCCCATTGCAAGTCTGTATCCTCCATTTCAGATAAACAAAATATAGAAAGAGACCCAAAAGAATTGTTTACTCCACAGACTCTGAACCGGAAGGAAGTATGGTAAAACTGTTTGGTTCACCCAGTCTTTAAACAGAAATTATCGACAAATTACAGACCCCTTTCCAACGGGCCCCACACGGACATGAAAGCGTGCGTGACGGAAACCAGATGCAACCTTCCAAGAAGCAGGTTTTTACAAGCATAGACTCCGGGCTGGATTGACCAAAAACAAAGACTCCGCGAGGGAGATTGCCACTGCCGACAATCAAACGGCTGAGAGTTGATTCCAAATGAAATCTAAAGGCTGCCATTCAAAAGCAACCAAAGGTAAGTAAATTTAAAAAAAATATATTTAATCTAATGGAATTTTCTGGGACCGCGTTATCAATTCGTGTAACTTTTAGCCATTTTTCATTGTAACTTTTATGTTCTTTTTGCTAAATAATTATTTTCCTTTGTTAAGTCGTATTATTATTTTTTTGTTTAGTTGACACATTTTTATATTTTCAATTCTAAACATGAGTTGTTTTTTTTTCACTCAAACTCACTCATATAAATGGGATCTTAAGTCTCTGCATTTATACTCATTTAAAGGAATCTTAATTATTTGATTAATCTTATAACTAAGATTCTACCATGTCATCGGAATTATATGAAATTAAAAACTCACCTTATATACTGTATCAATCACCCGCATCATTTGAATCTTCCAACAAGCATATACTGTATAATCTGGATATTATGATAATTGGCGGTTGACAATGACAACTTAGCCACTAATAACGAAACAGTTAACAATGAAGGATTTGTAGATACTCCTCAACTTGTATTTGTTTTTCCAAAGATTTGAATAAACTCATTGGCAGGCACCCAAGTTTCCCTTTAAGATGTGATACGAGAATTATGTTTTAGTCATGAATGGCTGCCCATGTAGTCACTGGTGGACCTAAGAATTTTTTAACGGGGGTGCAATTTTGAAAGATTAAAAACTCTTTGTGGATTGAACATCTAAGGCTTTTTATCTAGATTGACCTTAGGTCCCTTCATGCATTCATATCATACATGAAAAATTGTTCTATGTAAAAATATTGACTAAGTATGAAAATGGTTTTTTGGAATAATCATTTTCTCCAGATAATTTTTGGCGGCTTTATTTCTTACACATCAAATAAGAAAACTTGATTTTATGGGATTTTATTATGAAGTATATATTGACTTAATGAGCTATCATTTTTAGCCTAAATCGTATTTTGCACTAAAACCGATTTTTCAAATTTTGATTTGGGGGGAATTTAATTTTCTAGTATTTTTCTTTAAATCCAAATGGGGGGCACTTCCTTATTTACATTGTAAACTTAAGTTTCTCGAAAGCCAGTGCATGTAGTTGTCTTAACAAAAAAAATATTTACTAATGGAAGTTTCTCGAAACGTTTTATCAATTCATGTAACTTTTACACCTTTTTCATTGTAGCTCTTCATTGTAGATTATTATTTTTATTAATCTCTTTATCAAATGATAAAAATATAAAATGCATAACAATAAACACTAATGTATAAGTAATTTAAATGGCTCATAACATGCCAGAGATTGATCTGCAGTCGCCATTGCCAATGCCAAAGAAAGAAATTTGCAGAGCCATCATACACCAATTTCTTCCTCCACCCTCCTTTCCCATATTCTTAGGCCCAATTCTAGTAGTAGGAGTTTTAGTATATAGTAGGCCCTTCTTCTGGCTATTAAAAAACTTCTAGGCCCGTTTGCACTCGGGCGATTTTGGCAGCATGCAAGAATTCAAAACAGAGCCCGTTTTCTGTCCTAACCCTTTCTCACCCATTTACTCAGTTAGGAAATTAACTTCATCATGCAAGGGGGATAATTAACTTTTCTTGTTTTCTTTGGTCAAAGGGGATAATTAACTTGTATCATTCTGAATTTTGATCTCCCTTTATTATATCCACTTCATTTATCCCATCTATCATTTCACTTTGCCATCCTTCCTACTTTGATGATGCAATATTGATAAACATGAATTCTAGGTATCTTTCTTACGGACATGACACATTGAGAATACCTCATTTTTATTCTTTCTTTTTTTTTTTCAATTTTGATCTCATATATTGACAGAATTGATTACATTTGGGTATAATATTGTCTTTTAGAGTTTTGATTTTAAGTCTAATCTTAAAACCTAAAATCGAAGCGGTTAACCAATTCAAGACTAGAAACCTTAAGTCTAACCTCTCAATAAGGATTATACTAAGAAAACATGGACGTTTTGTCTTTCAGGAATGTGTACTTTTATTTGGACATGACATATTATTATGTTTAATTGTATTTGTTCTATTATTTTTCATTTTTCAATAACTCAAGTCAAAATTAAGTTTAAACTCGTTTTCAAACAAGGTGATCCAAGCCAATAACAAGCTCAAGCCGACTCGTGCTTGAAAAAAATCATTCAAGTTGAGTTTGAGCACAGCCCTACCACTTGCAGACCCATAAATTTTTTAGCGGATGTGCAATATTGACTAAGTATGAAAAATGGTTTTTTGGAATAATCAGTTTCTCAAGATAATTTTTGGAGGCTTTTATTCCTTACACATCAAATAAGAAAACTTAATTTTATGGGATTTTAGTATGAAGTATATATTGACTTAATGAGCCATCATTTTTAGCCTAAATCGTATTTTGCACTAAAACCGAATTTTCATATTTTGATTTGGTGGGAATTTGATTTTCTAGTATTTTTATTTGAATCCAAATGGGGGGTACTTCCTTATTTACATTGTAAACTTAAGTAAATGGAGTAATATAAAAATAAATAAAAGTAAAAGGACAAAGACATTTACTTAAATGTTGAAAATATGAATAAGGTAATTTGTATCTGTACACCAATTGAGCAAAGGGGCAATTTGAAACACCTACAATGGTTTTTCCGGCGAGAGGAGGTGTAGCTACACCCCCTTGCGCCTTACTAGGTCCACCAGTGCCTCCAAGCTTCACTCAACCTTGAGCTAACCTGAGCTTGAACTCGGATAACATTATCCGAGCTGAACTTAAGCAAACATACAAAATACAGGGAACATTTTGATATATAACCCATGATTATATGCATAGAGGAACTATAGCTAGGAAGGGGCCTACAAGTTGAGAGATTAGGGGTTACTAGTTACTACATTGTATTGAGGGGCACTGACAATCAAGGGCGGTGCTATGCACATGGCAAGATGGGGGCTTCCCAACCCAAATTTTTCTATATATAAAAAATACCTACATGTGTTATAAACCCATTCCAAATTTAAAAAAATTAAAAGCAAATGCTACTCATATGTTGCCCATCTAGGTGGTCCTATATCTTCTCTCTCCTTCTCTTTTGGCTATTAGACTTCTTGTTTCTCTTTCTCTCTTTGATACCCGACAACAGCAAGTTTCTCCCTCTTTTATTCTTTTCGGGTCAAATTCTCCCTCTATTGGCTATATCTTTGATAAGTCCACATAAATTTAAAGATCTATATACTCTTTACACTTAGTTTTTGTAGGAAAATTTGATTTAAAAAGGACTTCTTATTTTTCACAATTTTCAACTTTGCAAAGCAAGTAATTGGTTTTCAATGGAAATACGACTTTTTGGTGGAGTTTTTATACAAAACCAATTGCAGATGAAAGCTAAGATCTTGAAGATGATTGTGGAATTTTTCTAGAATTTTCGGAGCAGCCAATGAGAGCAGGCTTTGAAGTTAAGTTAGCATAAGTTGCAATCCCGTCAAAATTGTGCTTTTGTGGAAGAACGATTATTTGAAGACTTTCATGATTTTACCTCAAGTCATGCGATACTGGAAAGATAAAACAAACACCTATAATTTACATATTTTTCCCGAATTTTCTTGGAGGAGGAACTACCCCAAATGTGCTTGCAAACAAACTGATGTGTTGTCCTAGTCAAAGTAGGAAGATGAATCAATTACTTACCCATTTTGGATTTATGTTTTAATTAGGTTTTTCTTTATTTTTGGGCTGTTGTCAAAGCCCAGCTAAGGTAGGAATATACGTGTGGTGTTTTATTTAAGCATGAGAAACAACTCCTTTGGGGTCACTCAAAGACTAGGAGAAATTGGAGACGCCAGAAGAGTACCACAATTGGCTAAGTTTTATTTTTTCTTCCTTATGCATAACTAATTTTATGTCGCTAGGGAATGATATAGCCCATATACGATAATCTAGTTCTTTTATTTTACCTATCTATTGATTGTCATTTGATGTTGGATTCTTAATTACTGTGCTTAGTAACTTGGTTGATTATCTTGATGCTTGATCACCATCTACACTTTTAATTGAGTTAATCGGATGCAAATTAGAGTAAATACCATACTTAATTTGAGGTTTGCTTCTTGTGATTATGATTTGTAATTCGTCTAGGGTAAATACCATACTCCTAAGGTTTACATGCTTTATTGGAGGTTTTCACTGATCTTAATGAGTTTCTATGTGTTGGTATTTGACCTAAATACTATAGGCAAATTGCACGTAGGAATATACGAGTCAGCCTAAATACCATAGGTAATTCATGAAAAAAGAAAACTAAACGGCGACAAGTATGTGAATAAGAGGCAAGATCGGATTACTAGTGGTGGTGAATTCATTGTCCTAGTGCTTTTATCAATTTGAATTTCTCATCTTGTGTTTCGTGACTTTCTACTTGTTTTGTCTTTTAATTTCGATGTTAATTAAATCATTTTAAAAAAAATCCCTTTTGTGTTTACGTGAGTGTCGCATCCCGAAATCGGTTCCACTATAGTGCGATATTGTCCGCTTTGGGCCCCTCTCTCTGCCCTCACGGTTTTATTTTTAAGAACTCACGAGCAACTTCCCAATGAGTCATTATCCGAGCCAAACTTGAGCAAACATACAAAATACAGGGATCATTTTGATATATAACCCATGATTATATGCATGGAGGAACTATAGCTAGGAAGGGGTCTACAAGTTGAGAAATTAGGGGTTATTAGTTACTACATTGTATTGAGGGGCACCGGTCATAATATTATTATTGTCGGCAAGACATTCCTGTTTGATGAGTTGACTGCAACTGGTGCTGCATTTATCATGCATAATAATATATTGATATAATTCTTATATTCCAAGGTTCATTCATGTCATGTAGTTTTCTTTTCTGCGTTGTGGAAATTGTGTCTTGGTTTAATTGCTATTATGCATCCTTGCTAGACATAAGCACATGCCCAGCAGCCGTCCTCTTCCAGTGCCATAGAAAAATTATGGTCTTGCAGAAATGTCTGACTCGTGACCAGCATATCATTGATTTATAAAATTAAAAGCTTTAATAATACAGAAATTAAATCCAAAACATTATCTCCATACAGTTGAATATATATATATATATATATATATATTGTGTATTATTTGTTAGTTGTGTGTGAAAATAAATGGATGAATATGAGAGACGTATGACATAATGGGCAGGTAGGATGTTGCGGGTTTATAGATTCGCAGTCTGTCGTATATGTTAAACTGCTAGTCTCACAAAATCTTGAGAAAAAGATAACGTGAAAGCAAAGTATATTTGACAAGAAAAAATCCACCATAAATCAAGGAAAAAGAAAAATTCATGATTAATATGATAATTTATACTCTCCAAACTCATACAAGTGGTGTGGTGGTGGGGTTGCTAATTCATTTCGTTAACCAAAAATACATGCTCTTGCCTCATCATTATTTATATATGCTCTTTGCATATCTCTTTTTTTTTCTTTTTTCTTTTTTTGGTGGGATCCATAGGATCTGTCTAGTTACGCTTGTTTCTAGCTTAGCTATGAGCAGAGAAGCTAGCTACGCTTGTTTCTTTAAAGAAAAGTAATGCATTATTTGGCTGGTGGATGAAAACCCCGACGGCAAATATATATGTAGCCATCCTAAGTTTGTCTCGTACTCCTGCATTATATTCTTCATGGTGGACTTATAATTAATCACCCATTAATTCAAAGTTGTTATTATTCATTGATTTTTTTTTCTTTTTTTCTTTTAAATTACAAATCAGCTTAAGATTTTGGCTTCCAACTTGCTTATGCCTTATACGACGCATTCTATCCGCCGTAAATGATTTTTTTTTTTTTTTTTTTTTTTTTTTTTTTTGTAGTATGTGGAACAAAGGAAAACTACAAGGCCAAAAGAATTAGACGAGTAAATCTTCACATAAGGCGAAGCTACAAGCTCCTTGTAGCTTGTACTTATCCTTTCAAATATTCTAGCTAAGTTCTAACAACATGGTAATAATTGCTTTTAAAAAACCACACAAATGATATTTGTTATTGACATGTATAGCAAAGATGACGTGGGGTTAAGCATTAGTATAATCAGAAATGATATTTGTAGAAGTTTCAAAGAACAAAGTTTAGGGACATAGGATAATTAATATGATGCAGGCGTGTAAGATGGATATTATACATGGACCACCAAGCCGGAGGACGTGCGATATATTTAATTTTATTAGTTTTCAATCAACAACACAAATTTTTTGAGTGAAAGTATCACCAACTGACGCGGTGATACCGTACTAGTCTATAATTTCTCCATTTGTGGCCCAACCTTAACCTTTGTAAAGGAAACATGGCCGGTTTGACAGGTATGTTTTTTTCACAATATTAAATATTAACCCATCAATTTGTTGAGTATTAAAAACTAAAGAAAAATATACATATCCGTATTTGTCGACCAACTGGGCCCATGCATTCAATCACGTAGGGCACTGAGGCCAAATTAATCAAACGCACCCTTTGGTCTATTCTCATGAGATATAATATATATATATATATATATATATATATATATGCGTCTGAAAGTTGGGGTGCCCCAAATTAATGATTAAAATGATACTTTATGAAAATATATTTGTCTCCTATAAATCCATATAATAATATCATGCCCACCGTGTAAAAATCTAGTACGTACAAAACAAAACAGAAATATGGAACTCATGAACATTATGACTCTTGCTTGCATGTAGGTACCTAGGTGATTAATTATAAATCTTTTATGGTAGAGTATAGTGTGTGATTAGTTGGCAGAATGTTGGGTAATTAAACCACTAAACAATCAAATTAGTTTTTCATAATTTTTTTATGCAAGCGATATTTTACTTTAACTTAATCTAAATTATGGGAAAGGGAATTTGAACTCTGGTGTAAAGTGGAGAGCACATTCGCTCTAGCCAACGTCAGCAGGTTTTTATAATTTTTTTCCATCAATACAAGAAATAACTTTTCCAACCATGTTTGTTTCATTGTTAGCCTTGTCATTAATTTGTTGTTAAACCATAATTATAATTATATGTTTATTATAATACAGAGTTTATACGGTGCTTACGAATTTGATTAAAAAAATTCGACCAAAAAATAATTATTAAAAAAACTTACCCTAAAGTTAAGCAAATTTAAACACCATTTGAATCTTAAAAACTTAATGAAATGGACATTAATGGAAAATTGCAGCAAATATTTGAAAGTATATTCAGCACAATAAAGAAAGAGCTGTTATTTCCACCTTCCTATCCTATTTCCCCACTACCTTATCTTCAAAAAATTTAAGACAAACCTACCCCTTTGTAAAATGATTTGAGGACTTAGGGAAAAATAATAATAATAATAAAACTAATTAAAAAAAAACATATGAAGAAAAAAAAACTAAAAATATTTTTTAAAATTATAAAACCCCTTCCCTCTCATCACGCATACCCCCACCCCCCACCCTCCTGCCTCCTCCCTATTCCTCCACTGCACAGCAGCCATCTCCCTCACTTCCTCAAGCACCCACCTACAGTACCCTAGTCCAATCCATTCCCCCCTCCCATCTCTCTGTGGGAATTGAGTGCTTTCCGTGATTCGAACTTGAAGAACCATAGGGATATTGGGGGAACTGAAGAGAGCGGAGCTTAATGAGAAGGATGACGAGGGAGGCTCTGGATTCTTCAATGAGAAGAAAAGTTTCATTTATGAAGTTGAAAGCATTGCTCAAAGATGTAATTGAGAGCTTGTGAATATGGTATTTTGTATAGGATGTTGAGGGATTAAGTGTGATGTAGAACAAATGGCTGAATGGATTGAAGAAGAATTGGAGCGAAGAAGGGAAAAATGACGTAGCAGGAATTTACAGATTTGGCGTCCGAGCTCCGATTGGGTCGCATAATACGTTCCAAAAGTGTATTTAAAAATTGTATTCAATTTACAGGCTTTTCGTTTCTTTTCAGTTATGTTTTCAATAACTCCCTATTGTAGTCCAATGGGTGAGAGCGTAGTATTCAATTTACAGGCTTTTCGTTTCCTTTCAATTACGTTTTTAATAACTCCCCAGGCAGCCCAATGGGCGAGAACGTTGTATTTAATCAGCTGTCATGCTTGGTTGAAATCATCTCAACTTTTATCAAATATTTCAAAGAGAATTTTCTCTCTAATTTCCTGGTGGATTCCAAATTATTGTTCTTTAGGATTTTCGCTTGAAAATCTATTTGCTTGTGCTGCGTCAAGTGGTATCAGAGCGGTTCTCTCCCATCTCGGTATTATTGGCTTATCATGGGTGATTGTGAAACTGCTGTCCCAATTACTCGAGCAGATTTGGATGCTCAAAACGTACGAATCGACAATTTAGCCAATCAACTTGGGGAGATGTGTGAGTTGTTGTTACAAGCTATTGGTGGCAACAGTGGAAGAGAAGACAAAAATAACAATAGAAGAGAAGATGGAGATAACAATATAAGAGAAGACAGAGAAAACAACCAAGGAGGCAATGCTGGAAGAAATAATAGGAGACAACATGTTCCAGAGAGCGAGTCGGAGTCCGAAGAAGAACTTGTTGAACCACCACCGGTTAACAATCCACATCATCGTAATCACAACAATTTTGGTGATTATCGGATTAAAGCCGAAATCCCTAATTTTTGGGGAAACCTAAAAATTGAAGATTTCATGGATTGGTTGGTAGAAGTGGAGAGGTTCTTTGAAATAATGGAGGTCCGAGAGAACAAAATGGTGAAGATGGTCGCTTTCCGTCTGAAAGTTACAGCAGCTGTATGGTGGGATCAATTGCAGAATTCACGACAAAGGCAAAGAAAGCAACAGGTTCGTACGTGGCGAAAGATGAAGCAGCTTATGATGGATTGGTTCCTACCTACTGATTATGAACAAATTCTGTACCGCATGTACATCGGTTGTACGCAAGGCAATCGTTCGGTTTCTGAATATACCGAAGAGTTTATGCGTCTAGCGGAGCGTAATCATTTGACCGAGACCGAAAACCAAAAGGTTGCAAGGTATATTAATGGCCTGAAAATTTCCATTCAAGAAAAAATTGGTTTGCAGAATATGTGGACTTTGCAGGAGGCGATTAATATTGCGTTAAAGGCTGAGTTGTTGGAGAAGGAGAAACGCCAAACTAATTATCGCAGGAACACGATGGATCATAAAGAAAATGTTGCTACTTTTCCTAGTGACAAGGGGAAAACGTAGCAGCAAAATTTCGGTGGATCGTCAAAGCCGTCAAACCTCCAAAGTGAAAGCGGCAATGAAGGCAGTAGCCGGTCTTCCAATAGAGTGCAGACCCGGAACCAGCCCCAGAAGGAGAATCCGTATGCTAAGCCCACGACGGATATTTGTTACCGATGCCAAAAACCAGGTCATCGTTCCAACGTTTGTCCCGAGCAGAGGCAAGTTAATTTTATAGAAGATGTCGGTGATGACGAAGTTGTAGATGATGATTATGCAGGGGCTGAGTTTGCAATTGAGGAGGGAATGGAAAGGCTTACTTTGGTTTTACAGTGTGTTCTTTTGCCACCAAAAGAGGAAGTGCAGCGACACAGCATTTTCCGTTCTCTTTGTTCAATCAAAAATAAAATCTGTGATGTGATTGTAGATAATGGGAGTTGCGAGAATTTTGTGTCAAAAAAATTGGTGGAGAATTTGCAGCTACCAACAAAGCCACATATCAACCCTTATTCATTGGGTTGGATTAAAAAATGACCTTCAATTCGTGTTGCTGAGACTTGCCGTGTGCCACTCTCTATTGGTAAGCACTACAGGGATGATGTTGTATGTGATGTTATTGATATAGATGCATGTCATATCTTGTTGGGGCGACCTTGGCAATTTGATGTGGATGCAACCTTTAAGGGTCGAGATAATGTGATCTTGTTTTCCTGGAACAACCACAAGATTGCGTTGGCTACTATAGTGCCCTCAAAAAAATCAGTTGAGCCCAACACTAAGAGTTCTAGTTTTTTAACTCTGATCAGCAGCGAGCAAGAGTTAAATAAGGCAATAAAATAGGCAGATTATTTTTGTCCCATGGTGTTGAATGGGCTATTGAAGGCCAGCAAAGAAGAAAATGTAATTTCTCCTGAAGTGCAGCAAATTTTGTCAAAATTTCAGGAACTAATTTCTAACAAGTTACCAAACGAGTTGCCGCCATTGAGAGATATACAACACCATATTGATTTGGTACCTGGGGCTAGTCTACCAAATTTGCCACACTATCGCATGAGCCCTAAGAAGAACAACATCCTAAGATAGCAGATTGAAGAGTTGTTACAGAAGGGTTTTATCAAGGAAAGCTTGAGTCCCTGTGCAGTTCCAGTCATTCTTGTTCCAAAGAAAGATCAGTCATGGCGTATGTGTGTTGATAGTCGAGCAATCAACAAGATTACAATAAAATACAGATTTCCCATCCCGCGATTGGAAGATATGTTGGATGTGCTCGAAGGCTCTAAGGTGTTTTCCAAAATAGATTTGCGCAGTGGATACCACCAAGACAAGAAACCAATTGCTTTCTTTTCTGAAAAGTTGAGTGATGCTCGTCAAAAGTGGAGTACTTATGACCAAGAATTTTATGCAGTTGTTCGTGCTTTGAAACAATGGGAGCACTATCTTATTCAAAAGGAATTTGTTTTGTTTACAGATCATCAAGCTTTGAAGTATATTAACAGCCATAAACATATTGATAAAATGCATGCCAGATGGGTAACTTTTTTGCAGAAATTTTCATTCGTTATCAAGCACACTTATGGCACCTCAAATCATGTGGCTGACGCGCTGAGTAGAAGGGCTTCCTTGTTAGTTACTCTTACTCAAGAAATTGTGGGGTTCGAGTATTTGAGGGATTTATATGAAGATGATGATGATTTCAAGGAAATATAGGCTAAATGTGCTAATCATGAGCCAATGTCAGATTTCTTTCTTAATGAAGGGTATTTGTTCAAAGGCAACCAGTTATGTATTCATGTTTCCTCCTTAAGGGAAAAACTCATTATACATGCCTTTACCAGTTCCTAATGACATATGGCAGGATCTTGCTATGGATTTTGTCATTGGTTTGCCTCGAACTCAGAGAGGTGTGGATTCAGTTTTTGTGGTGGTTGATCGATTCTCAAAAATGGCGCATTTCATAGCCTGCAAGAAGACTGCTGATGCATCCAATATAGCCAAGTTGTTTTTTAGGGAAGTTGTTCGCTTGCATGGAGTCCCTACATCTATAACTTCTGACCGTGATACAAAATTTTTTAGCCATTTTTGGATCACTTTGTGGAGAATGTTTGGAACTACTTTGAACCGTAGTAGCACTGCACATCCTCAAACTGACGGCCAGACTAAGGTTACTAATCGAACATTGGGAAATATGGTGCGAAGCATTTGCAGAGAGAAGCCGAAGTAATGGAATTATGCACTGCCACAGGTGGAGTTTGCATATAACAGTGCAGTGCATAGTGCAACAGGGAAGTCACCATTTTCCATTGTTTATATTGTTGTGCCTCATCATGTTGTTGATTTGGTGAAGCTGCCTAAAGGCCAGAGAACTAGTGTTGCAGCGGGAAAATTGGCTGAAGAAGTGGTGGCTATTCGTGATGAAGTGAAGCAAAAACTTGAACAAGCTAATGCTAAGTACAAAGCCTTTGCAAACAAGCATAGGCGAGTTAAGGTGTTTCAAGAAGGCGATTCTGTGATGGTGTTTCTGAGGAAGGATAGGTTCCCTATTGGTACATATAGCAAGCTGAAACCTAAGAAATATGGTCCTTACAAGGTGCTAAAAAGAATCAATGACAATGCCTATGTTATTGAATTACCAAATTCCATGGGAATTTCCAATACTTTTAATGTTGCTGATTTGTATGAGTTTCGTGAAGATGAAACCCTTTATCCTGAACATAACTCGGGGTCGAGTTCTTCAGAGGTGGAAGGGACTGATGTAGAACAAATGGCTAAATGGATTGAAGAAGAATTGGAGCGAAGCAGGGAAAAATGATGTAGCAAGAATTTACAGATTTGGCGTTCGAGCTCCGATTGGGTTGCATAATACGTTCCAAAAGTGCATTTAAAAATTGTATTCAATTTACAGGCTTTTCGTTTCTTTTCAGTTACGTTTTCAATAACTCCCCAGGGTAGTCCAATGGGTGAGAGCGTAGTATTCAATTTACAGGCTTTTCGTTTCCTTTCAATTACGTTTTCAATAACTCCCCAGGCAGCCCAATGGGCGAGAACGTTGTATTTAATCAGCTGTCATGCTTGGTTGAAATCATCTCGACTTTTATCAAATATTTCAAAGAGAATTTTCTCTCTAATTTCCTGGTGGATTCTAGATTATTGTTCTTTAGTATTTTCGCTTGAAAATCTATTTGCTTGTGCTGCGTCAAAGTGGGTAATTGGTGAATTTTGGGCTCTGAGCAGCTATTGCTTAGCTCCACGAATATGTTGGTGTTCTGCCTTTGGATTTTTTGGATCCTAGAGAGAACAATTTCCAGCAATTCATAGGCATGTTGTGTTATAGCTATTGAGTAATTCGTTTCTTTGGTAAAATATATAGTTTCATCTCTTAGTTCTTTTGATTCCTATTCAATTGGGTGTATTTGTATCTAGTAGAATTTGACTATAGGCATTGTAATATTTCTGGGTTTCTGATATATTGATCTATGGAGCTCGAATTTGGAGGCAAGGCTCATAATTACTATGGATTGTTTTTTACCAAATTATGTCATGTCATCATTTAGTACCAAATTATAATTAAAGGGTATTTTAGAATTAAAGGTGGGTGGAAAGATAGGATTTTGTTTTTTCAAATTTACATGTGGGCGGGAAGATAAAGTGGGTAAGAAAATAGGACATGAGGAGGAAATAGCAGCACTCTAAAGAAAAGGACCCATTAGTGTAGTAGTTTGGAATAATCTCCCCCAGGCAAGGTCCTGGATTCAAGTCCTAGCATCCATATTGTGTGTGAGTTTAATATATTATTGCCCATCTCAATAAAAATGATATTTTAAGAATCAGAAATATAAAAAATTGGAGACAAACAACAATAGCAAAGACAACTCAAACTTTAAGCTTGATTAGGTAACTTGTTGAGTTGGAATGAATCCTAGTCATCGGATTTTCTTATAAAAGGGGGGGGGTTTTTTTTTTTTTTTTTTTTTTTTTTTTTTTTTTTTTAAATTTATAATAGGAATTAGATGGAATTAAGGAAAAAAAAAAATTGAGAGGGTAAAGCCAAATTTACTATAATTAGAACTTTGTGAGGGTTTTATTGTCTACTATAATTAAGTACTTTCTTGCTACGCTGCACGACCCTTATTGGATGTTCAACTTTTTTGTTCTACAAAGAAATTTCATCTCATGTCAAAGAAAGAAAATATATATGTGGCCGTTGGTCAAGGCGGCAAGTTGTTCATCAAATTCTGATTCACATTACCTACCTCCACAATTTATGAACGAACTACCTTGACCCTGCGAGGTCCCCAAAAGTCCATTGAACCAGTATGGCATTGGTTATAAATACACGTGCTTTGCAGATACAAAGTAGGTTTTTCACTTCTTAGTGAAATGTTTTTATAAAAAAATTAGGTAAACGAAGTATAAATAGTCACAAGTAAAAGAGGTAAATCAGGGAGACTTGAGACTGTCTGCATATAACATGGGGATCGTATCACCTAAACTTTCTGCAAAATAGAAAGGTTAACGTAATTAGATTAGTTGACCTAGACATGATTTGCAGTGAAAAACAAAAGAAAAAAAGTTTAAATTTTGGAGTAGGTATGGAATTTTTTTTATAATAAAAAATTTATTAGTCTTGCTCTGGTCCAAAGAAGTTGTGACAGTATCCAATGTTTAGCCACATCAACATCATGACAACAGGTTCATTTGGTCCCTTGATACAATTGGAACAAGCATCTAGTGTTGCAGGCCTGCAGCTCTATATAGCTTAGGAGAAAGAAAATTAAGGGTTTGAAAAGGAAAACTCATTGGAATTTGAGGTGGTTCTGAACTCATTCAAGATAACTTGCCCCCTAAAAAACACAAACAAGCAAACCCCTGAAAATTTTATGAACAAGATAACTTCCCCACTTACTAAAATTTCCTGAAACTGTGATCAAGATAGTTTCCAAAGCATGGAGGTGGATAATGTCCCGTGAATTCTCTTTCATGCCATATCCACATACACCATCATGCTTGGTCAGGATCACACAGAATTTATATATACATATATCCAAGATTTAAGCTATTTTGGACATATATCTCTGTGAGTCTTTGTGACAAATTATAAGGTAAGCAGTCATGTCATGAATCAGAACAAATTAACTGTTAACCGCTCTCTCTCTTCTATCTTCTTCACTTTTCTTCTCTCATTCAGCAACCACAACCAACAAGTTTTCTGTTATCTTCTTTTTTTTTAAAGGATTTATCTTATTGAGAGAGAGTGATTGTATGTTAAACTCACACACACTACACGGATGCTATAACTTGAACTCAAGACCTTTTCTCGAGTGAATTGCTCCAATTTTGTCTCCATGTGTAACTTCCCTCATCAACCAACTTCTCACCTTTTCAATGTGGGGTCCACAGATCACTCTATTTATACCGAACTGTAAAGCCATATTATTTTCATATGCCTACTGCTACCCACCTTCAATTCTCCCACCCCTGTTTTCAAAACAGAGTCACTCTGTTTGTGCTGCATTGCCTTCTCATTCCCCCTTCTTTTCTTTTTTTTCTCTTCATGGCTCCTCTTCTCCCTTTAATTTTCTTCCTCATGTTCTCTTCAAATAGTGGTCAGGGTCCCCCCTCACCTGGCTATAACCCCAGTTCCAAAATTAGCACAGTAGGTTTTGATCAGGGTTTTAGAAACCTATGGGGACCTAAGCATCAGAATTTAGACCAGGGTGCATTAACAATCTGGCTTGATTCTAGCTCAGGTACTCAACCATACAAACTTCATGCTTTTCTATACTTCGATTTAGTAATTTTGATCTGTTTTATGCTTGAATTAAGTTTTATGATCATTTATAATTATTATCTCAGATTTTTTAGCATCTGCTACATTTCTGACATACTGCAGGAAGTGGGTTCAAGTCACTTCATCCATATCGTTCTGGATATTTTGGAGCAGCCGTCAAGCTCCAACCAGGTTATACTGCTGGAGTAATTACATCATTTTATGTAAGGCTTGCTTTCATGATTACATAATTGCATTAGATTAATTAATTCCTAGATTAGGAAGAAGAATGAAAATTGGGTTGTGTCTAACTTTCTATGCTTGTTTTTACAGCTCTCTAACAATGAAGAACACCCAGGGAACCACGATGAAATCGATATCGAGTTCCTCGGGACAATCCCCGGGAAGCCCTACACTCTGCAAACCAATGTGTACATTAGAGGAAGTGGAGATGGAAACATCATTGGGAGAGAGAAGAAGTTTCATCTCTGGTTTGATCCAACACAAGACTTTCATAACTACGCTATAGTATGGAACCCTACTGAGATCATGTGAGTATGGTGGTACCACCAATTGTTGTACCTTTTTTCCAATCAAACTTAATGTTTTACATGTCACATGTGTTTGTAAGGTAAACATCAAGGCAAACTGTCTTGTGTCTTTTAGTAGGGGAATGTGTGAAGCACAGTTTGTTTTTTGTTTTTGAAGGGGAAATGCTACTTAGGATTCTGGTTTTTTTATTCCCTTTTTTCTAAAGAATCTTCCAAGTTCATTGAGTCGTTACATCAAAGTAAATTCCCCAAAATTCTGAACTTATATTAGCATCATTGATTTTCTTTTTTATATTTTTTTGTTGCCTTATGAAGATTGAGTTGATACACATTTAAATTATGTTTGTAGAGCAAACAATAATAATGATGACTTATTATATATGATGTAAATAATTTACAGATTCCTGGTGGATGATGTGCCCATAAGAAGGTACCAAAGAAAGAGTGATGCCACGTTTCCATTGAGGCCAATGTGGGCATATGGATCCATATGGGATGCATCAACATGGGCCACAGAGGATGGAAAATACAAAGCCGACTACAATTACCAACCTTTTATTGGAAGGTACAACAATTTCAAACTAGGTGGGTGCACAGCCGATGGCCCTACTACAACCTCATGCCAGCCGCCCTCGGCCTCGCCCTCCGGTGCAACGGGGCTGAGCCAGCAGCAGAACTCAGCCATGGAGTGGGTGCAGAGGAACTACTTGGTGTATGACTATTGCCAGGACCCCAAGAGAGACCATACACAAACACCTGAGTGTTGAAGAGTCTGGCTTGCACTTTGGTTTCCGAAGTGATGCATATAATATTTACACAAGTGAATTAATTGTTGTCGTTTATAGTTATAAGCAGTTTGTTTGGACTTGATTGGAGGGCCTTGAGATGGATCCCACTTGCTCTAAATGGGTGCAGCAAGAGGGGTTGTTAAGCGTCCAAGGCCTTTTAGATTTGGATTATTGCATTTTTTTCGTTTCTTTTTGCAGTGTCATTTGATGATTGCTTTTGTTGTACCAAACAATGTACGATTAATAAATTTATGTGATAGTGCATGGTTTTAATCAATTGTACTTTGGTTTTTTATGCCCCGCAGAGAGAAATGGGTCTGATTATTATGCCATATTTTTGCATTCATGCAGAAGGAGCACACAGTAGCCCCCTTGTGACAATTGTCTTTGGATTTGTCTATGGATTTTAGTTGCACAAAAATCAATTGTGAGTAAAAGCAATATAATTCAAACTGGTTGCTTTTAGAATACGATGTGATTTGTATGGAGATAAGATCTTTAGAGATCTACCTTGTAATTTACTTTAACTTTAAATATATATATATATATATATATATATATATATGTAGCTTCTATTAAGGGAATCCTCAAATACGTTTATTTGAGGGACGCTCTTGTAGGGCCCACTCTGCATTGTGTTTCACTAATCCAAACCGTCTATTTTTTAGATATTCATTCAAATATCATCTCTATAAAAAATCATTTGAATCCGATATATATAGTTCGAGCTGTTTGGAGATAATTTAATTAGTATATGTTTAATTAGTCAATCCAATTATATATTTAAAAAAAATCATAAGAGAATTATTATTTGCAGTCTAATTCTTTTATAAATTAGTATGTATCACGTGTATCTTTTTCATCTTTTTATTTTTATTTTTATAAATTCTGTTTGGATAGAGGAAAATAACTTGGAATTCAGCTAAAGGGAGAAATTGATATTTTCGTTGTTTAGCAACTTAAGCATGTAATTTATTAAATGACATGAGGAAAAATTGTGGAAATTGAGAATCAAGATTCTCGAATTTTATTAAAGTCAAAAGAGATGTCATTTCACAATTTATATTCAGCCCCTTTGAGAACATTTAACCAATCAAGTTGGCCGCAGGCTTAATAATTTAATTGACTAAAGTAAAAGACGACGAAGTAAACAGAGAAAGAATGAAGAATCTTTGTATGATAAAAAGTCTATTCATCCATCGGATCCATCCTAGAAAATACATTAAGTCAAACATTTCGGAGCACTTGTGATTAAACAGTCTCATTAGAGCATTTCCAACAATTAGCTCATTGCCATGGCAAGAGGAGCCCTAGGGCAGCTACTATTCACTTGAATAGTGGCTGCTCTAGCCCCCGCAGCAAAGTGTGTTTCCAGCAGTTACACTTTGCCATGGCAAATACTATTCTTCTTTTTTTTTAATTTTTTTCACAACTTTGTTTACTTAAACAATTAATTTGGATAATATTTTCGGATTAGATTTTATTTTATTACTTGTATTTTATTTTATTACTTGTATTGGTTGGTATTTATAGGAAAAAAATGTATGAGGATTTGGTGTTAAAAGTGAAGAGTATTGGTTGGCATTTATAGACACTGGCGGACCTAAATTTTTTTTAGCGGAGGTGCAATATTGACTAAGTATGAAAAATGGTTTTTCGGAATAATCATTTTCTTAAGATAATTTTTGGCGGCTTTTATTCCTTACACATCAAATAAGAAAACTTGATTTTATGAGATTTTAGTATGAAGTATATATTGACTTAATGAGCCATCATTTTTAACCTAAATCATATTTTGCACTAAAACCGATTTTTCATATTTTGATTTGGTGAGAATTTGATTTTCTAGTATTTTTATTTGAATCCAAATGGGGGGTACTTCCTTATTTACATTGTAAACTTAAGTAAATGGAGTAATATAAAAATAAATGAAAGTAAAAGGACAAAGACATTTACTTAAATGTTGAAAATGGAAATAAGGTATAGAGAAAAAGAAAATCAGTAATTTTTTGTTTTTTTTTTTTAAAATTTCCCCTTTTTTTTCATTTTTTTACTGCACAAAAATTTGCTGCCATTGGATTGCTAGAAAAAATTTGATTGGAGAGCCCAGTGCGCGCCACGTGGACGAGGGCACTGTAGCGGCATGTTCAATTTTTTTTACTATTGGTGTGTGCAATGCACGCGCCAACGTTAAAAAAATTTTGAGAGCCCGCGCTAACGTTAGCTCAGCCCGTAGGCTAGAGCTCGGGCCAGCATAGTTCGCTTGGTCCCACTCCTTGCCTGGGGCAAATTTTGTTGCTGGAAACACCATTTTGGGCTTCCCCCCCAACCCTCCCCTTGGTCCCCTTGCTGGAAGTGCTCTTAGAATCAACCTAATTATAGCTTAGGGAAGAAAACAAAAGCTTGATTCATGGCTGTATCAAAGGCCAAAAGTTGCTAAATTATCATTAGAAAGAATCACGATCATGGAATTTGAGTGACAGCTAAAATCAACACAACTACCATATGATATTCTGAGCAGTTTAAACCATGGTGTCAAAGCACTTTTGATGATCCAATGAACCCTTATTGTGTTTGATTTTGCAGTTCTGGGGTTTAGTTGGTTGCTCTACTTTAGATCTGTTTTCAGAGCAGGTGGAGTTTGCTAGATTTGGGAGGATTTTCTAGTTATTGGTGCTTGAAGATCAAGAGGGTGTTGGAAACTGGCAGTGACATTCTCTGGAATGTTTTGGTGGAATCTGAGCGGTAATGCCCTCCACTTGATGATGTTTTCTGCTCCGAAATGTTGCAGGATTTTATCTGGCATGGTCTTCTTTCTTGTGGCCCTGGATGTTCAGGTTATTTGTCCTCTTCATCAACTCCAAATGACCTATGTTATCTAGGCTGTGTATTTTCTTGTGCTCACTGTCTTGCAATAACTGTAATTCATTGTTTATATTTCTTGTTTCTCTTATTGCAAGAACCCTCCTTTTTTGGGGTTGTGTTCTTCACTCTATTCCTTGTATTTTCCCCATTTGTTAAAAACTGTTGTCTGCTCACAAAATAAACAAACTAGATGCCTATGATACACATAAAATTGTAAAATGGATTTTGGGCTTTGGGCTATAGGGCTGTGGTTTGTTTTTGGGCCTCTCATAAATCCATAGAAAAAACGATTATTTGTCAAGACCATTTTCATCAACTCCGATAAAAGCTACTCTGCACTGTATTCGTCAAGACTTTTTTCGTCATGGTTGCCACATTTATGCTTTATCGGATCGGAGGACATCCGACACTTCTAACTTGCGTGACCGGCATGGTAGTCTCACTCTCTTTTTACCATAAAAAGCTAAGTCATACATTAGTGAGTTGTCGGCTAACGATCGCGGCGATAATAAGAGAAAAATTGTTATGACAGAAAACCTACAGCTGGGCAAGTGTGAGACTCATATGAGAATTTTAAATGATGTGGCAATACACATGTGCCTCAATAGATGACTAGTCATGTGACTTGACTAGTCATATCCTAATGCATTTTGAGCATGAAATGCATAATTTACCTTTGAGCTGTTTTGTCATGAGTTGCAAGCTGACTAATCGGTGCTAATTACTTGATTAGAAAACAAACATGGGAATCAGGTGGGAGACGACGTCGATGATGGTGGATGGCGGCAAAACTACTTGGATCTCTGTCTCATCTTTCGGCTCTTCCTCTTCAACCTCCTCATGCTCTTCTTCCCACTTGGCTCTCATGGTGACGAGGAAATGAAGTTCACTCTCTAGTTCTGCAAAGAAGGCTGCGGGGAAGGGAACAAGATATCTTCTGTGTTCAATATTTTAGTGGATTTATAGCATTTGAAACTTGCAAAGAATAAGTTAATGGGAATAGTGTAAGAAAATAGTCATAGATTCTCAGTGACAAAATACAATGTGAGTTGCTAATTGGAGTTATAACTTAGCTTTTGGAGTTTGCATCCTCGATGAGAACCCTACCTAGAAGGAAAATATCCTTCTTGATGATCTGTTGGGGATTGCTAGACCTTGATTTCTGCTATTTAACTTTGCTTGTTGCCCCTTTATCACAAAAAAAAATCAATGCGACTGCATGTAGAAAAACAATGTGATATATACAACTGAAAAAGCCTATTGGCACGTGCGAAAATCGAGAGAGGATGGTGAACATTGCATAACACTCACATTTAGAATTTTTCAATACTCATCATCAACTCATTCTTTGGTTACAATTTAAAAGCAATGTGGAACTGATAACCGTTTGGTGTCAAAAATAAAAAGAAATAAAAACCGAGACCCATCAACATCAACTCATTCTTTAGCAACTACAATCAACGTGGGTGGGAAAAGGAAAAACAATTGAAAAAAATATTAAATAAAAAACTGTAAACGCATTATAGGCGCCTTACAGCCTCCCATCTCAACCTTTTTCCAAATTCACACAAAACCCTTCAAACAAAACATCCAAAAATTCAATCTTGAACAATTGGGTTCACAACAAACGATCAAAATCAGAAAAATAAAAAATCGGATGGCAATTACCTTCTTGCCAAGACGCTGCTTCACAAACTCGGCGACCTGAGCCATATCCAAATTGAGAGCAACAAGGCCACTCTTCCCGCGCTTCCCGAACAACATATCGGGCTTCACCACGAGCCTCGTTGACGACAGCCATGTCTCCGCATGGTGGGTGTTTGATGCAGGAGCATAGGGGTGGATCAAGATAGATATTTATCATTTAATTAGTTATTTCATGATAAATTGTTATTTTCTTATTTATGTAGTTTTAGGATATCTTTTATTATTTATGTGTGATTTTATAATTAATTAGTTTACTTTTGGACCAAGCAGTCTTGGTGCCCAAGTCTTGTAAAGCCTATAAATAAGGCTATTATAATAGTTGTAGAAAGATGGAAATATTGATGATTAATGAAATAGTTTATTTGTGGCATGGATTTGCTACGATATATGTGAGTTTGCACTAGCCCTAGATTTCGGTGCTCGTGTATGTGGTTAGTGACCTGTATTGATGGGGATCGGGATCAGGATACAGGTCACTAACCACATACACGAGCACCGAAAGCTAGGGCTAGTGCAAACTCACATATATCGTACCAAATCCATGCCACAAATAAACTATTTCATTAATCATCAATATTTCATCTTCTACAACTATTACAATAGCCTTATTTATAGGCTTTACAAGACTTGGGCACCAAGACTGCTTGGTCCAAAAGTAAACTAATTAATTATAAAATCACACATAAATAATAAAAGATATCCTAAAACTACCTAAATAATAAAATAACAATATATCATGAAATAACTAATTAAATGATAAATATCTATCTTGATCCACTCCTATGCTCCTGCATCAGACTCCTCTAGTTGGAAAGAATTCGTCCTCGAATTCAAGCCTTTGATTGAGGAAAATCCGAGTAGAATCTTCAATTGCTTCATATTAATTCTAGATCTTTTAGCATCCAATTGAAACCTTCCTTTCCAAATAAAAAGATATTTGGAATATTTCGTTATTCTTGGCTTCTTCTTACAACCTCTAACAATGCAAATGTTTCTCTCTAGAATCTTCAACCGATTGACAAAATCAACCAAAGTTTTGGCAACCTTCCAAGTGAAAACATTAATGCCCAAAAAATCAATAATATCTTCGAAAGTTTTCTCAATTCTCCTCTCTTCACTGTTCTAATCAATAAATAGCTTATCAAAATTGCTTTGAACACCCAAACAATTTTCATTGCAATTTTCACAGTTGCAAGGATCAAATATTGGAGGTAAATCCAAATTTAATAACTTTGATGAAGAACAAGATGCACCAAAATTACCAAATCCATTTATACCTTCAAAGACACAATGAGAATAACCGTGCCCCTCTTCACTTGACTCACACAGCGGAGCGCAATAATGAAAAGGGATATCCCCCTCGTACTCCCCTTCAATACTCTCACGGCTTAGAGTGTCGATGCGAGCTACTCGGTTCAGATAAGGGTTCACGCTTCTCTCCCCGTCAAAACTCTTACCGATCTGGGTTCGAGCTTCGATGCGAGCGACGCGTTCCGTAAGTTGCCGTAGCATCCTCCTAATTTCCTCCATGTCGTTGTAGTTGTCAACACGACCCTCCATCCAAAAACCACCCCGATAAAGCAGATCTTGAACCAGGCTCTGATACCAATTGATGGGGATCGAGATCAGGACACAGGTCACTAACCACATATACGAGCACCGAAATTTAGGGCTAGTGCAAACTCACATATATCGTAGCAAATCCATGCACAAATAAACTAATTCATTAATCATCAATATTCCATCTTCTACAACTATTACAATAGCCTTATTTATAGGCTTTACAAGACTTGGGCACCAAGACTGCTTGGTCCAAAAGTAAACTAATTAATTATAAAATCACACATAAATAATAAAAGATATCCTAAAACTACCTAAATAATAAAATAACAATATATCATGAAATAACTAATTAAATGATAAATATCTATCTTGATCCACCCCTATGCTCCTGCATCATGTATCCTGATCCCGATCCCCATCAGTGTTGATATACAAGTCGATTTGCGAAGGAAAGAGAGAGTGCAGTTGGCAGGTGCGGCTGATGAGTGTACCACATTTGTATTAGATGGTGAAGGCACAGGACAGGAGCGGCAATAGCTCACGCTTTCGACGTGCCAACCGCTTGCAGAACTGTCAAGTTTGTTGGTAAATCTGGGATTGCAGTAAGGTTTATGCAGTCATCTAAACGCAATTTTTGAAGCTTTGAAAGACCACCGAGACTTGGTAGCCTACGAAAACCATTGTTTCCAAGATTTAAATCTGCTAAGGAAATTAGGCTCCTGAGATCCTTAGGGATTGCATCTTCAGTTAAGCTGCAGCCTGCAAGAGCTAATTCCCTTAAAGAGCCATTTAAGGAAGGAGGCAAAAGATGTGTTGACGGTGACCCTGTCACACCACATACAGATAAAACTCTCAAGTTGTTCGATTATACCATGTCCCCTAAGCCATCAGCCAAGTTTTGAAATCTTGAACAACCATTAAGTAGAAGAGTTGTAATGGACTTGGAATTATAGAAATTGAGTGGGAGATGCGTCAGCATTTCGCAGTCTTCAAGATTTACCAAAGTAAGTCTTTGAAGATCCCCAATGGAAGATTGAACCTCAGACAAACTTTTACAGTCTTCCAATATCAGTTCCTCGAGATTTGGGAGTTTTGAAAAGTCTGGAGATTTGGCTAGGTCATGGGAATGACTGAGATTAATGAATTTCAACTTGGTAAACATCTGTTACACAAAACCGGAAGAAACCAGATATTAAAATCCAAAAGAAACGTTTGATCAAAGCATTAATCCGAACAGAACATTATATGATGTAGAAAACCAGAAAGAAAGAACTACTAGCTAGTAACAACTAGGTTGACAATAATTGTACGTACTTCGATTCCTCCCAAACTAGTATGAGTTTGCTATTCTGCTGGTCCATGGCAACTAAGCTTTCTTGATCAAATTGATTCGGTATGGATGGTAGTGGAAATCCATGCCAGCACATCCACAACATGTTGGTGGAAAGATATTTGTAGCCGTCAGTGAGCTCTACGTAATTGAGTTGGAGCAATTTCAGTCGCCTTATGTTTTCAAATGCTTGTGCATTGAAACTAGCCTTTTCAGATATTTCCAAATTTAGAGCAAGTCCTTGAATTTCGTCAGTTCCCTGTTAACAAAGGCACTCAGTAAGAAAAAAGGGTTATTTTCATGTGGAAAATTATTTATGGACAAGTTTTTATCATATCTAGCCTAAATTTGACCCCTAAATTCATAAATATCCGTTTTTGTAAAAACTTTCAAATATAGCCAAAAACGCAATTAAATAGACTCAAATAACCCTTTAAATTAAAAGCCAGTTAAATTTCTCCCTGCCTATGCCTAATAAATTTATTTGCTTATGCAGTAAACGTTTCTCCTCTCAAAATTGGGATGCCACCTTTTTCTACCCAAATCGTATTCTCTTGTCCAGTAGTCTCCACCAATTTACTAGTCACTCAGAATTTATAACTAAAGACAGAAAAAATTAGTAAGGCTTAGAAATTTCATTCTTCTTTTTCCAGAATATGACATACTAACATGTTACCAACAAAAAATGAAAAATAAAAACTACCGAACAAAAAATGAAAATTGAAAACTACCGCACAAAAAATGAAAAATGTTACCATTTTTTTTTTTTTTTTTTTTTTTTTTTTTTTTTAAAATTAAATGATTATCTAAAACCCCTAAAATGAAATGAGTTTAGGATTTTCTCTCAACAGTAAAAAGTGAAAATGAAATGGTTATCAAACCACCTTACATTATGCTTTCAACCATTTTTGTGGAAAGATACAGATTTTCTTTTCAACACTTCTCTTACATCTTCTTGATGCCACAGCCTACTGCGTTTTCCAGGGTCATAATAGGATTCTTCACAAACAATTTCTCTGCCCATGTCTCGAAACAAATCTGCGTGACATACTTCTTGTCATAAGGCACCGCTGCCGGAGGTTATTGATTCCTGTTTCTACAGACTTTCCATGATAACCTTCCAATATCTGCGTGACATACTTCTTGTCCATTCCAATAAAGAAAACAAGATATATCAAGGAATATATCCTTATCTTTATTATCTAGCCCTTTATAGCTTATTCTGAGCTTGTTTACAACATCTTCAGGAGGAATTGTATTCAATTTATCCAATTGGCTTTCCCACACTTCCTTGCTTTGTGTGGCCAACGAAGAGACCAAAACTTTTAGCGCTAGTGGCAAACCTCTACAGTAAGAAACTACTCTTCTTGAGAGCTCAACATATTCTTCGTTAACATGACATCCTTTAAAGGCATGCCAAATAAAGAGCTCTAGAGCTTCTTCTTCATCCATTTTTTCAGCGACATATATATCATCGACACGAGGTTTTAGCAACTGCTCATCTCTTGTTGTTATAACAATTCTGCTTCCTGGACCGAACCAATCATGGCTTCTAGCTAATGCCTCTAGTTGCTCCACTTTATCTACGTCGTCGATTATGACGAGTAATTTTCTATGTTGGAATTTTTCTTTTATCATAATGGTTCCTCTATCCACAAAACCAACGTCCTTCATCTTGCTTCTGTTTAAGGTTTCAGAAAGAAGTTGTTCTTGCAAACTAACTAGACCACCGGGGTTTGCAGCTCTTACCCTCATGACTGCAAGGAAACAACTACCTTCAAAGGCTACGACCAAATTGATTGAAAGCGGCTTTCGCAAGTGTTGTTTTTCCTATTCCGCCCATACCCCAAATACCAACCATACGAACATCCTTATTAGATGATTCAATACGCAACTCTTTACTCAACTTCTCTAGCCGAGACTCAATTCCAACTGGGAAGTCGATGTCTAATGAGCGTTTGTTATTCAACTGTCGATCAATCTCCCCAACAATTCTCCCAATAAAATTTGCTTCATGCCTGGCAATAAACAGGAGAACTATGAACCATTATGAAACCAGCACAAGGTGAAACATTTAAATCAATAACTTATTTACAATTAACAATATCTGGTTATTGTTCAGTTTGTTAAAACATTGTTGGACAAAGCAGTGGGTAAAATTGATTCAATTCCAAGTAAAAGGAAAATACGTTTCTGTCCACAATATCCTAAGGGAAATAGTTGTTTAATCTTGTTGGATGAACAGGGTTCCAAACAACTCAATTTTGTATGGGAACATGAAACTGATTTCTATAAAATCTTATTTATCCCAATTTGATTAAAAATAATCAAACCAATAGCACAGGAGCATCGGCATTCTATTGCTATATGGTTTGCCAAACTTGGTTCGCCATATGGTGTTAACAATACTAATAATAAAGTACACTCGCAAGAGAGGAAAAAGGCACGTGTGGGAAAGGATCTTGACGTTCTCCGAGAATTACTTCCTTAATCCTGAACTTCAAGCAAAAGAGAGAAAAGGATCGTAAATCCTTGAACACAACGGTTTAGTGTGTACCAAAGAGCCTCCAATGCTTAGGTTAGTTCTCAAATAAAAAATTAGAGTTATTCTGAATATGGAGAATGATCAAAAAGTCCCTGTGCATAGATATCAATGTCCATGCAATCCTCCATGTTTTAAATTGGTTTTTCCAATCATGTGTGATAGATTATTGTGATAGGCCGGTCCACATTTTAATTCTCTTCTTATTCTCTTAAATATTCTATTCCAATTTTATCCTTAATAGCTTAAAGGCTTATTTACTGTAATGCCTCTAAAACTATGATCAAGTCTCACTTTACCTCATGGAAGTTAAAGTGAGTCACTTTATTACCTTGACCAAAGTTTGATGTCCCATGTTGCCCTTGACTCCACCCAAAATTCTATTATTATTATTTTTTTATGACATGAAAGGGGTTGTTTTGCAGAGACATAGACGGTTTGAAGGACCAATCAGTTATATGCAGGAGGTGATGAAATGGTATTGAATTTATAATTTTTATGCAATATTGTTGTTTTGAATTTGCTCTCTTTCATTTGGATTTTATTATGTATTTGTTTTGTTGTTAGGTTGCAACTTAAAAATTAGAGGATTAAATGCTAGACAGTGAATGTTCAACAAGAAAAAAAAAAAAGGAAAAATAGAGAGATTAATAAAAATGGATAAAAGAAGGGAAAAACAAAAAAGGCCCATTTTGGTCCGCCCAATAGGCCAAGCCCTGCCCGGTGGGCATTTCCAAACCCAGTTATGATGTGGGCCTTGGTTTTCAATTTTCTGTAAAAGCCCAGCCCAGTCTGTTATTTTTTCTCTCCTAATTAAAGCCTGGTTTGGCCCAGCTCAAGCCCATACAACTATTCATGTATTTTCACGTATTTTCACTCTCCAAAATACAACTATTTATGTATTTTCAGGACTCAAAATTTTTTTTCCTCCAACCTTGCAGACTCATAATTTGAGTCTACAACTTTATTAAATTATTTAAGAATGATTAACCCTTAATTTTTTTTTTCTTGTTAATTTTTCTTGATATTATTTTTGTTTCAATACTCATGATTTAATTTTCTAAATATTTTAACCTAAAAAAATTAAAATTCCAAAACATAATAGAATTTCACTTAAAAATAAAAACAATTACAAACCATATGTTGGAATATTTATAAATAAATAAAAACAGCATAACAAAAATTTGAAAAACTAGCCGTTGCTTGTCAAAAACGGAAAAGGAATGAAGATTCCCACTTGTCAAAGTGGGCCAGCGAACAAAGTTGGGCACATGGGCTGCTGCTTTTCTACAATAAAAAATTATATATTAAAGCAGATTGGGCCCCACATAATTACCAGTCAGGGCAGAATTTTGGGTGGAATTTCAGTTCAAGTTTGAGGCATCTCAAATTTTCACCTCCCAAAATACATGGGTTGGAGATGGTTTTTGAAGGCTAAACTCAAAATTTGAGTTTCCACCCCAAAGGTTGGAGATGGTCTTAACCTGATGCCTAAAGATTCTAGCAAGATATGGAGATGACGTTTCAAGAAATAAAGCTATCAACGGTAAAAAAGAAAAAAGAAATAAAGATTCTAGCAATAATACACGAAACATGAACGTGGCACCCCTAAATAAACAAATCTCCAGCCAAAAATAATAAAAAAGAAAAATTCCCAGAAAGCTAGCTTATTATAAGTTGAGTTATTGTCCAAACCCCTTCTCTCTTAAACTAACAGAGGCCAACAAAACCCCATTTCAATTTCACAACCCACCTTCTATCGAAAAGCACACAATCAAACATGCCGAAGAAGCCTGATTCACAGCCTGCTGCTTTTGTTGGCTACCTACAGTTTATGCCTTGGAGCGAGGGATCATCTTCTTCACAGCTCAATGAGTCTCAACAAATTCAAATCAAAGATCGATATTCATACAAACATGCTTATGGTGGAGGGTCAAGCAGCTTTACTGGGAGCTGCAAGGCTGGAAAGTTTGTGGCCAAGAGGACTGGCGGCTTGGGTTACAAGCAAGAGGCAAAGTGCACCTCCACTGCCAAACATGTGGACAAGGAGCTAGGGTTTACCACTGAGTGCCAGACCCAGGTGAAGTACAAGATGTCCGTTTACCCTAACAAGACCCAAGTGAAAAAGTCTGCTTCTCCTAAGAAGACTCAAGCGAAGGTCCGGAAGTCTGCTTCTCCTTACAAGAGGGTAACCAAGTCCTACAGCAAACGTATTGACTATTATTAGATTTTCATGCTCACTGGGGGATTTATTGGTATCAGTTATTTTGATAAGTGTCTTGAAAGTTTATGTGTCTAAGCTTGTTCATGTTTACTCGGAGTAATCTCCTGCTATATCTGTCAGTGTGAAGTGTTTCTCTTTCTTATGTGATGAACTTATAAGTTGTTATTATGTCTACCTTTTTAAGTATTTATTTATGTGTGTTTTTTTTCATGATCAATCACTCCCTCTGTAGGATATCTGTCATTTTTCAGCAGACAAACCATTCTTTTGTTCAATTTTCTTTTGAAAGTCTGTTGGTTAGTTGGTTCTTGAGTTTCAAACATTTTGTAATTTTAGCAGTTTAATTCTACATCGACCCAAATTTCTAAAGTACAGCTACCTCGGGAATTTCGATTCCAATGAGCTACTTAGCCCTGAAGATCAGGCCAAAAGGTCAGAAATCCCTGGTGAAAACTTCTACCAAAGTATGAAGTATCAAAAGATTAATATTGGTACCAAAACCATGTCGAGAATGAGATTTAATTTGTTTCGGAAATTCTCCAAGTTTATTATGAGTTCTTGTAACCAATATGATGTTGGAACATTGGCCGAAGAGAGACCGTACACAAACACTCGAGTGTTGAAGAGTCTGCCTTGCACTTTGGTTTTCCAAGTTATGCATATAACATTTACACAAGTTAATTAATTGTTGTCTACAGTTATAAGAGGATGTCCAATTGATATGTCAAATTGTCACATATATATGAAATGGAAAAAATTGAAAGTTAAAGTTGCTCCAACCGAATAGTCAAATCCGACACGGATTTGAAGGGTGGAAAAGATATGTCAAAAATAACATATCAAAAAACTTGATGTCAAATTTTTTATTTTTTTTATATATTTTTTTAGTCATAAACCCCACTATTATTTACTCTCTTTTAACTTTATGCATCATATGGGCCCCATTTGCTTTTAAAACTATAATAAAATAATATGAAATGGGTGGAGTTAAAAAAAAATTTCAAAATGTCAAATTGCCACATAAGTAATCACTTTATTGGAGGGCCTTGAGCTGGATCCCACTTTTTAGAAATAGTTGCAATAGTGGTTGTTGAGAGCGTCCTAGGCCTTTGGATTTGGATTAATGCATTGGCTTAATTGTTGATCAAGGGCGGAACCAAGAATTTTTCGATGAGGGGGATAGCTAAAATTTTTAACTTCAACTCTAATGATTTTTTTCTATTTTTCCATTGACTAATTTTCAATAAACTTTATAAGATAAATACATATTAAATGTAACCAAAAAATACACATTGTCAAAATTAATGTGTTTATTTCACCCCAAAAAAAAATTGTGTTTAACAATATAATTGAAAGTGTACCTATTCAAGTTTCTTGTTTCTTAGCACAACCGAATAAGACGAATGCAAAGTGAAAAAATATAAATAATTAAGTTTCACATATATATTAGTTGTGAACACAAGAAGATTCCCACCTATGAGTTTTAATTACCTACTGTTGTCTGTAATTATGGGTTGAAAGACTTGTGAGGGTTTTTATTGAGTACAATATTAGAGCCCTTCCAACGCTGCAGCCCAGCCCGAGGCTAGGGGGAAAAAAAAAATGGCATTCCAGCGGAGCAGCCCAGGCCCGGGGGGGGTGTGGGACCCACCTCCTCGGGCTGGCCCGAATGCAAGTTCTGCCTGAGGTCCAAAACGAGGGGGGTTACTGTAGCGCTATAGTAACTGATACAGTATCGCTACAGTATCGCTATAGTACCTCGCTGATTTGATTTTTTTTTCCTGTTGCCACGTGGCGTCGTCTAGGCTCTCCGATCTAATTTTTTCCTCCAATCCAACAGCAGCCAATTTTTTTGCAATAAAATACTGGAAAAAATTCGGAAAATTTTTTAAAAAATACCCAAAAATTAATGAATTTTTTTCTATAAATACCAGCCTTTTTTTTTTTTAATTTATCTGAAATTTGAAATTGAAAATTTTATCCGATTATGAGATATGAATAGTATTGACACGTAGGAACTCGAAAATCTTATCCGAAAATATTATCCAAATTAATTATTGAGGTAAAAAAAGTTGTGATTAAAACAAAAAAATGAATAGTAACTGCCCTTAGCAAGGGCAATAGGTGGAAACACAAAATTCGGATTTTGCAAGGGCAACCACTATTCACGTGAATAGTGGCTGCCCTAGCTCCCCCCCTTGCCATGGCTAAGGGCAAATGGGTGGAGTTGCTCTTAAGAAGCTTTCCCTTTTTATTTCGGGGGAAAAAATGATGATTGACTTTACCATCAAAATATAAAAAGCAAAAGGTTGCATTCTTCGAGTGGAATAAAAAACAAAACCAAGGCCGCTAAGCAATTGCATGATTCGGTCATTTTGATTGGAGGATTGGATCAAAGTAAAAGGCAACAAACTTGGTGGGCTACAGCCCACCACCGCCCTTGCCTATGACGATACAATGAACCCTTAAGATGTGATTAGAAGTCTATAATGTGCTTCTTTAGGAAGGACTCTCAAGTGCTTTTCCAAAAGCACTTTGATTTCTTATGAAAATTTCAACGTCTTTATAATAAAATCACTTTTGGTAGAATCTCTTATAAATAGAAGTGCGTCCTAGATAAGCAGTCCCAAACAAGCCCTTATTCGGCTACTCCAAGTGCTTTTCACAGTGGGAATGTTGTGGTTGGGGAGGAAGGTGAGAAGGATTAAGAAGAAAGGGGAGAAGGGAGACATCGGTAAAATCAAAGGAGGATGACAATAAAGAAGGCTCATTTTGAGTTTCTAGAGATAAAGTTATGGTCTTGGGGAAGTAAAGGTTAGAGGAGGAGTATTGGGGAAGGCAATTTTTTTTCTCCTAAAAGGAGGAGTTGATAAATAGAACAAATTATTATTTTTAAAATACAAAAATATGAAGGCACGAAAAAGTTTTCTTGTCCTATGGAAAGCACAATTAATCATGTTTTAAACTATAATAATTACTCCTATTGGCAGTGAGGTGACAAGATGGAAGCTGATATTAGCATTGGACATAAAGGTCGTGTCCAAATTTCAATAGGCACAAATATATTTGTTCTTAGACACATTTACTATGTCTTTTGTGTAAAAGACATCTTTAAGTATTTTTTTTGTGCTAGAGAGAGAGAGAGAGAGAGAGAGAGAGAATGAGTGGAGAGAGGGATGAAAGAGAAGAAAAAAAATACAAAACCTCACTTTTTTTTGTTTTTAATAATTGGGATGTTTTTTAGTTTTTCTTGGGTTTGAGTTTTTAAAAATGGGCTTATCAAACTGGTTTTTGTAGCTTTTAGACTTAAAATCTATTTTTGAGTTTATAAAATTGAATCAAAATAGGATACCAAATAGGCCATTTACTTGTTTGAATTTTCTTTTAGTTCCACTCAAATTTGATTAGCTGTGTGCGCGTCCAACTTTTTCAATCTGTCCCTTAATTAGAGTCACAATGAAATGTCCCATTGGTGTTGGGCCATAAAATTTCAGACTAGATTTGATAGGGTGCGTCAGGCCCATGCAATAGTACAACGCTTGGGAGACACGCGAGAACCCCAGTAGCAAGCAACTGTGGTGGGCTCTCCCCCTAAAGAAATTAATTTAATAAAGAAAATGGGCCGTTGGCCCACATACCAGATATTAAACTGATAAGAACAGATAGTATAGCCGCGCGGCTAAGCATGGTTTTTCTAATTATTTTTTAATGTACAGCCGAGCGGCTAAACTCGGTTTTTAGAATGTTTTTTCCTAAGTATAGCCGACCGGCTTTACTGGGCTCTTTTTTTATTTATTTAAATAATATAGCTGCTCGGCTATACTCGGTTCTTTTCCCTTTTTTTCATAAAAATCGTATAGCAGTGCGGATATACTCCTTTTTTCTAAATGTTTTAAAAATAAATAGTATAGTCACCCGGCTATACGCGGGTTTTTAAAATTTTTTTAAACGCCATAATTGGTTTTTCATTTTTTTTTTAAGAAATAGTATAGCCGCGCGGCTCCACTCGGCTCTTTTATTTTATTTATTAAATAGTATCTTAATGCTGCTGTAGCCAGTCAAGAAGTTCAATTTGAAATAGTCCAGTGGTTTGTTTTGGTCTTCATACTCGAACAGTCCACATTCTTAAGCTATATGCTCATCTTTACTACATGCTAACGCATTTGCAGCAACATAACTTCAAGCTTAACAAGAATATACATGAGAAAGAAGAGCATGAAGCAAACCTCCAATGGAAGAAATATAGTCTTTCACCTATAAAACATCAAAACAAACATAGATATAGTAATTAGCACCCAAAACCAAGCAGAAAACACCATCCTAATTCCAACACTCGAAGAAACCAAAATGAAAGACACAAATTTGCAATACCTTGTCCCAGTTCTCTTCAATTGCAATACCATCCTAATCATGTGTGATAGATTATTGTGATAGGCCGGTCCACATTTTAATGCTCTTCTTATTCTTTTAAATATTCTATTCTAATTTTACCCTTAGTAGATTAAAAGCTTATTTACTGTAATGTCCCTGAAATTATAATCAAATCTCACTTCACCTCATGAAAGTCAAAGTGAGCCACTTTACCACCTTGACCAAAGTTTGATGTCCCATGTTGCCCCTAACTCCACCCAAAAGTCTATTAATTTAGATGACATGAAAGGTGTTGTTTTGCAGAGACAAACGGTATGAAAGACCTGTCAGTTATATGCAGGAGGTGATGAAATGATATTGAATTTATTATTTTTATGCAGTATTGTTATTTTGAATTTGCTCTCTTTCATTTGGATTTTATTATGTATTTGTTTTGTTGTTAGGTTGCAACTTAAAAATTAGAGGATTAAATGTTAGACAGTGAATGTTCAACAAGAAGTATAAAAAATAAAAAAAAATAAAAGGAAAGAGAGAGAGAGAGAGAGAGAGAGAGAGGAGAGAGAGAGAGAGAGAGAGAGAGAGAGAGAGAAAATAAAGAAGGCCCATTTTGGTCCGCCCAATAGGCCAAGCCCTGCCTGGTGGGCATTTTCAGACCCAGCTATGATGCCGACCTCAGATCTGATTTTTCTGTAAAAGCCTAGCTCAGTCAGTTATTTTCTCTCTCCTAAATAAAGCCCAGCCTGACCCAGCTCAAGCCCATAAAATTTGGGACCTCTATATGATGACATTCACCAAAAGACAAAAAGAACGACATGACTTCAATAGAGCCATCATCGGTACATCAATAATACCTAAATAAACAAATCTCTAGCCACAAATAATAAAAAAGAAAAATTCCCAGAAAGCTAGCTTATTATAAGTTGAGTTATTGTCCTAAACACCATCAACCATTTTCCAAACCTCTTCTCTCTTAAACTAACAGAGGCCAACAAAACCCCATTTCAATTTCACAACCCACCTCCTATCGAAAAGCACACAATCAAACATGCCGAAGAAGCCTGATTTTCAGCCTGTTGCTTTTATTAGCTACGTACAGGTGATGCCTTCGAGCAAGGGATTATCTTCTTCACAGCCCAATGGGTTTCAACAAGTTCAAATCAAAGATCGATATTCATACAAACATGCTTATGGTGGAGGCTCAAGCAGCTTTACTAGGAGCTGCAAGGCTGAAAAGTTTGTGGACAAGAGGACTGGCGGCTTGGGTTACAAGCATGAGGCAAAGTACACCTCCACCGCCAAACATGTGGACAAGAAGCAAGGGTTTACCACTGAGTGCCAAACCCAGGTGAAGTACAAGAAGTCCGTTTACCCTAACAAGACCCAAGTGAAACAGTCTGCTTCTCCTACTCCTAAAAAGACCCAAGTGAAGTGCAATAACTGTGCTTGTCCTAACAAGACTCAAGCGGTGGTCCAGAAGTCTGCTTCTCCTTACAAGAGTGTAACCAAGTCCTACAGCAAACGTATTGACTATTATTAGATTTTCATGCTCACTGGGGGATTTCTTGGTATCAGTTATTTTGATAAGTGTCTTGAAAGTTTATGTGTCTAAGCTTGTTCATGTCTACTCGGAGTAATCTCCTGCTATATCTGTCAGTGTGAAGTATTTCTCTCTCTTTCTTATGTGATGAACTTATAAGTTGTTATTGTATCTACCCTTTTAAGTATATATTGATGTGTGTTTCTTTTTCATGATCAATCACTCCCTCTGTAGGATATCTGTCATTTTTCAGCAGGCAAACCATTCTTTTGTTTAATTTTCTTTTGAAAGTATGTTGGTTAGTTGGTTCTTGAGTTTCAAACATTTTGCAATTTTAGCAGTTTCATTCTACATCGACCCAAATTTCTAAAGTACAGCTACCTCGGGAATTTCGATTCCAATGAGCTACTTAGCCCTGAAGATCAGGCCAAAATGTCAGAAATCCATGGTGAAAACTTCTACCAAAGTATGAAGTATCAAAAGATTAATATTGGTACCAAAATCATGTCGAGAATGAGATTTAATTTGTCTCAGCAATTCTCCAAGTTTATTTTGAGTTCTTGTAACCAATATGATGTTGGAATATTGGCCCAAATTATCGTTTCTACTTTTCCCTTTAGGCGACCACTTTGGAGAAAGGAAAAGACAAAGGCAAGTGGGGACTTTCAACAAATCATGGCACCTAACGTATGGTTTGGGCATTCTTTTCATGAGGAATGCTAGCAACATTCTCTCTAACCTTCTCCTTCGGACTTTCTCCATTTTTTGCTTGACATGTGTCATTCTCTTTACATTTAAAACAATGTCATTAATATATTATACAAACTAACTTTTGCTTTCCAAGTTTACCCTTATTAAATGCATTCAATTTATCCAAAAAAATTTCACAACTTTCTTACCATGTTATTAAAAAAATTTTAACGTAAATTAATTTTTTTAAAGAAAATTTTTGCTTTAAAAAAAAAAGGAAATGTCCTTTTTTTAAAATTTAAAAAAAGTCTAAACTTCACGTTAAAAAAAAAGGGACATTTCCTCTTTTTTTTTAAAGCAGACATTTTCTTAAATAAAAAAAGTTGTCATTATTTTTTTTTTAATAAGATTTTAAGAAAGTTGTGAATATTTTTGGGATAAATTGAATACATTTAATAAGGGTAAACTTGGAAAGCAAAAGTTAGCTTGTATAAAATATTGATGACATTGTTTTAAGTGTAAAGAGAATGACACATGTCAAGCAAAAAATGGAGAAGGTCCAAAGGAGAAGGTTAGAGAGAATGTTGCTAGCATTCCCCTCTTTTCATTGAGCACTTCAATAGTGCGTGGTACTTTTGCTTTTATGATGCACAAGTTTCAGTGAGTGAGAAGGGAGAATGGGGTTTTTTTTTATCGTCTACACTTTCGCACATGGGAGGGAGCTGGAGCCCTTCACATGCTCCACTGCTGCATTTGTCTATATAAGCAGTGGTGGATTCATGAATTTTCATTATGGGGTTCAACGTATAAAGGTTAAAAAAATTTATACAAAATAGACCCATCGAAATGAAATGATAATATTCTAATTCATACTTAATAGATAAAACCATACAAAATACTCATGTTTATTATCAAAGAGAATTGCATCTCTTCATCTCAAGTCCTTATATGTCTCTTCGATACACTAGTTTATAAGACCACCAGTTCAGCAAAGTCTCAAATTTTCTTTTTAGTGCTTCTATATGTCGGTTTGTATGTTTGAGGAGCCTATGCAATTCAGCAACTTCATCCTTCAAGGATGCGACTTGAGCAATCCATGTGGCACACTCTTGGTTTCTTGCTAGCAAACGCAATCCTACATTTGCTACCTAAGCAGCATAGTGAGCATTGAAAAAAATGGTCTCTTTCATTGCAGTCTTATCAGACCTCATTGACATTACCAAGTTCGCACATGGTGTAAACAAAAGAAAAATGGAAAATAAAAGCTAAACACAAAGTAAAGAGCAAAAGGAACAAAGAAAAAATATATACAAAAAGAAAAAAATTAACTGAAAAATAAGAAAAAAGGCAAGATTGGGAAACGAAAGAAAATTGGAAACATAATAGTATATTTCATATGAATTGTCTAATGTATGGGGATTGTGGGGTTTTATGGGGTAGCAAGTTGCTGGCCCTGTTTTTTTTAAATATGTTTTTAAAAGAAAAAAAAACTTAAACGAACGGTGTCGTTTCAAGTTGCTGGCCCTTTTTGCATTCAACTTAATGTTTTACATGTCACAAGTGTTTGTAATTTTGTAGGTATGGTAAACATCAATCCAAACTGTCTTACGTCTCTTACTCTATATCGTTAAGCAGGGCAATGTGTGAAACACATTTCTGATTTTTTTAAGGGAAATTGCTACTTAGGATTCTGGTTTTTTGTTTCCCCTTCTCCAAGGAATCTTTCAATTTCTGAGTTGTTACATCAAAGTAAATTGCCCAAAAATTCTACCCTTACTTTCAACTTTTACTTTATAGCTAAAGTAATATCATATTATTGATCACATCTCTTTAGATGTGAGATTCACATATGACCTCTTATATCATACAAAGAGATTTTCCGTAAAAATAAATATGATCAATAAATGTGATACATGCAACATCATTCATTTTCTTTTTTTCATGTCTTTTGTTCATTTATGAAGATTGAGTTGATACACATTTAAATTATGTTTGTGGAGCTAACAATCATTATGATGACTTATATATGATTGTATATGATGTAATTAATTTTACAGATTTCTTGTGGATGATGTGACCATAAGACGGTATCAAAGAAAGGAGAAATTATATAATACTACAGTAGTATGTTCACGTGGTACATCTTGTGCACGTGTTATAATATGGGTGGATGATATAGTTTATTTTTTCCCCCCTTTAGGAAGTAGTATCAATAAATATCCACTTATATTATAATACGAGTATAAAATGTACCTTCTAGTCATATTACCATAGTATTCTATAATTTATGATGCCACATTTCCATTGAGGCCAATGTGGGCATATGGATCCATATGAGATGCATCAACACGGGCCACAAAGGATGGAAAATACAAAGCCGACTACATGTACCATTTATTGGAAGGTACAACAATTTCAAACTAGGTGGGGGTGCATAGCCGATTGCCCTACTACAACCTCATGTCGGCCGCTCTCGGCCTCGCCCTCCAACGTAATGGGGCTGAGCCAACAGCAGTACTCAACCATGGAGTACATGCAAAGGAACTACTTGGTCTATGACTATTGCCAGGACCCGAAGAGAGACCGTACACAAACACTCGAGTGTTGAAGAGTCTGCCTTGCACTTTGGTTTTCCAAGTTATGCATATAACATTTACACAAGTTAATTAATTGTTGTCTACAGTTATAAGAGGATCTCCAATTGATATGTCAAATTGCCACATAGATATGAAATGGAAAAAATTGAAAGTTAAAGTTGCTCCAACCAAATAGTCAAATCCTACATAGATTTGAAGGGTGGAAAAGATATGTAAAAAATAACATATCAAAAAGCTTGATGTCAAATATTTTTAAAAATATTTTTTTAGTCATAAACCCCACTATTATTTACTCTCTTTTAACTTTATGCATCATATGGGCTCCATTTTCTTTTAAAATTATAATTAAATAATATGAAGTTTGGCATTTTGGGTGGAGTTAAAAAAAAATTTCAAAATGTCAAATTGCCACATAAGTCATCACTTTATTGGAGGGCCTTGAGCTGGATCCCACTTGTTAGAAATAGGTGCAATAGTGGTTGTTGAGAGCGTCCTAGGCCTTTGGATTTGGATTAATGCATTGGCTTAACAGTTGATCAAGGGCGGAACCAGGAATTTTTCGATGGGTGGGATAGTTAAAATTTTTAACTTCAACTCTAATGATTTTTTTTCTTTTTTTTTTCATTGACTAATTTTCAATAAACTTTATAAGACAAATACATATTAAATGTAACCAAAAAATATACATTGTCAAAATTAATGTGTTTATTTCACCAACAACAAAAAAATGTGTTTAACAATATAATTGAAAGTGTACCTATTCAAGTTTCTTGTTTCTTAACATCAACCGAATAAGACGACTGCAAAATGAAAAAATATAAATAATTAAGTTTTACGTATATATTAGACTATTAGTTGTGAACACAAGAAGATTCCCACCTATGAGTTTTAATTACCCACTGTTGTCTGTAATTATGGGTTGAAAGACTTGTTAGGGTTTTTATTGAGTACAATATTAAGAAGCTTTCCCTTTTTATTTGGGGGGAAAAAATGATTATTGACTTTACCATCAAAATAAAAAAGCAAAAGGTTGCATGCTTCGAGTGGAAGAAAAAACAAAACCAAGGCTGCTAATCAATTGCATGACTCGGTCAATTTGATTGGAGGATTGGATCAAAGTAAAAGGCAACAAACTTGGTGGGCCATATAGATATACGTAATATTTTTATCTTTAAAGCTTTCCTAGGCTACAGCCCACCACCGCCCTTGTCTATGATGATACAATGAACCCTTAAGATGTGATTAGGAGTCTATAATGTGCTTCTTCAAGAAGGACTCCCAAGTGCTTTTCCAAAAAGCACTTTGTTTTCTTATGAAAATTTCAACGTCTTTATAATAAAATCGCTTTTGGTAGAATCTCTTATAAGTAGAAATGCTTCCTAGATAAGCAGTCCCAAACGAGCCCTTATTCGGTTACTCCAAGTGCTTTTCACAATGGGAATGTTGTGGTTGGGGAGGAAGGTGAGAAGGATTAGGAAGAAAGGGGAGAAGGGAGACATCGGTAAAATCGAAGGAGGATGACAATAAAGAAGGCTCATTTTGAGTTTCTAGAGATAAAGTTATGGTCTTGGGGAAGTAAAGGGTAGAGGAGTATTGGGGAAGGCAATTTTTTTTTCTCCTAAAAGGAGGAGTTGATAAATAGAATAAATTATTATTTTTAAAGTATATAAAATATGAAGGCACAAAAAAGTTTTCGTGTCCTATGGAAAGCACAATTAATCCTGTTTTTAAACAATAATAATTACTCCTATTGACAGTGAGGTGACAAGATGGAAGCTGATATTAGCATTGGACACAAAGGACGTGTCCAAATTTCAATAGGCACAAATATATTTGTTTTTAGACACATTTACTATGTCTTTTGTGTAAGAGACATCTTTTAAGTATTTTTTGTGAGAGAGAGGGAGAGAGAGAAGGATGAAAGAGAAGAAAAAAAAACTACAAAACCTTACTTTTTTTTGTTTTTAATAATTGGGATGTTTTTTAGTTTTTCTTGGGTTTGAGTTTTTAAAAATGGGCTTATCAAACGGGTTTTTGTAGCTTTTAGACTTAAAATCTATTTTTGAGTTTATAAAATTGAATCGAAATAGGATACCAAATAGGTCATTTACTTGTTTGAATTTTCTTTTAGTTCCACTCAAATTTAATTAGGTGTATGCGTGTCCAACTTTTTCAATCTGCCCCTTAATTAGAGTCACAATGAAAAGTCCCATTGGTGTTGGGCCATAAAATTTCAGACTACATTTGATAGGGTGCGTGAGAACCCCAGTAGCAAGCAACTGCGGTGGACTCTCCCCCTAAAGGAATTAATTTAATAAAGTAAATGGGCGGTTGGCCAACATACCAGATATTAAACTAATAAGAACAGATACTACACTAGATCTTAGCGAAAAGGCCGAGAAAGGTATGCTTTTACCTGCCTTGGGCTGATGTTTTTTATACCAACTCTCCAACTGATTATTTTCTAAACCTGTCGATGTGAGAGATCAGAGGTTTCTTTTCTTTGGTCGTAAAGTTTCTGCTGTTCTTGGAAGTAGATTCATGTATAATAGGCATTACCAAAGATTGGGTAGCAACTCCAAGGCTCTTGTAGCCTCAATTTCTTGAGTTATAATGTTTCTTCATTATATGTTTTTTGGGGAAAAGATGGGGAAGCCATTTTGCAGACTTTTACTTAAATTATTATTAGAATCATGGTCATGGAATTTGACAGCCAAAAATCAACACAACAACCATATGATTCTAAGCTGGTTTAGCCATGGTTTCAAAACATCTATGATCAAGGGCGGAACTAGAAATTTTTCGAATGGTGGGATAGCTAAAATTTTTAGCTTCAACTCTAATGATTTTTTTTATTTTTTTTTCCATTGACTAATTTTCAATAAACTTTATAAGGCAAATACATATTAAATGTAACCAAAAAATACACATTATCAAAATTAATGTGTTTATTTTACCCACACAAAAAAAATTAATGTGTTTAACAATATAATTGAAAGTGTACATATTCAAGTTTCTTGTTTCTTAGCATCAACCGAATAAGACGAATGCAAAGTGAAAAAATGTAAATAATTAAGTTTTACATATATATTAGTTGTGAACACAAGAAGATTCCCACCTATGAGTTTTAATTACCTACTGTTGTCTGTAACTATGGATTGAAAGACTTGTGAGGGTTTCTATTGAGTACAATATTAAGAAGCTTTCCCTTTTTATTTTGGGGGAAAAAAGCAAAAGGTTGCATGCTTCGAGTGGAAAAAAACAAAACAAAACAAAACCCAGGCTGCTAAGAAATTGCATGATTCAGTCAATTGGATTGGAGGATTGGACCAAAGTAAAAGGCAGCAAACTTGGTGGGCCATATAGATATACACAATGTTTTTATCTTTAAAGCTTTAGTAGGCTACAGCCCACCACCGCCCTTGCCTGTGATGATACAATGAACCCTTAAGATGTGATTAGAAGTCTATAATTAGCAAATATTTTATTGAACATTGTTGATGTGGACCTTAACAAAAACAAATGAAGCTATTAAAATGAAGGTCTAAAATATTTGGGGTTTTGGAAATATTGGTAGTTCAAAAATTCGAAAATATCTGGAAAATGTCGATATCAGTAAAAATTGAATAAAAACCACTTAAATTATAAGAAAAACTTGGAAATTTTGAGTCAAACCTTAGAGGATGTTTTTTAGTCATTTATCTATTATTCTATCACAAACAATTGGAAGGAAATGCATTGCATGGTCGATTTAACTGATTTAAGTTGATTATATAGCTAGATAACAGACACTATGAGTGTAGAAAATATGAAGTAATTAATGAAAGAAGATTAAACACACCATAATCAATTATTTATAATGTTTTACTGCAATATTCAACATTTTATATATTGCATGGTAAGATACATGAGTAACTTAGTACTACATAAAGTTCCTATGAGGTTCAAATTTTGCAATGTCTTCATCATCTCTATGTGTACTGTGAAGAGTGGTCATCAAATGATAAATCCCCAAAATATTTTTGTATGTATTTGTTAACATGTCACCCTTATGGATATGAGATTGGTTGACGTTGCCCATAAGCAAAATCATTTGAAGATTGGGTCTTAGATTCTTTCCCTGAACCACTCGATTCCATCCCAAAAGGCATGGGAATATGAAGGGTTGGTTTTGCGTACAACATTAGCTACTACTTCTCATTCCATCCCAAAAGGTGGTGCTTTTTTTTTCTTTTTCCATTCCATATACACATCCTAATTTTATCAATAATATCCCAATATTTTGTCCAAATATTATTAAAGAGAGAGTGAAATTCTTCGATCCGAAATTTCCCCTATATTATTGATACTTATACGATAATTGTATGGATGTGTTCCAAAAAAATCCTCCTCTTTTCTCTTAAAAAAAAAAAAAAAACAAAAAAATATCATCAAAAACAATAATATTAATATTTTAGACCTTAATTAAAATAAGATGCCTATGATACACAAAATTGTAAAATGGACTTTGGATTGGATAGATGCTGATCAAATTAGTTGACAATAATTTAATCAGACGCACAAACTAAATTGAAGGATAATGATAAAGTGACATAACAATTTTTCATAATTAGGCAAGCATGCAGGAGCCAAAGTTATGGAATGGTACTGTATCACCACGTCAGTTGGTGATACTTCCATTTAAAATATGTCATGTGTTACTTTTTAAAAATAATTAAAAAAATTTGACAACTGATGTTGAATTTATTTTTAACTTTAAAATAAAATTGAGAAAATATGAAAAATAAAAAGACACCGCCCATCTGTTGCCTCCCCTTACTGTCGCGCCCTCCCTCTCTTTTTCTTCCTCCCTCCATCTCTTTACTCCATAAACAACAACTATTGCCCATAAAGCATCCAATGTAGAAGACAGTGCGAGGTAGGGAACTGGGTTGTGGTGTGGTGGGTTTTGGCATCTTTTGTTTTTTGGTTTTTTAAAATTTATTAAAAAGGAAATAATGAATTTTAAATCTAGCTGTTAAAAAGTTAATAATTTATTTTAATGGACTAACACGTGTCATATTTTAAATGAAAATATCACTAACTGACGTGGTATTTCTCCCATGTCTGAAGTGGTCTTGACCCTTCCACTCTTTTTACAACCCTTTTAATTCCTGACAAACATATAGATAATTGTACAAAATATTTTTAAAATAATTAAGATAATAAAATTATTTACAATTATGATATATTGATCCTTTTAGCGTTGGCCCTCATTTAAGATAATAAAATAATTTACAATTAAGTTTTAAATTTTGACCCCTTCGATCGATAGAATAATTTACAAAATTATGAAGAATCAAGTGGTTAATGTGATAGGCTACCTTGGGCCTTGACCTTTGCCAAAGTGATATTACTTAGTCTATAGGGCTTTGGTTTGTATTTTGGGCCTCCCGTAAATCCATAAAAGAAAAACCATTATGACCACTGACACCAACGAATCATATCATCCCCTACTGAGTCCATTATTCAAGAACTGACTCACCTCAGCTTTAGCTCACAACTCACTCATTCCCATGTAACTTGTTCATCAACTTTCTCTGACAATTTCGTTCCAGTATTTTCTTCTGTGAAATAATTTGACTTTTGAAAGCTCCTGACAATTTTATGTCATTTCATCAGATTCAACACTTACAGCTTTTCAGCTTTTCAGCTTTTCTTGTACAAGATATTGAGATGTGACAATTTGGATAGAAACGTTTAAAGAAACGTGGCACCCCTATATCTAGCCAAAAATAATAGAAAAGAAAAATTCCCATATAGCTTATTGCAAATAGGAAGGCCAACAAAACCACATCTCAGTTTCTCACAACCTACTCTCTATCAGTACACACAAAATCAAACAATGTCGAAGAAGCCTGATTCAAAGCCTGCGTATGGTTATTGTGGCTACCTAGAAGTGATGCCTTTGAGCAAGGGATCATCTTCTTCACAGCTCAACGAGTCTGCAGAACTTCAGATCAAAGATCGATATTCGTATAAGGATGCCTATGGTGGTGGAGGTTCAAGCAGCTTTGCTGGGAGCTACAAGGCTGGGGAGTTTGTGGACAAGAGCACTGGTGGCTTGGGCTACAAGCAGGAGGCAAACTACACCTCCACTGACAAGTATGTGGACAAGGAGCTAGGGTTTACCACTGAGTACCAGACCCAGGTGAAGTTCAAGAAGTCTGTTTACCCCAACAAGACCCAAGTGAAGTTCAAGAAGTCTGCTTCTCCTTACAAGAGTGGAACCAAGTCCTACAACAATCGCGTTGACTATTATTAATTATGTTTAGATGTTCACTGTGATTTCTTGGTATTTTGAAATGTGGGCTTGTAATGAACTTAGTTATGTGTCTAAGCTTGTTTATGTTTACTTGGATGAATCTCCTGCCATCCGCTGTCAATGTGAATGAAGTAGCTCTCTCTTTCTTATGTAATGAACTTGTAAGTTGTTATTATGTCTAGCTTGTTTATTTATATATAAACGTGTGTTTCTGTGTCAATGTGTAGCTTTGTCTAATTATATATATATAAATGCCATGTTGCTACTTCGACAACATGGCATCAACAAAGGCCCAACGAAGGTGGAACTAGTAAGCGCTCTTGTGCTGAAATGTGCAGTTAAAGCTGCTAAACTTCGATCGAAATCAGGGAGATCGGTACTCCTGCAAGCCGTGGACTTGCGCAGGAGAATGGTCCGTCCCGCCCTGGACAAAATACTGTTTGATTACTCCTATCCTATGTGTTGATGCTCAAAATGGTTGGGCCAAGATTGAGTCCAACTTAGTGATGAGGTGTGATGGATGTTGAATGAAGGTGAGGACCTTAAGCATGTGTATAAAGACTTGGGCAAGCGATAAATGTAAAGAAGACAAGATATACGTGGTTCACCCTTAATGAATGGGCTACGTCCACGGAGAAGTATGTTCTCATTATAATAGTGTAGGATTACATTTGTACATGGGGTTGGACCCGAATATAAAGATGACAAGTGAGATGCCCAGGCTAGGGATCTAGAATAGAGTCCCCGGCCCTAGGGTCTAGCTTTGAGACCCGGATCCTCTTCTAAGTGGAGAGAGGAAGTCCCCTTTTCACATGGATACTATTCCCTATTTATAGGGAGGTGAAAGTGGGAGGTTTGTGTAGATTTCCGATGTGGGACTTTGCACAAGTCACTGTGGTGGTGACATGTGTCATGGTGTTGATGCTCTTGGTGCTAGTTGCTTTGATGCTGGATATGCTCGGTTGATTATGGTGTAAACAGTAGTCCCCCAAGTTCGCGGTCAAGAAGTAACTTCTGGGTTGGGAACTTGTTAGGTTTTTGTGTAATCGTGACCGAGCATTCCAAGTTCAGTGGGAGCCGTAGGGCAGTCCCTAGTCCCCCAAGTTGGCAAGCTAGAAGTTGCGTTAACACTTGAAAGATATAATAAAAGCTGTGTGAGCCTTGTACCTGTTGGTAGCTGGGTACCTAGACTTTTGGCAAGGAGGCCGGGACTGAACCCTATGGGGCTGAGCTTCGGTAGAGGTCATGGCCTTGAAGTTTTGGCAAGGGGGGGGCCCTGGGAGCAAAATTTTGAAGAGCAAGGAGCTGGGCCATTGGAGTATACTTTGGTTCCTAGCAAAGACCTGAGATAAAAAAGGCTGGGCCTTAATAGAGATTTCGGCAAAATTCCCCTTAGAGCTGGGCTTTGGCAAGGGACCCAAGTGCTTAAACGATTTGCAAGGGCTAGGCCCTAGGTGGGTTTCGCCAAGGAGGCCAAGACATTCTCAACCCCACCGTTTTGTTTTTTTTTGGGGTGGGGTGGGGGGGGCTTGAGACCGTAAGTAAAGTTGGCATGCCCTTGCCGTTCGGCTAGAGGCCAAAATGGGGCTGGGCGAAGTGCTGAGCTTCGGCAAGGCTTAAGAAAAATAAGATTTTAAGGGTTTGGGCCTCTGGGGCATGTCGGCAAGTTTAGCCTATCTTGAATAATAGCTGGGCTTGAGGTTTGGCTAGGAAGCTGCGTGAGTGGCTGAGTCACAAAGCTGGGTCACTGGGGCTGAGTCTGGTCTTGGCTTCGGTAATGAGAGAAACCCGTGAGCACAGCACTTTGCCTGAGCGAATCCCTTGCCGTTCGGCAAGGGTACCATGCATTAGTTGGCTTGGCGTATGGCAAGAGGCTGGGACCATGGTGACCAAAGTTTGGGCTTTTGGCAAGAAGGCTGGGCCTTTGCCTTTGTGGGCTTTGGTAATAACTTCAGCAAGGTTGGAGAAGTAGTGAGTTGGGGTTTTTCGTAAGGGCTGGGCAGCATGATTTTCTTTACATAAGACTTGCCACTCGGCCAGGTCTATGCGAAAGGAAGCAATGGGACTCTAGATGTTTTACGCAGCTCACGGTTCGGCAAGGGTAAGATTTTTTGAGGGGTGCCGTTTGGCAACTTATGTGAAGAGGAAGTTTCGAAGCCTCCCTCCTTTCGGCAGGTTTGGAACATGACCTGGATCTAGGCGTGTCTTTTGAGTCAACAACGGACCTGGCACCTGTTGAGTTTCAGTCCTCATTCTTCTTCCACCCAGCCCCTTTCTTGAATCTGGAAGTTGCTGGACCCTCTGAAATTTGGTGTTGTTGTGGTTGAAGCTTCGGCAGGAGTGGGTGAAGCTAGAACTTGGGTCTGGGTAGGCTGAGTTTAGGCTAGGAAGTGCTCGGTGGTTGAGCATTTGCAGCTTTTCCGCTTTCGACAGGTCCGTCGTTTTACTGTTGCACGACCCTTGCCGTTCGGCAAGGGATTTGCGATTGGCTGAGCTCGGGAGCCTGGGGCCTTGGCTACCGAGAAGACTATGAAGTCTCACGAGCGTGGCAGATCCGGTTGGTACGTGCTGAAACCATGGTGAGCTTAGTCACCGAGCTACGTCTTTGGTCAGGAGAGCTGGGGAACTCGAGAGTGGAGCTGAGTCGTTGGTAAGACTTGGGTCTGTTTTTTTTTTTGGAAGCCATCTTTTGATTTGCTCAACCCTTGCCGAACGGCAAGGGTTGTTTGAGAGTAATTTTGTCCTCATATTGGTAGCTTGGTGTTATATGTTTTGAAGGAGCTGGGCCCAGAGTTGGTTCTTGGAAAGGAGAGATCGGAGCTGGGTTCTTTCCCGTGCTGCCAGGCCTTTTATTGAGGTAAATAGTGTTTTCAAAGCCCTCCACTTTTCTTGCGCATGCTCCTTGCCGTTCGGCAAGGGTGGTTTGGATTTTCTGCTGTCTTGGGGAACATTGTCTCGGGTCTGAGAGCTAGGAACTGGGGCTAGGCTGCCTGACTTAGCGACTTGGGAATTTTGGTTTGAGCTGGGCTGTTTGGGCAGATTCGGCAACTGGTTGACGTTGGGCAGATTCCTTTGAATAGCCCGGCAGCTTGGTAGGTGAGGTGACTCTCCGAGCCTTCGGTAGGTAGGCCCCGTGAGCTGGAGGCCGAGATAATCCTCCTGGAGATACAAGAATGCGTTGTTTTCGGAGCTAGGTCCTTGTCCTTCAATATTTCGTGAGACAAAAACTGAACGGTGCTGGGGCTAGGCCATTGGGCAAAAGGTGCTTGATTGTTTCGGGTTTTGGCAAGGGTCTGGAGCCTGGATTTTGAGGCCTTGCTGGGCTGAGCAAGGAGGCCTTGCTGTTGAAATGTTGGTGCGGGTGTCTTGATCAATTTTTTGCGGGCTCGAGAATTGTTCACGGTAAGAGCTTGGGGCTGTGTTGTTGTTTCGGCAAGAAACTTGGAATTGAATCACCGGTTTCTGGGAGCTGGGTCCGCTTGAAATTTAGTCGATGGTTTGAGCCCCTATATTGCCTTTTCATGGGTCTTGCCGTTCGGCTAGTGGCCTAGGATTCGTTTTGATGATCTTTGTTTGTTGGTAGTCCTTCGATGTGGGCTGTTTTGGAAGAGGCCTAGGCCACATCTCAAAGGGGAGCTGCTGGGCCTTCGGTGCGATCAGTTTGGGGAGCACTTTTATGGGCCTGTGCAGCTGGTGTGAAACACTTGATCACTTGAAATTGGAGCTGGGCCATTTGAAATTTGGTGAAAATTTTCTGGAGAATGTGGGGCGTGGCTGCCATTCGGTGTCCTTGGGTGCCCTGAGAAATTTTCCAAGTGTCCTTGGGTGCGCCCTTGAATGTCATTGAATTTGAAGCTGCTTCCCATTGGGTGTTTTGATAAGTTTAGTGGCTGGGTGCCGTATGGCTCGGCCATCTAAATTGCTCCAGACTTTCAGCTAGTTGTCATGTGGGCTTCTCATTGGATTGAAATGGTGGTTGGCCTCCTTAGCCCTGCAAAGTGATGTTGTCGGTGACTTGGAATATTTGGCACTTGCCAAATTGGAGCATCTTCAAAGTGGCCCGGACAGCTTTTACTCATATGCAATATTCATGAACCATATTGTTGAATAGGATTGTGCAATAAATTATTTAAATATTACATGCTCGTATGCAATATTTATATGTAAGAAGAGAAATCTTATCTTGTGGTGAGGATGTGCTCATATCAGAGAGGTTTGTCGAAGGTGTCGAAGGTGACACAATATGTGGCTAGGCACAGGGGTGCCGAAGGCAACACAAGACTTGCATGTCGCAGGGCAATGTGGCTAGGCACGATGGCGCCGAAGGCGATACAAAACTTGCGTGTCGCAAGGTAATGTGACTAGGCACGATGGTGCCGAAGGCAACACAAGATGTGGCTAGGCACGATGGTCCCAGAGGAGACACAAAGCTTGCGTGTCGCAAGGCAATGTGGTTAGGCACGATGGTGCCGAATGTGACACAAGATGTGGCTAGGCACGGGGGTGCCAAAGGCAACACAAAGCCTGCGTATCGCAGAGCGATGTGGCTAGGCACGATGGTGCAGGAGGCGACACAAAGCTTGCGTGTCGCAAAGCAATGTGGCTAGGCACGATGGTGCCGGAGGCGACACAAAGCTTGCGTGTCGCAAGGCAATATGGCTAGGCACGATGGTGCCGAAGGCGACATAAGATGTGGCTAGGCACGGGGGTGCCGAAGGCAACACAAAGCTTGCGTATCGCAGAGCGATGTGGCTAGGCACGATGGTGCAGGAGGCGACACAAAGCTTGCGTGTCGCAAGGCAATGTGACTAGGCACAATGGTGCCGAAGGCGATACAAAACTTGCGTGTCGCAAGGCAATGTGGTTGAGCATGAAGGTGCCGAAGGCAACACAAAGCTTGCCTGTCGCAAGGCAATGTGGTTGAGCATGAAGGTGCCGAAGGCAACACAAAGCTTGCATGTCACAAGGCAATGTGGCCGGGCACGATGGTGCCGGAGGCAACACAAAGCTCGCATGTTGCAAGGCATTGTGGCTAGGCAGGTGGGTGCTGAAGGCATGTTTCACGCCGGTTGATGGCTGGGTGCCGAATAATGGCGGGGTGCTGAAGGCATCGCTTGCGCCGATTGATGGCTAGGTGCCGAAGGCATAGCTCATGCCAAATGATGGCTGGGTGCCGAAGGCATCACTCAAACTATATGATGAAGATTGTATGGGTGCCGAAGGGCACTGAGGAAGGGGAGAACGTCATAAGCCTTTTGTATCGATTCCCACAGACGGCACCAAACTGTTGATGCTCAAAATGGTTGGGCCAAGATTGAGTCCAACTTAGTGATGAGGTGTGATGGATGTTGAATGAAGGTGAGGACCTTAAGCATGTGTATAAAGACTTGGGCAAGCGATAAATGTAAAGAAGACAAGATATACGTGGTTCACCCTTAATGAATGGGCTACGTCCACGGAGAAGTATGTTCTCATTATAATAGTGTAGGATTACATTTGTACATGGGGTTGGACCCGAATATAAAGATGACAAGTGAGATGCCCAGGCTAGGGATCTAGAATAGAGTCCCCGGCCCTAGGGTCTAGCTCTGAGACCCGGATCCTCTTCTAAGTGGAGAGAGGAAGTCCCCTTTTCACATGGATACTATTCCCTATTTATAGGGAGGTGAAAGTGGGAGGTTTGTGTAGATTTCCGATGTGGGACTTTGCACAAGTCACTGTGGTGGTGACATGTGTCATGGTGTTGATGCTCTTGGTGCTAGTTGCTTTGATGCTGGATATGCTCGGTTGATTATGGTGTAAACACTATGTGCTTCAGTAACCACATTATTTTGTTTGATACAAAATGGGGTGAAGATATTTAGCAAAAATATATAAAATGATTTCAAATCATAACAGATTGACAAACTAGCTAGCTTTTGTTGTATGGTATTTTTCTTCCCAACAGAGATACTAAATTTGAATTCTCCTATCCACTTGATAAAATTTTTATAAAAAAAATTGTTGTTTTGGGAAATGAATTTGTACTTCTTAAAGACCTTTGCACCTTGAAACTAAGAAAAGAAGACCATCGTGAGTCTTTGAATAGACTGGTGTGGTGTGAGTCAAAGAGTCACTGATATCTAAGTCAGTATGATTGTATGAAGAGAAAAGTAGGGTTTCTTAGCTCATGGAACACTTACCTTTTTCCAAAAGGCGGAGATTAAAAGATAAGTCTTGTTGCACTTATTAAATTTATTGTGGGTCTTTTTTTCTTTTTGTTGATTTAGGATCCAATCATTGTTTTGAACATTTTATCATTAAAAGGAAATAATGAAGAGAAAAAAAATTGAAATTTCTTCTTTTACACACCTTCACCTCATAATTCAAATTTAAAAAATTGAAGCTTTGTATTGTTGATGCACATGAAACAACCAAAAAATTCAAGATACAATCTATATATTTATGTAATAAAATACCTTTTAAAATGTCAAACTATTTTCTTCCTTTTCTTTATACAAGCAATATTAGGAGAATGAGGAATCAAACGTAGGACCTCAAGCGCATGAATAAATATTTTTAACCACATGAGCTACAAGCCATGTGCAATATTTTTCTTGCTTTAGTTTAGGCGAAGTGCCATTCTAAGAAATGTAGTTTCAATTTTGGCTCCAAAAAAAGGTGATTGCAATTATTTATTAGGCCAGCCCTCATTGTAGGCCCAAAAGTCAGATAACGTGGAGTACAAGAAAGCCAAAAACCTAGTGCACTTCTACTTTTAAGACAACTCCTAATTGGATTATGGCTCCTTGTAGAACCAGAAAACCCAGGAGAGAAAAAACTGGTGAATCATTACACTAACAAATATGAAGTACAAGAAATCAATGGGACTTTAAGCACATCACCATTTGTCTTCAAGCAGCAGGAATCCTCAAAAGTTGTTGCACTGGTACCAAGCTCAAAATCGAAAAGATGCAGAGGAAAAATAGAGGGTCTTTTAGTTCAATTTCCTCCGTGATTTTTATCAAAATCGAACCGAACCAAAGGATTCGACCGTATCGATTCAATTCGGACCGTGTCCATCATTACTTTCATTTGTTTATCACCTTTCCATGGATCGAGTTGAGATTGATTTGGAAATGACATAAGAGCCCATGGCACTGTATGGATTTACTTTACTTGGATACCGTATCCGTGACCACTGACAACACCCACACCGTCACTTAAATTGTTTGTATAAAAATAAGGGTCTTTTAAAGCCTCTGACACGCCTCGGCTGGCACCCTGCTGGCTCGATTAAACCTGTCTGTCCCTTCCTCTGACACTTCATATTCCCGCCTTTTTCCCCCTCCTCCTTTTCTATTCCTAACAATTATTTACTTGTTTATTCCTCTTTTCTTTTCCCAGCTTTCCCGATTTCTCAACGTTCTAGGCCAACACAAGCACGAATTATTATGCCCCAACCCAAAAATAATAATAATAATAATATAAATAATAAAATAATATAAATTTCCTTTTGAAATGTATTATTCCTTGGCTTTGCAAGTTGCAACCCAATACATAATATATATATATATTTATAAAATAACAAAAAGCGAAAATATTGGTATAAGAATTATTGGGTATAGAATATTCAAAACTATACACAGATCTCACGAGATTTGGAAAAGAAAAAAAGAAGAAGAGTAAAGTTGGAATATAATGGGATTTCTTTCCCTACTTTTTTTCTATAGAAAATTTTTTGACTTTACAGTATTTGTTTCAGCTTACATATACAAGAGTATTGATCACATTTACTGCCAACCGCACAAACAGCCACTGAGAACTCGCCATGTCAGAGATCCGGGACCCGCCAAGCGCATACCACCAAAAAAGTCTAGCTGTCGTCAACTACACAACGCAGCAAATGCGATGCGCGCCCATTGGCTGGCACACCATTTCGCCTTTCCCAAATTCCACTTGTCCACGCGGTCGGCGTCCTATTGGCTCGAAACTCTCGACCTTCTGTACGACCTGGCCCGCTTGTTCGCAAGAGCGGAAAGAACCCGCCACGTGGCGTCGCCTTCATGGACCCGATCGTTGAACATCAGGGCCCGCGGAACGCGCGGGTCCCACAGGTTCTTTTGAATTGCGCTCAAGTTGGTCGCCGCCACGTGTTCGAGTATCTCCGCCAGCTTACCCACGTCTTTCTCCGCTACGTTTACCGATATGTCCGCCCACGGAACGACGTCGTCGAACGGCAACCGGATTCCGTCGGCTATGATCACCGGCACGCAGCCCAGGGCGACCGATTCAACCAGTCTAGGGCTCCACGGAGCCCACCCCAAGGGGCAGAGACAAAACACCGACCGCACGATCTCCGACTGGTAACCGGCGAACCGATGCCTCTGCAGGAAGAACCTCCGGTCACCGTTGTACTTCCGCCACAGCATTGTCCTCACCCGCCTTGAAAAAGACGAGGGCAAATCAGTCAATTCACAAAACAAAATGATTATGAGTTTGATTAGTTTCATTTACTTGCTTAATTATTAAACAATTATTACTTGCTGTAGAAACGGCCGCTGATGTTTTTTGGGTGGACCTCCATCTTGCCCCGGAAGAAAGCGAAGATGTCTCGCCGGCCCGTTACCGGAGATTTCTCCAGCGTCCTCAATACACTTTCCGGCGAAACGTACGGCGGAATGACCACATTCTCAACCTCTTGACATGGGTGTCTCTGTTTCACACCGAACGTCTGTAACACGATGGAGTTCTTTAAGAACCCCGGTATCCCATCCGATATCGCCACATCCTCCTGAGAAAACGAAAACCAAGAAAACTAATTTATAAATCCAGAACAACAAAAACAAAAAAGAAACGTTTTTTCTTTTTTTTTTCTGTCACCGCCCAATTGAATTACCATGGTGTGGAAGCAAGAACCGAAGTCATGGGAAGCGACGAAGACGTGGTCGGAGCCGTGGGACCGATCCCAAAATGGGTATTGGGTGGATATTAAGTTAATGGCGGAGGCTATGAGAGAACGAGCGTGGCCTATTGCCGGGAAGCCATTGACGGTGCTGAAGTTGCAGGAGACGTAGACAGGGACGAAGAAGAAGTCCGCTTCGTATGGGTCAACGGTCAAATATTCGCTTGTCAAAAGCGCCCTGTGAATGGCGACCTCGGAAGCGAACAAGTGGGTGCTGCATCTCTCGTTTTTTAGCCAATCCGTGTTGTATTTCGCTGGCAAATCGTATACGAAAATCTTCAAGTCGTTGAAGGGCAAGCCTGAAAAACACAGAAAAAGAAAACATGTACTTTAGAATTAATTCATCAAATTTGTCTAAAAATTATGAAAAGAAAAATATGGGATTTTTTAAGATGGACGAATATGGTTTATTGACCTTGTTTCTGTGTTATGTTATTGGTGGTGGATTCGAAGAGGGCACGAGAGGCTAAGCTTGAAAAATGGGTTTTGGAGAGGGAGGTGGGTTGTTTGTTGTTCTGATTGGGGTGGTTACTGATGAGATAGGAGCTGAAGAAGTACAAGGAGAGGGAGAGCCAGAGAACCCATTTGCAATTTCTATAAAAGAAGTTTTTTTTCTCTAATTGAGGTACTGATGATCTTCCATGTTTGCTGGGCAAGAGCTTCATTCTGACATAGAACCCTCTGTTTTTCGGGGCTCTGATCTTCTGCTCCAACATCTCATTTAAAAACCCAGAAAAGATTCAAGCTTTTGGTGAAATATTCTGAGAAAACGAAAGGGTTTTCAGTGGTTGCGGGAGGTCTTTCGGTTCTTGGTCTGGTGATGAAGTGGAAACGAAGGAACAGTGACGGATGAAATGTGGGTTTGTTGGCGTTTCGTTTTTGAACCAAAAAATAAAATTAAGAAATGGAGAAAAAAGTTCAAATCTTTGATGTGGTTGAGCTCTGTTTACATGTGAAAATGGAATAAAAAATTGAAATTGAGAAATAATCAAATAATAAAGAATGAAAATGGTGTGCACAGTTGCAGACAGAGATCAGAGAGGAAGAACTGGGTTTCAGGGCGTCACATGGTGGTGAAGGATAGCAGAAGAAAGAATGGACCTCGGCGATGGTCTCGGGTTGCTGTAATGTAATGCTTCTTTGGGTGCCAATTCTGCTCAAATGACGAAAGTGCCCTCGGTATTATGTACCTTCAAAATTTCGACAGTTTTCACTTGGTGCTGGGTGGCTTTCAGGCTTTTGTTTTTTTTTAAAGCATTATGCTAAAGTGGATGATTTTATCTTTGTATTATCCGATAAGCCAGTCTGTAAGCATCTGCTTAATCAATCTAACACCATCAATAACAACAGTCTCTCAGTTGTGGTCATCACTATAATCATTCATTCCTTGTATTTGGGTGTTGATCATAAGTACTATTTTGATTAATATTTGACGCGTAAAGTAATAGAGTCGGTCGAGAATTTTATTTCATTTATAAAAAGCAATTTAAAAAAACGGAGAGAATGTTCGGTATAGGGGCAAACTTGGTATAAGAAATTAACGTCCAAAAAAGGCTTCACAGCGTGGCAGCATTGAAAAAGGAACATTTTTGGGCAAAATGGGGCACTTCATAAAGTACCTTTGGAAGCTCATACATACAGTTGAGGAGGACGTGCAATTAAAATGGAGATCAAAGAGCAGGGAAAAGCTTTAGTTATGAAACCTACGATGAGAGAATGCCACGAAATCATTGGAATTTCCGTGTAAATTTAAAGTTAGTGGTTTAAACCGTAATTGTAAATGGCGATTTGGTAATAACAACATGAACCAATTCATGCCGGCGGACATAAATAATTTAATTGATGACTCTGTGGATGAACTTCATCCCAAAAATATCACTGGATGAATTAACTTAAGGTTATCCACTCGTTTTGGATGATCCGAGCCTTAAATTAAGGGAGATATTGCGGCATGGACATTCCAAAAAAGTTGTGGAAAAACATTCACTTCTTAAAATTGACGACGAATTTTTATAAAATTTCAAAGAAAACAAAAACTAAAAGAATTTGACGAGTGTCGAAAGGGATTATGCACTCTCCTCCATAACATAGAAAATAAATTGTTCTTCGAAAGTGTTTGAAGTCCTTTTAAGGATGTCAATAACAACTCCGTCATTTGGGAAAAAACAAAATAAAAAAAACAATTGGGTGAGAAGGAGCCTTTGTTTTTTGTTGCTTAGAACGATCTTTGATTTTACCTCTAATCTTATCTTTCAAAGTGAGAAGGACCTGGGTATCTATTGCCCTCTACTTTCCCGGAACCAATCAATTTGGTCACACGCAAGTAACAACAAAAAGTAAGAGAAATGAAGTCGTTGTTTCAATGAATTTTGGTTGCCTTAAATATTCGGAGACTAAGTCTTTTGGTCCTAAAAAAAAGCTAGGCACAAATTTATGAAGGGCAATGAAAGTTACCCAAATCAGCTACCAAAGTTTTTAGTCGCTTATTATTTTTAGTTTCTTGCCACGCATCTCACATTCCAAAATTATTTTTCACACATTTTCCCCATCTTCATCTCCCAACATGCTCAACAAGGTTTATGATCACAATTAAGAAGTGAAACCGATCCAAATCATACCGCACCTCCTTAATTCATAAACCTATCACGCATGTTGGATCATTCATGAATATTCTTCTTATTAATCCGTAAAATATTTCGCATGAACCCACCAGCTTTACTAAAATTTCATCGCTTGATTGATTCCCTTGCCACAAAACCATGGTGAGACAAATCAGAAAAGCATTCAATTTTTATGATCGAATTTAACACCTCGTGCACGGCAAGCTGTGGATTAAATTTGGTTACGTCCACCACAAAAAGAAGGCTAATAATAATGAAACAAAAAAAGACAAAAGTAAATGAAAACGAACTGAAAATGCAACAAATATAATCATAGCCTGCTTAATATTCAATGATAAGATTATGTCAAATTTGAATAGAGAGAGAGAGACAGAGAGACAGAGACAGAGACATAGACAGAGAGAGAGAGGACTTGGTCCAACTCCAACCAAGGGAAAGGAAAAATAATAGAGGATTAGGTGTTATAATTAAGGATTAGTATTATTAGATTACTTGTTTGAGTTGCCAAGCACTTTTCATAAGTTGTTATCATCCAAATGCTAGTGGGCATACCACATACGTGTGGATGAAGCATCGGAATATTTGATAGAATTTAATGGCATACCTACCATAAAAATAAAATAAATAACTAAATAATTTTCAAAAATAAAAATAATTCGTGAGCTTTTTTGGCATACTGTCTAGCTGTCTAGCTTAGCTAATTGAGTTGGGTTGAGGAAAGCGAATGCTGTGTTTGGCCTTGTTAATTATGGAAAGGCGTGCTGAAAATGAAGGCTAAATATAAAAGATTATCTCAAATTTTGTGCATAATTTGGTGGAGGCTTGCTAAACAAGTTAAAGATCTCGTGTTAGTGAGAAGTTTGGTCTAAAAATTCAAGAACCATTCGTGTAATAAATTTAATGTTATGCACCTTCTTCTGCTTGTTTGTCCCAAAAAAAGGGTTCAATGAGTTTATTTATTTATTTATTTTAAAATTTAATTTTTTAATCTATATATATAAAGTAAAAGCTAAAGAATAGTGAAACATTCAAAATACCAGAAAATACCCTTAGTTAATGCAAACGTTAAGAATTGAAATTATTAATTAAATGAGATTAATATGGTGAATTCACAATTGTTCATATTAAAAAAAAAATTTAAAAGAAAATCAGATAATGGATACTATTTTTATGGAACACAACTACCCATTATCTTTTTTAATTCTAAAATAAATTTTAATTTTTTTTTAAAAAACCTCTCGTAAGCGCGGAAGCGCGTGTGAAGAGGCTAGTTATACTAAAAGAAAAAAGGGTAATGAGAAAAACCTATATAATTTCACTACTAGAAAAAGGAGCCAAGGCCGTTGTTTGCCTAGCTGTGTTGGGATCCACCGTTTATAGGCCGGGATATCATTCACAGTGACAAATAGTTAATGGCGACGCAACTATCACAATCACGTAATCTGTGTATAACATGTAGCCAACACCCTTTGACCACGGGTTGTCTGTGGCAAACATGAATATAGGTCACGAGTTGTCTATAGCTTATAAGAGCATCTCTAAGGGACATGTCAAATACCAAACATCAAATTTAAATTTGATGGCTGATGTGGCTATTTGACATCTTACACAGCTTTACACTCCACTTGATATGTCAAATTAAATTATTATTTTATTACATTTTAATGTTGATTTATTTTAATTAAAAAGAAAAGAAAAGAATAAAAGAATAAAATATTCATTTGACATCTTACTTTTGGGATATCAAAAATAACATCTTAACCTCCAACCTTCATTCCACATCAGCTTTGACACATAGGTTGGAGTCATGTGAGATGTTATTTCTAGCTGTTAAAGGTCTATGTGGCACTTTTGACACATCGGTTGGAGATGCTCTTCTAAATAAAATAGGTAAGAAAATAGTAGCATTCTTTTTCTTTTAAGTTCTTAGTTATTATTTATTGCATACTTGACCAATTAGATAGCATGCCAATGTAGTTGGAGAATAAGTTTCATATCATAATGGGCGAAATGATTAAGCTTTGTTTGGAGTTTAAATATGGTCATTAATGTGGTGGTATTCTTAGGTCTAATTATGTAATCATGACCATTTTCAAATTGTGAATAGATAAAAGTGCAAAGTGTTTTTCATCTTTTTTTATCGTGACCAGAAAAAAAAATCAAAAGAATTATGGGAGTAATTTAGGATGACAAATTTGCTGGAGTCCATGAGTTTACACATCTAAATCAAGTTAAGAGAATTATTGATTTTCCTAATCATTCCAACATAGAATGAAAATAGGAATTCCACAAGGCTAGTGATTTCAACAGTCATTTTTTGAGCCTTTTAGACTCATTACGTGAATATTTAAGTATTATAAAATATTCAGTTTGGAGTCCAGATAAGTAAAAAATAAGCGCATAAATCATTATTTTTCCACAAAGTCATTTGTGGAAACAACCATGCGGATGCATATGAGCCAATGAAGCCTTCTCAAGTCTCAACTCAACATTCATGGCACTCATTGAAATACTCTAGCAACACATTCATGCTTGATAAAATGCCTCAAAGAGGGGAAATATAAGAACAAACAAAAAATGGTTTGAAAGGTTCATCTTGCCCCTAGGAAGAAAAATATTAAGACTACCATCAGCACGATGGATTGAACGTACTAACAATAATTGAACTCAAGAGCCAAAAGAAAAAAAAATCCCAGATATTCCTTGGTTGTCCCAAGCATCTAAAAAATTGTCACCTTCATTGTCTGCCCTGATATAAACGGCAAGAGTCCATTATTGGAGTGAGAGTGCTAATAGTACATTGGTTTAGGAGAGCTACGCCAGAAAATGCCATTATATTGTGAATCAAAGTCAGGATAAAGACACAGGGATTGTGGTTTTTATTAGGCTATCCCAATTTATGTGATGTTAATTGTCTCTCGTGAGTAGTAAACAATACACTCGACGTAGGTTGTGGTTAGAAAGTCTCTTGGGAACCTTTGAAAACTTGAACATTTCCCCAATCTAGTATTGGCCAACAAAGAAAAAAAAAGGGTATAAATTGTCCCTTTTTTCAGATACATCGAGTACCTAATTTAAGGGGGACGGCAAAAGGC